TGCGGGTGAGTAAGTGAGAGAGAGGGGGAGGAGGGAGAGAGGGAGGAGCGGAACCCCATCTGCGCCTGCTATTGCTGATGTAAGGACCAGCAGGTCTGAGACCGTCCAACCTCCTTCGCGGGTGAGCGACAAAGGCAGGCAGGTATGCATGCGAGGGGGTGGGGTGGGTGACTAGCGACTGGGACTGAACCTGTTGTTTTGCTTGGCCTTGCTCAACCATTGCTCCGATACGGCACGACCAGTAGGAGTCCCTGCCAGCTCGCCCACTCCTTCTCGTTCTCCTAAACCTCTATCCCCCTCCACTTCCTCCCCTCCTGTTCGTCCCCCTCCCACCCAGCCGAGCGCACCTTCCTCTCCTGGCTCAACATCGCAGTGCTCGTCATGTTCACCTCCCTCAGCCTCATGTCCGACCGCCTCTCCATGTTCGGGAGCCACCAGAGCCTGCCCTCACTGCCGCTGCCGGACGGATCGACCGCCGGAGGGGCCGCAGTGGGTGCAGCAGCTGCTGGTGGTGGTGGAGGTGTTGGAGGTGGAGGTGGTGGGCTGCGTCGCCTGTGTCCGCCCGGGGGCCTGTGCCAGTCGAGCCAGGTGTGTGTACGAGGGGATGTGGGGAGCTGCCATGTAGGTGTGGATGAGGGAGGGACGGCACACGCAGGCTTTGGTTGCTCCGCGGTGCGGTGCGGTGCCCCTCCGTCGCTAGCCCCTGGTTGCCGCCCACCTTCCCGGAAGGACTCCCGGTCTTTCTGACTTCTCACGCTATCAGTCCCCCGCTAACCGCTTTTGATAACCGCTAACCGCTACCTCGCCCCGCTGCGCAGATCGCCGGCATGGCCATGGCCCCCGTCGCCATGGCCTTCATGCTGTACGCGCTCTACATGTACCGAAAGCGAAGCGCGCAGATCCTGCGCCGGGAAGCCGTACGGTACGACGATCAGCGGGGTCCCGTACTGCTGACGTGCATGCTGCTGGTGGTGCTGGTGATCGCATACGTGCTGTCGGTCAAGGCGGTGTCATGAGGAGAGTGAGGGAAGGATGGCAAAGGAAGATGGAAATATGGTCGCCGCTGTTGCAGGACACCATTTGCGTTTGCATGTATCGCATGAGCTGGCAAGGGTGCCAGTATGTCGGGAGTGGGTCACAAGCCGTAGCTGGGCGCAGCTTTTGGCGCATTGTGGGCGTTCCGTGTATGCAGTATTGTTTGTTGGTTGAAAGTTGGCATTGTCGTGCCGGGAAGGGATGGCAAGGACTGCTTACATGGCTGTGGCTCGGAGGTGGGTGGGCTGAAGGTAAGGGACGTGGTGGCATGGGTGGTGGCATGAACGCGCGTGTTGACCGTCTGGGGCACTTCAGCGTTCGTTCGCGTGTTGCAACAGCGCTTGCATGTGCTGTAGCAACATAGGGAGGGCCCTCTTGTGAGGGGCCGGCAGGCAGTCGCGGTGTGGGTGAAGCGGCATTCATAGTTTCATAGCGTTGGACAAAGCAGTCATGTCGTCACAATTGCCGAAATTGTTGAGATGTAGAGAACTTGCGTGAGAATATCTCTTTCGTACGAGTTAGCAGCATGTAGGAAGACGTGTGTAGGGTACGTGAGGCCACGACCGCCCCTTTTGGGAGCTATAGGCTCCATGCAAGGCCTAATGAGGTCCCTCCCAGTAGACCTTTGATTCAATAACAGCGCAGGGCTGGGGGAGTAGAGCTGCCAGCAGTAGTAACGTGGTCTGGTATCAAGCTATCTTGTTTTGCCGCCTAGACTGGAGAGACTGTGATAGCGCTGTGTGGAAGGTGTGCCCTGGGGACATGGGTTTGCGGTATGGAATGGGCCCCTGGGCCCCTCCCGGGTTCAGAGGCATGCAGACGTGTCTGGGTTCAGAGAGGCGGACGCCGCTAGCATGCAGCTTCGTTTAGCTAATCTTCGGGTGTTCTACTGTCGTACAGATGCGTCATTCGTTCGCTGTATGTGTATGTTTCTCGCTCAACAGGCATTCTATGACATAACGGTCTGGGACAGACCGGCAGTGGAAGTGTCTGGGTCAGGACTAGAGGTATAGCAGGAGGGTGTGTCGAGCAGCGTAGTGCAGTGCAGTCAAAAACTATTGCAAGGTTTGTAAACCACAGTTACTGGACTCTGTAACCCAACAGGAGAGAGACATATACTGCCGTACACCGGCCCAATTGCAAACACGTGCTACGGCTGTAGAACTGTACGGCAAAGTCCAGTGAAGCTATCCCATACACCTGCCGGGCCACGCCGGAAGCAATGTGACAGCCCCTCTCCCACGCACTTCCAAACGTTCAACATCATACCGGTATTCCTCGAGGCCTGCCTGTGCCTTCTGCTTGCAAGCATGGCAGAGCGTGTGCCACGGGGCGCACAAACCAGCTAGCTAGCTGCACGCAACAGCCGCCCAGCTGCTGCCCTGCAGCGTACACTGTGACACCTGTGAAGAAGGAAGAACCCCAGCTCGCCTGCTAGCCGCCCATCCTACAAAAGGTACCCATACTGACCATCCTGCAAGCCACACGCGAGGACAACGCAGCGCCCTTCCATCGGTATGCTGCCTATCCACTTCTCTGTTCACCGCTCGCTCAAGCTGCTGTTGTGGATGTTACTGTTCCAGCAAGCAACACCGCTGCCTGCCGCAGTCTTACGCCGGCTTTGCTCTCCATGCTGGGATGCAGAAAGAGAGAGTGCCACAGGGAGACTGGTAGAGGTCGCTCCAGAGCCCCGGGCATGCAGGCGGCGCATTCACCCGTCCGTGACGCCTGAGGAGGGCGATGTGGGAATGTCAGCACCAGCCGCTGAAACCCGGTGACTCTAATTAGCTGCCCCAGAGCCCAGCTTAGCTCCCTACAAGGCCCTACCTGGGTCGCAGCGGTCAGCAGGAGGCCGTCAAGTCATGGGCAACCCGCGGGAGCTGCAATTGCTGGATCCCTGGTGACCACCGCAACCATCCGGAGTACTGGCCGCCATGTTGACTAATGGAGAGCTGCTGCTTAGGTTGCACGCCTGGGATCTCCAGCCCTTGACTGCCGCGGGTAGGCGCGTGATTGGCAAGGATGGGTCAGTGACAACGGCCTCGCCCCAAAGCGCTAGTGCCATCCCAGCATAGCATTTAAGAGCCCATAATCCGGATGCTGAAGTAGCACACGCAAATGCCCAGAAGAGCGCCCTCAGCGGTTAGCAAGCCCTTCGCGTAGCCGACGAGAGTAAGCAAACATAGGAAAAAGCTGCCGGAAAGGATTAGCTTTTTCCTTGATGACAAATCTCTCCAAGCCATGCTCTAGCCTTTTGCACCAGGGCTAGCCGTGTATAAATATAAACTAAGAGTCTTTGGCAGATTGCTCCTAGCTGCGAAAACCTACGGTCTTCCCACACCTTAACAATGCCTTTGGTGCGCAATTGGCTGTGAGACGTAAGATCTACTCTCTAAGCGGACGTACAGTGAGTCAAGCTGAATCGCTGTCGTACTGCCAACACAACATGAGGATGGAGCCCTTCTGAAGATGTTACAGGTGAAGTGCAACTTCAAATGAAGCCGCAATATCAACAGCTTCCTTGTGGGGAGGGTACCGGTACAAACCCCGCCCTATACGCAGCGTGCCCATCCCGATCAGCAGCACCAACATTTCGCAAGGTTCCAACCGCATTAGCCTTTATGGTAGCAAATGGAAACAAGTGACAGGACTTCGGACCTGTTGCGCTGTATGTTCCTACACGCAGCAGTCAAAACGTCAGGCACAGCTGCAGGCCACGACCAGGCCCCTGGACTGACAACGACTGATGTGCCGTCCACCAACAAGCTTACCACCTGCACCACACAACCCACCAACCCCGCCGCTGCTCCCCCAAGCCTCCCCAGCCATCAGCCGCCCGGAGGCGGTGCGTCCCTGTGCGAGTCCGCCTGCTCCGCCGGAGCCCCCACCGCCTGCCCCTCCGCAAGGCTGCCCCCCGACCCTGCTCCCGCCTCCGATTGCAGCTCCGAGTTGACCTTCCCAGACCCCTGACCGCCCTCGGCAGCACCACCCGCACCCGCTTTCCCCGTCCCCGCCTGCGCCGCCCCTCCCACCTCCTGCACCACCTCCATCGCGACGTCTCCGTCCGCATCACGCGCTGCCGCCGCTGCCTCCCCGACCGCAGCACCAGGCAGCTCCCCCTCAACCCTCCCCTCCGCATCCCCGCCTGAGGCCCCACCTACACCTCCCTCGCCACTCCAACTCCCCGCCGCCTGCTGCTGCTCCTGCTGCACCACCTCCCCATGCGGCTCTACCGCTGCACCTGCTGCTGCGGCCCCCGGCTGTGGCCCCTCTGCAGCTGCTGAGCCAACAGGCCCCACCGCAGCAGCAGCAGCAGCCTCCTCCCCGCTATCCACCATCATGGCATCCCGACCCGAACCCGCCGGCTCAGAACCCTCCCCTCCACCACGAACCGCAGCAGCAGCTTCACTGCGATTCGCACCCTCGCTGCCCTGGACCGCAGGCGCCTCTCCTTGCTGCTGCTGGTGCTCCTGCCCCGCCGCGGCACTAGCAGCAGCAGCAGCACCTGCTGCTGCTCCCTCCGCATGGCCCGCTTGCTGCAGCTGCTGCTGGAGGGACGGGCGTTCCGGCGTGGTTGCCGCGCCCCGCGCCGGCTCGTGCAACCCAGCCTCCGCTGTCGTCATGCCACCGCCACTGGCGCTGCTCTTCCCCGGACTGCCCCCATGCGACCCCAACCCTCCCGGACTGCCTCCATGCCCCAGCCCCCCCGGACTACCCGCTCCTCCGCCCGGTCGCAGCGGCGCATGCAGCCCCACCCCCGCCCCCGTCCCCTTGAACCCGCCCTTCCCCTCCGGCAGCCCCTCCGGCCAGTGGTCCTCCTCGATGTGCTCCGGAGTCCCCACATGGTTCCCCACATGCGGGTGCGGGTGCGGGTGGTGCCGCGTGTCAAGCAGCGAGTGAGTGAAGGCCGCGGAGTCGTCCGGGCCGCCGGGAGCCCCGCTGCCGCCGCCCGCCGGGCCGCCCTGGCTGCCGCCGCCCGCCCCTGCATGGTGGTGCGTGTTGCTGTAGACGGGGGGCGGGTTGGTGTTGACGGGACCCAGGACGGTGCACAGGGGCGGCGGGGGCAGCTGATCGGCCTCCGTGGGCGGCTGCTCGGTAGTGACCAGCAGGCACTTCTCGATGGCCAGGACGAGCTGGGGAGGGATTGGCGTGTGGGGATGTGGTTAACGGGTGGGGGAGCATAGAAGGAATGGGGTGGGGGTTTAGGGAATGGGCGAGTATATGGTTTAGGCAGGCGGCAGCAGAGAGCGTGTAGAGAGAGATAGGGGCGGTGATAGGCCTGTCATATGCCTAGTGGTTCGTGATATGCACTACGTAGCATGAGTCCCCTTAGATGCAAGCGCCTTCAGAAAGCAGCGGGCAAGGCGACAGCAGGCTATAAAGTGGCCTCCTTCTTGCCTTTGGCAGGCGGGAGTACTGCCGCTTGGGCTCCAACAGGATTTCACAGAGGCGTTGGAAGGTCCAGGGCGCGTCGCTAAAGGCGGAAAGCAGCTTTTGGAAGCGCTCGATGGTTTCAGATACGGAGTCGGGGCCCGCAGGCCCTACCTCTACCCGGGTTTCGGCGTCGTAGGCTGTCAACACCTGCAATGGAAGGGAGGGCCTAGCTTAACAACAGATCTCGGTGACTTCTGTTGCTGCATGCAAGGAGTCCGTCCTGACCTGCTCCAGGACAAAGTCAACCAGCGGTCTTAGCAAGGGCCATTTGTAGCGGATGCGCCCTGTGAGAGCCGACTCCGCAAGGACGCCGCGAAGTTGAGCTGTTAGAGCCCGCTCTTCTAACGGAAGTCTGGTAAATGCTATAAGATCAGCCTCGCTGGCTATAAAATCGGAGCATGGCGCCGGCTGTGCTGACCCCGAGTTCCCGCGCTCCGACTCAAAACGCTCCTTTGGAGCCTCATTGCTCGCCTCCATAGGTTCAGATTGAGCTGTCATAGCATGTACAATGATAGCGACAGCCCGGGCGCCGACACCCCCAAGGGCAAAAGCGGTGCCCTAAAGTCGAAACGGCATTGGATAAGGTGTCGGCACAACTACTATTTGACGGGTTACTTTACGACGGCTTGGGAGACCTAACTACTATCCTTCCCTCGCGATCGGCAACAATGGTTGGAAATCTGGGGTTGAAAGGAAGTTGGGCGGTAATGCAAAGCACGTGTCGAATGCAATTATGTTCATAAAAGTCGAATAACTCTTCCCGATGTATCAATGGGGATTTCATGCAAGCTCGTCCCATAGGGTTGATCGATTCCAGGCACGACAGGCAACAGACCGCCATCAGTGCCGAACTTGTGCCAAGATTTCTTGTAAAACTATCCTGGATTGACTTATGGACCATCATTGTGAAACCTCGGGAAAAAGCGCCTTTTCCATTACCGCCTGCGCCATGTCGCAGCGGGTCAAGTCGCAATGTGAAACCCCTCCAACCATGCAGCAACTGGAGATCCCGGCGAAGGCATGCAACCATGACCATGGCTTTTACCGGCTCTTGCTGTGTTGACACGGAAAGCAATGCGGCCCGCGGTTCCTTGAGGGTGTTGGGACCTCCTTTGGGAGGGACAGTCCGAGGCCGCGGCACGAAACCCTCCACAGGATCGCCTCTCATGCCACACAGCACACGCCTCGCGCAGCAACGTGCGTCGTACAGCTGGCAAATAGATCCAACGGTCATGGTCCTTGCCGTGGACAGGAAGCGTGCTGCGGTCGGATGAAGAGCTCCAGGCTTCCATCAGCTTCCATCCCAAGTACTGAAGTATATCAACGTGTCCGATGTCCCAAGCAAACCTCGTTACCCTTGACGGCGGTTGCACACCGGTGGGCCCGCGGAGCCCTTATACTTTGCAGGGACTGCAACACCAGCTTCCTGCTCCTCCTAGGGCTCAGCTGCGCCATAGCAGCCAAACCAGGAGGGTCCGGCAACGTCAACGTCCTACCCATGCTAAACACAAGTGCAACACAACGGCGTCAAGAAACCCCACAACAGAAACATTCCTCTGCCCGCGTCCATGTGACCTTCAGGACTCAACCACCACATCAATTCGCATTTCTGTTTGACAGGCCGCAACGACAACGGCGTGAGTAGCCGTACACCCAGTAGGTTGCAAGTCCAACTACCTCAACTGCCGTACAGCACCACCTTGCTAATAGCTGCCCCTGCATTAGGTCGTTTGTGCCCTTTCGCTCACATCCCGGTTATAGCCACAAGGGCATAAGAAGGGGCCACACTAAACCTCATGGAATCACATTGCGCCGCAGCTGTCACGAGGCATGGTCGTGCGTTCCTCCACAGCCATCATACGGCCCCCAGCCGATCCAAATTTTTAAATTTCAAAAATCCAACCAACACTTGTTCCAACAGCCCGTATGTCTCTTCTGCGCGCAACCACCACGCGTACGTCCCCCGGAGGAAAACCTCTTACTTCGTCCACCTGCATTACAAGTCGCCAACAACACGTCCTCCCGTGTCATGTGGACGCACGACAACCGCAGGCGAATACGACAATCACTTTGCGTGTGTCAAATCAAAACACACACACATGGATGTGTCAAGAAAACTACACACAGATATGTATGTGTGTTTTGTTTAGTATCAAGGTGGACACGTGTTATAATAAGATGCATGCTCGCGCATTCCTCGCAGCTCTTCGCACGTGTGAACATCAACACACGTGTTCTTCCCTGCCTCTGCCCCGGCGCAGATCCTTTCGTCACTTGTATGGAACATGCAGCCCCGCGCAAACCCTCCAAAACATGATTGCCATCAATAAAGTCTTCATAGTTGCCAATATCAACCGTCCCACGGGTGGTCATTCCTGATCACACCAGAAGGTGGAGGAAATACATGCATTGTGCTAGCATGCTATTTAGTCAATCAGTCCGCCCGCCGGCCCCAGCAAGCAGCGTGCACGTGCCACGTGTCACAACATCCCCCCCGGACGGATCCCCGAGCGCACACGCACGTGCCCCCACTCGCCCCCAGGATTCATGTCAGGGACGAGCCAACGAGGACTACATCCCTCCCTCGGTGCACGAATGGGCTCAAGAAGGGCCAAATACATGGGAATAAAAGGCATATGGTCGCATGATGGTACTTGCAACCAAACAAACATCCAACCACCCAACCGCTTTGGGAGCACATTACTGGGTACAACCCCCGTCACTGAAGAAAGCACGACCCATCCTCCTTATGCGCCTTCAGTAGACCATGCCTCCTCCATCCTCCATCCTCCCCCGCAGCCCTCCCATCACACCACTTCTGCCAAGAATTACGGCAGTTGCCAACAAACACCCTTTTTCCTTCCCAACCACTGCACTGTCAGCACCACTTCTTCCCCCGACAGCAACGCTCGCTCCATGCATCCGCAACATCATCTTCATTCTCATCTTCACACTTCCTCATCTTTTTCTCCCTGTTCTTCTTCTTCTTATCCATCCGCCCAGCCGCCACCTCCCCCTCCCCTCATCGCCGCTGCTGACCCCCACCATTCCTCCGCGCCTTGGGCACCAACAACGCAGGCAGCACCACACCCCCACCTCCTCCCCCTGCGCCCCCGCCCCCTCCCACCCCCTGCCCATACCCACGAGGCGGCGGCGACGTCCCCGCCCCCCGGCCCCCCGCACCCACCCCACCACCCCCCGCAAGTAACGCCCCCCCTGGAACCCCCGGCCCCGCCATCGCCACGCCTCCCCCCAGCCCGGTATTCGACATGCGCATGCCCCCGCTGACCGACCCCCCGCCCGCCCCCACCGCCCCTATCGCCGCCAGTGCCGCCGCCGCACTTGTTGCTGCGGTGGCGGCACTGCCTGCGCTGCCCAGCTGCCCCGCGGCCGCCAGCATGAGGCGCAGTCGCGTGTTCTCGTCCATAAGGGCCTTGATGGCGCCGGCTGCCTGGTTGCGGACCGCGTTCAGGTTCTCCTCGTGCAGCACCTCCAGTTGCTGGGGGGGAGGGGGAAGAAGCATTGCCAATGTGTGAGTGGGGGGGAGGAGAGGGGGAGGGAGGGAGGCGTGTATTGAGGAAAGCTGGCCGCCAGGGTAGAGCGGGGGTTTGGTGTCGTACACACGTGTATCAAGAGGTAGTAGCAGAGTGATATGTAGGGGGAGGAAAGGTAGAGCAGGACAGGAGGGAGGTTTCGCCACTCCTGCGAGTGCGGTGCGGCGGTGGGCTCAGTCCACCACAGCCCGCTTCCCACCGCCTCCCGCCACCCACCACCACCGCGCAGCCCCCCCTCAGTCAGTTTGTTGTTTCCTCTTTACCCCCCCGTGCAGCCCCCCCCCGCAGCCCCCCCCCCCCGCAGCCTCCCCCCCTCACCCGCATCTCCGCCGCATGCGTCTTGGCCTGCTCCTTCAGGGAGCGGTTGGCCGCGATGAGCGCCATCTGACCACATGGAGAGCGGAGGAGGGGGGTGGGGGGCAGGGGTCAGGGACCACGTGAGCGACCCGTGGGTCAGGCAGGCAGGGAGGCATGTTGAGAACACCGCAGGACATGGGCGGGCACAGCTGCAGCTGCAGGGGTGGTCCACATACGCTGGAAGGGCCGCCAGGCACATGCGGGGGACGAATCCGTCACCCCAATGTGTGCATGCATGCATGTTCTAACCTTACCCCTGCCGCACCCCACACCCTCACCCTCTCACCCCCCCTCGCCCCCCCACCTGCATGTTCCTCGCCTCCGCCTGCCACTTGGTATACACCTCGGTTCGAGCCTTCTCCGCCGCAACCAACTTCCGCTTCAGCGCATACACCTCCGTGTCACGAGCCCCGTTCAACACCGGCTCTGGCAGAATGAGACCTCCTCCTCCTCCGCCCCCCACTCCCCCTCCTCCTCCCGCCAGTCCTGCTGCGGCCATAGCAGCCATCATACCCATCCCCAGCCCCAGCCCCTGCTGCTGCTGCTGCAGCTGCTGCAGGAACTGCTGCTGCTGCTGAAAGAACTGTTGCTGCTGCTGTTGCTGTTGCTGCTGGTGGGCTGCGGCGTCAAGGCGAGCCGCTCGGTCCTGCAGGCGAGCCAGGCGGTGTTTGGTCTCCAGCGGGACATCGCGTGCGTTGAAGTCCGGGCGGTCGGGGTCGGAGGAGGGGTGGGGTGGGCGGTGCGGGGCGGGGCGGCCCTTCAGCGGCTTCAGCTTGCCTGAGGGGTGGAGGAGTTGAGGGGGTGAGGGGTTGGGGATGAGTTGGGGCGGTTCATGAACCATGATGGCATGCCGGTACGTCTTGAAGGAGTGAGAGGGGGGAGCGACGGGGAGCCCCACAAGCCCAGTCGAGGGGTCCGCCCATACCCGCGGTAGGCTAAGGAGGCAAGGACACATCCACCACATCCTCCACCCTCCCCCCAACCCCCTCCCCCCTCCCCTCCACCCCCCAACCCCTCCCCCCTCCCCCCCCACTCACGTCCGTACTGTTCGAAGTCCCCAGCCGAGGGCACCGCCGCGAAGCCCGGAGTGCCGCCCAGCCCCCCGGGAGCCAGCAGGTTGTTCAGCATGGCCAGACCGCCGTTGAAGCCACCCAGGCCACCCAGCCCGCCCCCGTTGAAGCCCCCAGCCAGGCCCCCCAGCCCCCCGGGGTAGCCAGCCGGCAGGTCGGGGGAGGCTAGCCCGCCGGGACCCTGGGAGGGGAGGAGGGAGGGAGGGGAAGCAGGAGGGAGGGAGATGTGGGAACAATGCAGCTTGCACTGCACACCCCACACAGCTTTCACGACCCCCAAGGTACGCCTTAGGAGCCCAGAGTCACCCTTCCCAGCAGCATCGACCGCACGTCCTAAACCACCCCCCAAGCCCCTCGCACCTGCCCCCCCCCCGCCCCCGCACCTGCATCCTCAGCACCAGCCCCAGCAGTCCGTCCCGCTCCCGGGTCAGGGCCGCCACCTCGCGAGCCAGGGAGGCCACGTGCGCCTTCAGCTGCTCGAACCGCTGCCGACCCACGGGTCCGTCAGAGGTGGAGGAGGCGGCGGCAACGGCGGCGGCGGTGAGGGCGTCGGATCCTGTGGGGGAGGAAGTGGGTGGGGTGGGGCTTGACAAGTAGGGTACCCAATGTGGGGGGTGGGGAGGGTGGGAAGGAATACCTTAAAGGGGCGAAACATAACAGCTGTCCGATTTTAAGAACCATCAGGTTAGATCGGAGTGAAAAGAGGGAGGAGAGAAGGCGGCGCGGTGTCGCAACCCAAGGGTCAGCACACCCCTCACCTGGCCCCAGCAGTGCGGCAGCGGGCGGCAGGAAGCGGCCTCCCGAGGCGGCGGCAGCGGCCTCCAGGGCCTGCAAAAGGGGGGGAGGGCGGGAGGGGGAGGGGGCGAGGGGGGTGTGAAGGGGAGGAGTGAAGGAATTAGGAGGGCATGCAGGCGCAGAACGAGTGGGTCTTATGGGAAGCTCCTCACCCCACCACCCCCACCCACCTGCAGCCGTTGCCTCAGCTCCTCCCTCGCCGCCTCGCTCTCCAGGAAGCGGGCCTCGAAGGCGGCAGCCTGGGGTGGGGGGGGGGGGGGGAGGTGTGGGGAAACAATTATATATGTGAAACATCGGGAAAGGGAAAGGGAAAAGGGAATGACACGTGACGTGTGAGGTGGCGCTCCCCTGGCACCAGCACCCGCACATGCAACGGGAGGGAGGTCCCGCCCGGCAGTTCCTGGAGCACCTCGGGGGGCGTAGGACATTGAGGCCCCACCATCCCCCCGGCCACCAAACACCTACCAGCTAGTCCCTTCCCCCCCTACCTTTGCCCGCGCCTCCCGCGCCCGCGCAATTGCGTGGCTGCCCAGATGCCACTCCGCGGGGTCGGGTCCCCGGCAGCCGCCCCCCGCCCCGCCCTCGGGGTCGTCTAGGAACAGGTCCGCATCCTCCTCCTCGCACCCCTCACCGCCCTCCACATCCTGCCAGTGTTGAGGGAAAGAAAGAAGGGAGAAAGGAAACACACCAACATACCGAGCTGTGTGATTGATGGTGGCGATGGCGGCGACTCACTTTGTTGAGTGTGGGGTGCGCAGGCTAGTCCGGTAGTAGACGCGGCGGGGGTCGCAACCCCACCCGGATCACCCGAGCAGGTCAAGCAAGTGTTCAAAACCCCCAGTACCCGGCCCACCTGAGGGGGCGGGGGCGCATCCGCCAGCCCCCGCCACTTGGACAGCTCCGTACGACACACCTCGAGCTCCTGTCGTACGGCATCCAGCTGGTTGCCTAGCGCGTCAACCTGGGGGGAGGGGTGTACGGCAGGGCAGGGTAGCGTACGGCAAGCGGTGACGGATGTACGGGAGTGGGGTGGCAGACCAGGGCCACCCGGGGTTCAGGGCAAGGGCAAGGGCGACTGGGGGCATGGCATTGCGTGGTGCAGCGGTGTAGCATTGGGCGGTGTGTGGCAGGCTGGCTGCACAACCCCACGTGTGCAGTACGCCGACTGCTGTACTGCAACAGTCGGGTAGGGCAAGCAGGAGGAGCAAAAGCCCCAACCCCCCTACCACCCCCTACCCCCACCTACCCCCCCCTACCACCCCCTACCCCCACCACCCCCACCTACCAGATTCTTCAGGTCGGGTATCTCCTCCTCCCTCCCCGCTCCCCCCTCCTCCGCCCCTCCCCCATCCACCGCCGCCCCCTCCGCCGCCAGCCGCGCCAGCACCCCCTCCGCCGCCTCCGCCCGCCGACCCGCAGCCGCCGCCAGCGCCTCACTGCTTGCCAGCTGCCGCTGCAGGCTGCTCAGCTCGTTACGCAGCAGCAACACAGCGGACACGTCCTCCTGGGGGGGGAGAGGAGGGGGCCAGGAGGGTAAAGAGGAAGCATCTACCACAACTGATGAACGAGGCTCCACTGTGGGTTGCATCTTGCATGGGTGGGTTGCATCTTGCATGGGTGCAAGAGGGCAGCTGTGATGTGAGGAGTTGCGTTCTGTGCCGCCCTCCACACCACGCCCCAGTCCGCTACAACCCCCCCTCCCCCCTCCTAGTTTGCCATTGCCAAGCAATACGTAGGGTGCTCTGCTCTCCTCCCCCCCTCCTGTGCCGTACCGCCAGCCTTGCCGTCATGTTTGCAGTGGCTGCAGCCGCCCCTCTGAAGGGCGCCGAGGGGTCGGCAGCCGGGGAGAGACCCACGGCACTCTGGGGGGAGAGGGGGAGGGAGGGGTGGTTAGCAGCAGGGGCAGGGGATGGGAACAGCTCGGCTGAGAGGAGGCGGCGGGGGCAGGGGGCGGTGCGGCGACCAACAGCAGGACCCGTGTACTGTGATGGGAGGAGTACGTGCAGCAGCGGCAGCACCTGGGTACCGGTACCCCCTCTCCCTCCTGCCACTGCCCGACCCCCTCCCTCCCCCTCCCGCCCCCCGACCCCCTCCCACCACTCACCTCCAGCACCTCGATCGCTTGCTGCACCTGTCGGGGGGGGGGCAGGGAGGGCAGGGGGGGGGGGGGCAGGGGGGGTCGTGATGGCGTTCGCAGATAGGATCTCAGGGGGTGGTGGGAGTGGCGCCGGAGAAGTCCCTAGCACGGGGCGAGGAGGATGAGCGATGCATGCGTTACGGTACGGCATAAAGCCAGAGCCAGTAACTACCTTCTAACCACCCTACCCGCCCCCCTACAAACTTCCGCTTTACCCCCCCCCCCCCTCCCCCCCATCCCCCCTCACCGCCTGCCCCAGCCCCCCTAGCGGCTCCAACTGCTCCACCCGCTCCCGCAGCGCCTCCTGCCCCGCCCGCAGAGCCGCGTCGCGCCGCCGCAGCTCGTCCCGCTCCGACCGCATCTCGCGGACACCCGCAACGACAGCCTGCAGGGGGGAGAGGAGGTGGGGGTGGGAGGGCGTTCTGGAGGAAAAGGAGGTGGAGGGGCGGGCGGGTGGCTGTGAGGGTCTGGGTGACTGCCCCGGCTTTTGTCGCTGCCGCTGGCAATACCTCCCGTGCAGCTGCTCCACTCGGCCTCCACTCCGCGCCAGGATAGCCCTTCCTGAAGACAGAGGAACTCCACTTCACACCTCCCTCGGTCCCAAACCCACACTGCCTGGTTCTCTTCGCCCACCCCCGCCTCCAGTTCCTCGTCCTCCCTCACCCCCACCCCTCCCTCACCTCCGCCGGAATGCTCTCCACCTGCCTCGGCAGCAGCCGCCCGTTCGCCCCCGCGCCCTTCCCCATGAACACCATGCGAGCGATGCTGCGGAGCGCGGCGACAGCGGTGGGCAGCGAGCCGCCTCGACCGCCGTTACCGTTACCGTTGCCGTTGCCGGCTCGTCCCAGCGGGCGGGCGGGGGGGAGCTGCAGGTCGGGCGGGGTGGGCGGAGTGTCGTCGTAGATGTCGCCTTGGGGCACACCGGTGAGGGCCTGGGGGGGGGAGGTGGGGGGGAGGGGGACGGGGGGGGGAGATGGGGTTAAGGGAAGCGCCGGGAAGCAATGCGTGAGGCAGCGGGCCGGGGCCACGCCCGGGGTGCCCCACCCCCCCACCCACACGCACACGCACACGCAGCGACACCAACACTCCCACAACCAGCCCACAAACCCCATGCCTCCCCCCTCCCCCCCCCACCCCCTCCCCCTCCCCACCCCACCCACCTCTAGCCTGTCCAGCAGCCTCGCCTTATCCACCTCCAGCCTCGCCAGCCGGTCAGCCAACACGCCCGACTCAACACCAACACCCCCATCCCCTCCTCCCCCTCCTCCCCCTCGGGCGGGGGTCCAAGCAGCACCAGGCCCCATGCCACCACCACCACCCGCACCCCCCAGCGTCCCTCCTCCCCCGCCCTCCCTCCTCGCCGCCGCCAGCTCCGCTCGCAGTTCCGCCAGCTGCTGCTGCAGCGCCGCCGCCGCCGCCCCGCTCAGCGCGCCGCCCACCGCCCCCGAGGCCCGCACGTATGTGTTGACCGACACCTGGTTGGTGACCGCCATGGCTCGGGTGGCGAACAGGAGCGTGTTGAAGGTCTCCTCCAGGTGCTCGCTGAGGGGGGGCAGGGGGTGAGGTGAAGCCGTGTCGGTGCAGAATTTGGAGTACAGACAAGTCCGTGCCCCCTACCTCCTCCCCTCTCCTCTCCTCCCGTCCCTCATCCCCTGTCCTCCCCACCCCCCGCCCCCCGTCATCCTCACCCCGAGGGATTGATCGCCGCAATGATGGCCGTCCTCGCATTCCCGCCCAGACAAGGCTGCAGCAGCCGAGTCAGCTTGGAGTTGCGGTACGGCACAAACACACCCCGCCGCCCCTCCGCCAGCCGCGCCACCACCGTCCCCAGCATGAGCAGCGAGATGTTGATGTTGGTGCCCTCCACGAACCGAGCTCCCCCCGCGATGCCGCCCGTCTTGGTGAGCCGCTCGCTGCCTGCTAGGTCCACGAACGACACCTGAGAGCTGTGCAGCAGCTGCTGGCTGGAGGCTGGGGGGGGGGGGAGGGAGATGGGGGGTTAGGGAAGGAAACAAACGTGCAAAGTGTATTGGTGGCGAGTGAGGAAGTACGGTTGTGGTGCGCTGGTGATTGAAAGCTTCCGAAGCATGCGAGCCTAAACAGGCACTTCAAGCACGCCAACGAAGCGGATGGGGAAGAGGAGGATGCGGAGCAGCCCCCCCCCCAACCCCACCCCCCACCCCCCCTCCCTACCACTCACCCTCCCTCGTCTCCAGCGTCAGTCGTACAATGGTGTGACTGCGGCTGCTAACCGCATTCATCGCAGTGCTGCCCACCGCCCGCGCCGCCGCCCCCGCCGCCACCAGCGCCATGGCGGAGGCGGTGTCCCCCACCTGCTGCTCCAGCAGGCCGCTGACCCGCACGCCGACCCGCGGGTCGTCCTGGATGGCGAGGGGCACTGCGGAGGGGCGACCCAGTCGGTCCAGGGGGCCGGGGGGCGCCAGCAGGTCTCGGAGCTGCTCGTTGTAGAGCTCTAGCATGGAGAGCTGCAAGGGGGGGGGAGGGGAGAGGGAGGGGAAATGGTGGGACTGTGTTAAGATAAGTGGCCCCGATTGAATGTGCGTGCGTGGGGAGTTGCCAAGGGAAAGGGGGGAGGGAGGATGCTAGCGTTGTTAGCGGTAGGATGGAAAGTGAAGATTTCGAAGCTTCCTGTGGGGAATGAATAGGAAATGAGGGGTGGTAGCGCCGCCTGCTGCCTCCTCCCGCCTTGCCACCCCCCACCTTGACTCCGTGCTGCAGCGCCCCCCCCTTGAGCTCCCTCTGGGCCTGCAGCGTGCGGAGCAGGAAGGCCAGCGACAGCCCGATCACCCCCTCCTGCAGCCCGCTGCCGCCAAACATGGTGTAGGTTTTGCCTGGGGGGGGCGGATGGGGTGGGAGGGGAGGAAGGTGTGTGTTAGGAAAACAGGCCGCGAGTCAGAACGCACTGTATTTACCGGAAGGTGAAGTCCGTGTGTTAAGAATTTAGGCATGTGGAGTGCATTCCTAAAGGCGTGCGGCGGCGGTCGCTATTTCCCCAGCGAAACCCCCACGAACGAAACCCCCGCACCCTCCCCGCACCCCCCTCCACACTCCTCCCCCATCCACACGGTCAGTTCGCCAGTTTCCTCTGTATATCCCCTCTCCCCTCCCCTCCCTCCCCCCCACCCACCGCTGCCCGTTTGTCCGTACGCAAACACCGTGGCGTTCACCCCGCCTGCCGCCGCCTCCAGCAGCCCCGCCACATGCGCCCCCCACAGCTGCCGAGTGGAGGCACCCGGCCCCAACACCAGGTCGAAGGAGAAGACGCGGTCGGCACCCGAGTTGCGCGTGGACACTCCCTCGCGCAACCGGACGGTGCGACTGGGTGGGGAGGAGGGGGGGGAGGAAGCGGTTGGGCAGTTGGGGCGGAGGGCTCAGTAGGAGGAGGAAGACAGGCTAGCACAGTTTTCGGTCACCCCACCTGACCCCACCTTGTAGCCTTTTGCATGGTGCCACCCGTGCGCCCCTCCTCTCCCTCCTAGTGCCTCATCCCCCCCTCCCCCACCCCATTCCCCCCCACACTCACTTGGCCGAGTCCACCACCCACGCGAACGACTCGCCCCTCCGAGCCAGCGGCCTCGCCCGCAGAGCCACTCGGATCCGCTCCCTCTCCGGCAGACGTGCCGTACCAGCGGTGGTCGCCAGGCTCGCCGCCCCGCCCCCACCCATTGCCCCCGTGGAGGCAGCGACCCACTCGGCCACACCCGCCCCTCCCGCCGTCACCGCAGCCCCCAACGCATCCGCTTCCGCCATTCGCTTCTTGAGTTGCCCGGTTTCGAGCTCCCCGCAGGACCGCACCCTCCGCAGCACCCGGGGGGCAGACCAGGTCTCCGCTGCTGCTGCTGTCGCTGCTCCCGCTGTTGCTGCTGCTGTTCCTCCTCCTCCTCGCCCTTTCGAGGAGCCTCTTGACGCTGCAGCTTTCGCTGCTGCTGCCGCTGCTGCAGCAGCAGCAGCCGCAACGGCGGCGGTGGCGGCCGCCGCCGATGCATCGTCCAATGTCGTGTCTTCCTCCTCTTCTTCCGCTTCCTCCGCCTCAATGGGGATCTGACGGGTTGACGACCCACGGGTCTGCGCCGACTGGGCGCTCGTCACTCGGAGCATCTGCGCCGCCGCTGCACTGCCGACTCGCCCTCGCTCTCCGTTGCTAGTGGACGGAAGAACGGAACTCAATGCGGCAGCCGCCGCCGACGATTCGTCTTCGTCGTCGACAGCCTCGTCGTCGTCGACGTTATTCTCGCCGCGGTCAGTGGGCTGCGGTCGCCGTCGCTCGCCGGCGCCGTCATTGGCGCCGACGCCACTCGCCGACCGCGCGACGACTCGGCTCGCCGTACGACTGGCGGCGCGACTGTTGGGGTCAGTGGGGAACTCAGTGGTGTACGTTTCGAAATCTTCCTCGTACTCCTCCCGCTCCTCCTCCTCCTCCTCATTCGCTGCCGCCGCTGCCGCTGTCTCCTCCTGCAGCTCCTCCTCCCGCCCCACCTCCTCCTCCGGCAGTACCAGTGCCGAGGGGGGCCGAGGCAGCTGCTGCGCCCCCTCGCTGATGCGGCTCTCCACACTCGAGGTCACCAGTACCGCCGAGGAGAGGCCGGGCACCCCACCTGCCCCCCTGCCGCCCTCCTCCTCCTTCCCCGCTGCTGCTGCTGCTCCTTCCACTCCCTCCTCCTCCGCCGCCTCCGCTGCCTCCTGCTGTTGCTGTCGGGCAGCCTCGTCCCCCTCGTCCCGGCCCTGGGGTGAAGGAGAGGGTTGGGAGAGGGGTTCATGGAGGTTGGGAATCCCGCATTTGGCAGCTGGATTACAGGGTGGGTGCTCCCGACGTGCGGGGCGGCTCCAGCGCACACACGGCTCCCCGGACAACCAACCAAGGCACACAGACGAATGGTGGGCAGCTCCCACCCCCGTTCACTGCCATCACCGGCCAACACCGGCCACTGCACAGCAGACTGCACCCTCCTGCCTCACAACCCCCTATCTGCAGCCTCCCCTCCCCTTCCATGTACCCCTCCCCTCCCCTCCCCCCTGCTCACCTCGTCCTCCCCCTCCTCGATCGTCACCAACTGCCCCAACCCGCCGCTCGCCACCGACGCCGCATCATCCGCGCCTCCCCCCTCCGCCGCCCCCTCCCGCCGCTTGAAGCTCTTCCGTGAGGGCAGCTTGGAGAACCCCGCCACCGGGCTGAACCCGCTGGCCGCCGCCCCCTCCTCCCCCTCCTGCAGCTCGGGGGGGACAGTAATACCCGGCACGCCTATGCGCGCCAGGCGGCGGGCGGCGAGGGCGGAGCGGATACCCACACCGTCCGCTCGGATCTGCAGCTCCCTGGGGGGGTGGGAGGTGGGGGGGGAGGTGAGGTGAGGGGGGTGGGGAATCAGACATACTGAGCCGTGGAAACACTGACCCTGACTGTAGTATACCGGATATGGGAATCCTCCCACCTCCCAGCGCGCCCCCCTACATAACCTCCCCGCCTGCACACACCCCCGCCTGCACCCCCCCCCCTTCTCACTGCCTCCTGCGGCTGATGAGCTCCAGGAAGTAGGGGTCCAGCGGGTGGGAGGACTGCGACTCGCCCGTGTCGGTGTTGCTGGGGGGGGAAGGGGGAGGGAGGGGGGAAGGTGAGAAGGTTTAGGCGGAATGAGTGGAAGGGGAGTGGAAGCGGCCCAGCGCGGCCGGGACGTTAGTAGAGGTGGCAGTGAAAGGAGAGAGGGAGTATATCCAGCCCCCACCACTGCAGCCCTGCAGCCCTGCTCCCCCCTCCCATCATTATCATACCACACTTTGGAATTTCTTTTTTCCCCCCTCCCTCCCCCCCTCCTCCCTCCCGCCTCCCCCCCCTCCTCACATAAACACCGGGTTGCCCTCCTCGTCCTCCTCCTGCTGCCAGTGCGAGGGCACGGGCGCGCTGATGGCCAGCCGGCCCACATCCATCACGTAGGGGTCGTCCGAGGAACGGTCCACACCCAGGTAGGCGCACATGTCGAGAACCTGGGGAAGGAAAGGGGGGGAAGCAGGGGTGGGGTGGGGTGGGGTGGGGTGGTTTGCACAGCTCACTCCACACCCCCTCCGCCCCCTCACCCTCCAGTCGGGCAATGGGATTCGGGACGCCAATGCTTCACTTCTACCGGAACCTTCAAGCCCCCTCATCTCCACCCTCCTACCTCCCTCCGCTTTCCTTCCCCCCCTACCTCCCCCGGAGTGGGCGGCTGCTCCGCCTCCGCCCGCTCCAGCCGCTCGTACCCGCCCGCCTCCATGAAGGCGCAACCGCGGTAGTACACCGACAGCGGGTGCTCGTACTGTACGGCACCCGTGGCAGGGTTGGTGTACTCCCTGGGGGGTGGGGGGGAGAGCAGGGGCGTGTGTGTATGCATGTGCGAGAGCAGAAAAACAACCAACCCATGCCTCGCGCCTCATCCTTGCGTTCCCCTCAGCCGCGCGTCTGCTCGGCCCCGCATCATTCGCAACCCCAAGCAGCCTCCCTCCCTGCCTCCCTCCCGCCGGCCCCACCTGCGTCCCTTGTCCGGATCAAAGTTCGCCTGCCAGCCGGGCGGGAGGGACTCGGGCCGCAGCAGGTCCTCCACCACTCCCAACACCTCGGGGTGCTCCTCCTGCGGGGTGCGGAGTGCGATCATGGATTGCCAAGGTGGGAATGTGGATGGGTTTAGGCAGCAGAGTTCCGAGTTCGTATGCAGGCTTGGTGGGTTGGGGACGCGGAATGTGATGGCGTCCCGCGGCAATTTGGAAATGGGCGGGCAGAGAAATGTGCGTAGAAGGGTAGGAGGGCGAAGAGGAGGAAACTTACCAGTGAGACATTTAGCTCCTTGGCTCCTGCTAATACTTCAAGCGTGTACTCTTCTGGTGGAGCTTCCATGACGACGAAATGACCAATGTCGCTAAATAGAGCGCGCTTAAGTTTAATATGATAAACAATTCCTGTCGGTGATAGGGGTCATGTTCTGGGCAATCAACCCATGCTGGACTGAGCTGTTCGCCGGCCGGTTAAAACACTTCGAGGGAAACCGGGTCCAATATAAGATAGGTTAAACGCATTCTCCGTTGATTATAGACGAACTATACAGCGTTACAGCGGAATACTCTGCTTTGCGCAACAATAGGGAAGCTGCCTGGTACAGGCCGTCCAAGATAATGTTTCCTTAAACCCAATAAAGTACTTCGTATAGCATTCGATGCGGTCTGTGGTCCAGAGTGTCCTGTAGGGGCCATTGACACGACGCGCCCAGAGGTGGCCGCGGTCGTATGCTTTATCCGTACAGATGGGTCTTTCCCTTGTCTCCCTTCCCCATCCTTTGCTCTCCTTGCTGGTAAATCTACTTTCGACTTGAGCGTTAGTACATCCTAAGCCTTACCTGGCTCTTTAAATACAGGCAAGCAACCATGCAGAGCGTTGTTAGGTCGACCGCTCCCGCGGTCTCCAACCCGTTCATGGGCAACAAGATGTCTTATCGCGTTGTGGCGGCTCCGGCGCCTAGCACGACAGCTTTCCGCTCAGTGGCGACTATGGCCAAGAAGAAGGGTGTGCGACTCATTGTCACTATCGAGTGCACCGAAGCCAAGGGGCAGGGTGCCACCCCGTCGCGCTATGTTACCCAAAAGGCAAGCATAATTGGGATTAACGGATCAGCGTTAGCTGAGACCAGCCGGCGTCCGCTCTCCACTAGTTTTCTGGCTGCCACACATAGCGCCTGTTTGATTCTTAGGCCAGATTAAGCGAATTGCTATACCTACTGTAGTTCTCGTGCTATTCCAATTCACTCGGACTAAAAATCCAATACAGAGGCTCGTCGCTTGCTTGTCCTTGTCAGTATTCATGGCTAGGGGGTCACAGCTGCGCTTTACCGACCTGCTCTCTCCCTGGAACTGCAGAACCGCAAGAACACGCCTGAGCGTCTAGAGCTCATGAAGTACAACCCCTACCTTCGCCGGCACACCCTCCACAAGGAGGTCAAGTAAAAGACGCAGCAGCAGCAGGAGAGCTTTGGTGTGGCGCTGGTGTGACGGCAGCAGCAGAAGCAGCATCGGGCACGCTCCAAAGTGCATGCTGCGAGCAGCACGGCAGCGGATCCAGTAGGGGAGCAGGAGGAGCGCTGAGGAGGAGCTGGGCGCTGCTAGCTTCTGGCTGCTTGCGGCGGGCTGCAGCGGCGGTGTCGGGGTCCCCCCAGAGAGTAGTCATGGAGAGTTGTGGGTGGCTCTGAAGCCCTCTACGTCCGGTTGTGGATGTCACAGCTGTGGACGTGTGCACCCGACTGGTGATGCGGCTCAGGGGGCTTCGCAGGAGGCACGCACGAGGGTTGGGTTGGGTGAGGGGTGGCCTAGCGGCTGGGCATGCGGGCTTGGCAGCTTGGGGACCTGAGAGCATGAGGGACGCTTTGCTTCAGCAGGCCATTAGGGAGGACGTGGATTGGGAATAACACGGTGTGTATGACACCCATACACAATACACAGAAAGAATCACGTAATGGGGACGGTATTCGTCTGCTGGGCTGCGTCAGGCGCGGGCGCGAGCTAGGGTTGGTTGCATGGCGGCGTGTCATTCCTTGCGTATTCAGCTGCGAGGGGCGTTCCCGGCAATTTTGCCTTTTTCCTGTAGCCGGGAGGTCCCTGAGGGCTGTACGACATGGGTTTTGTTTACACCGCTAAATTTTGAGAAGTGACGAGTGGTTGTAAGTTTACCGTTTTCTCAACTCCCGGGGAGCATGTACGGCAAGGTACTACTAGTAGCTAGTTGGCTTCTTCGGAGACGTCGCACCACATGTTGAATTTACATGCAGTCAATTTAGCTAGGGTTTTACTGAACACAGAACGGTTTCCATGGACAGCAATCCCGCACGCCATGACAAACCCCCCAAACTGGCCATTGATCACCCATGCTGTTATGAAAAGGCTGCATGCTGTACTGCCCAGACCGCTATGTTGCCCCCCCCCGGGTGAACACGGCGCGCGTGCTTATGTACTCAATCCACACGAGTGGCCTCTGCACCCACACCTGCACTGGCACCCGCCTGCACTGATGAAGTCCACTGCCGCCTGCAGCCCGCCTGCCACCCAACACATGCTACCCCTCCCCTGGGACCACCACACACACCCCGGCAGCAACCCTTTGAAAAGCTGCAGTACCCGCCTGGCTGCGTCCCTTGCGGCCCTCCCCCCCCATGTGAGGCAACCATGATCCAGCACCCCCGGGGAGGCACCCGGTGGTCATGATGTCAGTCGAGCTCGACTCCTACGAAGGCATCCGAGCCAGCCCAATGCCGTGTCAGAAGGGGCAGCAGCATCACGTATTCGCGTTACTACTCCCACCCTGTATCCACCCCCCCTCACCAACAGCAACCCGCAGCACCGCACAGCAGCCGCTGCTGCCGGCTAGGCTCCTCTCCCCCCCTCTGAAGTGTCTCCGAATGCGCTCACTGCATGAGTCGGGATATGGGACTGGGACTCCATTGCTGCACTTATCCTTCAGTTTTCTCGCCCCCGAGAAAGGCCTACCCCCGTCATCGTAAACCCCAAGCAAGCCCCAGGCAGCCCCACAGCCTCCCCTCCCCCCCTGGTTCGGTATGGTCTTTGTCCCCCCCTACGCCCACGCCACACACTCCCCCCACAGCACCAGCAGCGCCGCCGCCAGGCCCCCCACCGCCGCCGGCGCCAGCCCCGCCCCCATCTGCCGCCCGCACCGCAGCCGCACCCCCAGCTCCCGCAGCCCCAGACCCCAGCGCAGCGCCGTCAGGGAGCCGCTTAGCGACAGCGCGGGAGCCAGGTTAACCGCAGCGACCAGCGCCAACTGGGCACCCAGCCGCGGACCTGCTGAGGCCGCTGAGGCTGCTTCTGAGGCCGTAGCGCTGCTGCTGGCGGGACCCACCGCACTAAGCGCACCATTGCCAACGCCGCTGCCACCAGCAGCTGCAAGGCTGAGGGCGGAGAGGAAGGCGGGTCGCATCATGGCTCGGGCCAGCAGTACGGCCGCAGCCTGCCCCGTCATAACGACTGACAAGGCGGCGGACAGCCAACCCAGTGTGAAGACGGCGGCGGCGGTGGAGGCGGCGGTGGTGAGGGCGGGTGAGAGGAGGGTGAAGGCGGTGGAGGTGGCGGGGGTGCTGCTGCCTGCCAGGTGTGCTCCAGCGGCTCCCCCCAGCTGTCCGCCGGCAGTGGCGGTGGCTGGGTCGGCCCCCTCCCCCTGCGAGGTGGAGGCGGTGGTGATGAGGGCGGCCAGCAGGGAGGCCAGTGCGTCCAACCAGCCGTGCACCTGGAGGGGGATTAAAAGGGAACGGGAGGGTAGGAAGGACGAGGGAGGGGGTGGTGTGTCATGAGGAGGAGGGGAGGAATGGCAACACGTGTCCACGTGGGGGGGGGGGGGGGGGGGTTGCGAAGGCGCGCCCAGCGCGTGATGCTCAGTTAGCACACGCCCAACGCGGGGAACCATTCCGGCCGGCACCAACAACCTACCAACCCCTACCGCGCGCAGCTCGATCCTCCCCCCCTCCCCCCCACCCCACCTGCAGCGCCTCCACCATGACGCACAGCCCCGCCAGCAGCACCGCCCCGCCCCACGGCAGCGCCGCCAGACTGCCCAGCAGCCCCACCTCGCCCGGACCCAGCAGCAGCATGGTCAGCGAGGGCGGGCGCTGCCGGGGGGCCGAGGGGGTGGGGGGACTGCTGCTGATGCCGCCGCCGGCTGTAGCAGCAGCAGCAGCAGCAGCAGCAGCAGCACCGGGGTTGTCGCATGCAGCAGCAGCAGCAGCAGCAGCACCGGGGTTGTCGCATGCAGCAGCCGACCACTGTGTGGAGACGGAGCAACCGACGGCGAAGGGGCCAGGGCTGCTGGTCCTACATGCGGCACCGGGGGTAGCAAGACCGGCAGCCCCGCCACCCTCGTCAGCAGCGCCGCCGCGGTCTGCCATCAACCCGTGGCCGGCAATGGACGTGACTCGGCGCAGCGAGGGTGCGGTGCACCACACCCACTCCGCGGCTGCTGCTTCACCTCCTCCTCCTCCTCCCTCCCCTCCTTCTCCATCTCCCCCCGGCACCGGCACCTGCGCACTGTTCCGCCAGCGGCCCCCCAGCAGCACCCGCCCCCCAGCTGGCGGCAGTGCTACGGGTGCGGGTGCGGAGTGCGCGGGTGCCACCCAGGTGCCCCCAGGCAGCGAGTGCCGCGGGTCGTCGCTGGCGGCTGCACCGCGGGCGGGTAGCAGCGCAGCACACTCCCCCGCCTCCCCCGCCGCCTCGTCACCCCGCCGCCAGCCGCCCCACCTCCAGCCCTCCAGACCCCCCGCCAGGCGGGGCAGACTGGGCAGCCGCGACACCCCACTCGTGCTGGGGGACCTGCTGCGGGCGGCGGCAGAGAAGGCGGTGGAGGCGGAGGCGAATGGATGCGGAGGAGGAGGATGGGGATGGTAGGGAGAGGCGGTGTGTTCTGGTGGGTCTGGTGTCCCCTCGGGGGCCGCAGGGGACAGGGAGGCGGCGGCGGAGGCGGCTCGCGACCAGTGCCGGCGGCAGCCCTCCGTAGCTTCCTCTGCGGTGGGGGTGGGGGTGCGAGCAGTGGCTGCTGTCGTCGCCGCCCCTACCGCTACCGCTACCGCTGCCGGCGGAGGCGGGTGCAGGTGCAGGTGTGAGGAGGTGGCTATCAGGCCGCTGCCGCTCACGTCAACGCTGACCGCAAGGCGCAGCTGCGACCCATACTCGGAGTTTAGTGTGGCTGCCGGCACCTCGCGTTCGCTGGTCCCTTCCGCGTTGCGTTCAACACAACAGCCAGCGGCGCTCTTCCTGCAGGTGACAGGAAGAGCCGCTGTGGGGGCTCCCCAGGCTCCGTTCCTGCCGCCCCCTTCTTCTTCTTCCCACTCACCGCCGCCAGCACTCCGCACTGCTGCTGCTGCCCCTGCTGCTGCTGCCGGGCTGCCACCACCACCACCTAGCTCCGCTGCGCCCGGGCCCTCCGGCCTGAGGGGCTGACTGCCCCCCGCCGCGGGTCCTGAGCCGCTGTCAGCGCTGGCAGGGCTAGCCAGCACGGTGGTGCAGCCAGCAGCAGCGGCAGCAGAACCAGGACCTGGAGAACAGCTGCCTCTGCGGTCGACCCCGTCGTGCGGTAGCGCCGCCTCTGCTCCCGCCAGCCCACCTCCGGCCCCCCAGCCCCCCCAGCCGCATGCGGCCATGGCAGTGACGCTGGCGAAGGCGCTCTCCAGGTGCGGGGCTGCAGCTGCAGCTGGGGGGAGGTGGCGGGGAGGCGGGGGGAGGTGGGGGGCGCATGCCGGCATGCCGCCCAGCCCGGCCCCTCCTTCCGTCGCTAGGGAAGTCCGCGGTCCGCCTGAATGCAGCTGCAGCTGCGATGGGAGCTGCACCTCCGCATCATACCTTGCATGGGCTGGATGTTCAAGGCCGGAGGATGAGGGGGTTCGGCTGTCGGCGGGACCGTCCCCGCAACCTCCGTACACTCCATCTGGTCTGGTGTTAGTGAAGGAGGGCGGCGCCCCATGCGGCCACGCCTCGTCCAGAGCCACCCCCTCCCCCACATCCCCCCTCAGCGCCCGCCACCGCATCAGCGCCTCCTGCGCGCCCAGCGCCGCCGCGGCCCACCACTGCGGCTCGTCCGGCGCCGCGGCCGTCCCACGGGTCAGCAGCTGCTGCAGCTCAATGGCCCCCGTGCCGGCAGGCGACCTACACCCACCCCCCGCTCCTGCTGTCCTTGCCGCTGAAAACGCCCCTCCTGCTACTGCCCCTCCTCCTCCTCCTCCTCCTCCTCCTGCGGGCCCCCCTGCAGCGGTGTCCGCTAGGATGGCCAGGTTGGCTCCCGCGTCCGCCGCCGCCTCCGCCAGCTCCCACCCGAACGCAGCCGACATGCGCCGCCCGCGCATGGAGGAGCAGCGGCGGGAGAACCAGCGGCGCAGCGGCGAGCTGTTGCCGCCCGCATCCGCACCCTCGCCTGCGCCCACACCCACTGCTGCTGCACCCGCCCATGCCCCCGCAGCGGCGGCGACAGCAGCGCCGCTGCCCCCCCACCCCCCGCTGCCCCCCCACCCCCCGCTGCCGGCCCACCCCCCGCTGCCCCACCACATGCCGTCCCCCCCGCAGGAGGATGAAGCAGCCAGACTGACCACGCTGGGGTTGCAGCTGAGGTACCCGCCACCACCACCACCACCACCGCCACCGCCAATGTTGAGAAGGGAGGCGGAGGGGGGCGGTGGGCGCATGGAGAGGCCGCGGCCCATGCTGTTGAGTGACAGTCGCCTGCCGCCGGTGGCCAGGTAGCTGGGCGGCGGCGGAGGGGTGCTGCTGCTGCGGAGCTGATACTGATACTGCTGCGGCGGTAGTGGCGGTAATGGGTGGTGCTGGTGGTGGTGCTGGTGATGTGGGTTGGCGGCGGGGGGCGGTTGTGCGGCGGTGGTGGGCGAGTTGGCGGTGACCCTGCGTGCGGTGGCAGCGGCCAGGCGGCTGAAGGAGGCGGTGCGGGTCTGCGAGGCGGAGAGCAGCAGGTCCGCCAGGTCCTCGTCGCTCAGGGAGCGCTTGAGACCCTGGGGAGGGGAGGGAGGAGGGACGGGCGGAGGGGGAAGAGGAAAGGAGTGACAGGCAACCTAGGTTATAGGGCAGGAAAGCAGGGCCGCCAATCCAATCCTGCTCCCCTACGAGGCCCCCCCCTCAACCAACCCCTCCCCCCCACCCCCCCACCTGCTTGGTCAGCTCCGCCCGCAGCCGCTGCCGCCGCTCGTACCCGCCCCGCCGCCCGATCGCCCCCGCCAGCGGCCCCACCGCCCCCGCCGCCACCGCCGTGTAGCCCCCTGCCAGCACCGCAAACACACACGCCACCAGCCACCCGCGCCAGCGCAGCATGGGCGCTGCGGCCAGACACAGCAGGCAGCCGCACAGGCAGGCGCAGCTGAGGGAGGCGCCAACCTGGGGGTAAGACAGGCAATGGATGAGGCATTGTGGGCAGGCATCACATAAGCCCCAGCAGAAGCCCCCTCCCGGCCTCCCTCCTAGTCGAGGTCCTCCCCTCACCCCTCATCCTCACCCCACCTGGTCATGCAGCACTATGCTGGGGTCTGGGTGGGGGCCGCTGCCGCTGCTGCTGCTGTCCCAGCGCGGGGCGGCTGCCAGGTGGCGGCGGTGCAGCAGCAGGTGCAGCAGGCCCAGCACCACCACAGCGGCGGCTGTAAGGGAGGAGGAAGGGGGAAAGATCAAGGGTCAGGCTCCTCGTGGTATATAGGGGGGGTCTAGTGAGGCGCCGTGGCCGACGAATACCGGTACATTGTGAAAGAGCCCCAGAGGGCCCCGCAGCGAGCGAGATCGAAGCAGGTTCCCTCCTGGTTCCCTCTTGCAGTCCCCATGCTGCCATGCGGCTCTCACCCCGCTATGTCGTACCCGCCCCGCACCCCGCTATGTCGCATCCGCCCCGGACCCCTGTGTCGTACCTAGCGTGGGCAGCAGCATCCAGCCCATGTAGCCCAGGAAAGTGAGTCCGAAGGAGCGCACCAGCAGGATGTTGGCAGGGCCCGCGACCGGCACCAGCAGGCCCCACACCGCGGAGGCGCCCAAGTGGGTCGCGGCCAGGGACATGGGGTCCAGCTGGGCGGCGGAGGCGGTGTAGACAACCATGGGCGTCAGCGCAACCAGGCTGACATCGGCGCTGGTCAAAGATGTGATGGCGCCTGACAGTCCGAAAAAGGTAATTATCAGCAGAAGAGGTTTTCCGTTTGTAAGTTTGGCTGCGTGGAGGGCTAGCCAGGAGTAGAGGCCAGTAATTTCACAGCATATGGCTAGGTAGGAGAGCGAAAGGTAGGTCAAGATGATGGGAGCTGGCTGTAGGCTGCCGTCGCCAGCAAGGCCGTTGCCGATGTCCTCAAGTGTAATTGCTTGAAAGATAAGCAGTAGAAGCGCAGCGAACCACGGCACCCAGCAGAAGGAGACGCGGAAGCTCCATCGTGTCCAGGGGATGCGGAACTTCAACCCACGGGGAGCAAGCGCGTAGGTTCCGACTATCGATAAAAGAAAGACTAGCAAACTCAGAGCACCGTGAAATTGTGTCTTCATGTCTTAATAGTGGAGCGACCGACCGGCGCATGAGGGCTGTAGTCAGCCTGCCCAGGTTGCGTGGAGTGTCATACGCAAGTAGGGAACCGTTTCTTATGAATTGGAGTAATTAGAATTTCAAGACTACAGCCTCCAGTTTGCAGAAGGTTTGATTTGTAAGCAAGGCGCTTCGTTTCTTTGCAAGTCGTCCGCTCATGGCAGCATTTGCCATTCATGCCGCTTAGTATACGACTATTGCAGTCGTCGCCTGTTTTCTCTTTATGCTGCCGTACTACCGTTGGGCGTCGCCATCCATGTGACATCCTGGAACTCGAAGGGCGCCAGCATGCAACAGGCTCAAAGGCATGATCGGCTAAGCCAGCTTATCCTGCTCTTGTGCGGCGATTACAATTTATGTCTAGCTGGTCCAAGGCAGCATCCGCTATCGTACATAATCAGTACGCGCGAATAGGCACTACGCACGAGGATGGCGTGCCGCCAAGGCTTAGTTAAACGCATCCTCTTTCCCGCACGCAGCGCAACACAACACAACGCGCGACGCTCGCTCGCGTGACTGTCAGTCCAGTCTTGCCCCCCCCCACCCTCCCACGCTCCGCCTCATTCCCACGTGTTCCCCGCAACACGCTTCAACAGATGCTTCCACAACACCCCACTGGCCGCACTGCAAAGCGCGCTCCCCTCATCACCTCCTCAGGGTATGTTGCTCATGGCATCCTCGGGCGGCTGCTCCGGGAACTGGGCGCGGGTGGGGTAGAGCGCGGGCGCGGAGGGGCTGGGGATGGCGTTCCTGCGGAGGGATAAAAAATATATATAATGAGGGATGGGGGGGGTGGAGCGGAGGGGGGGGAAGAGTAGGAAGGGGGGGAGACGTCAGCAGCGCAGCCAGGGGGGCGAGGGGGGCGACAACCTACCGGTATCCACCTGTGACAGCCACCCTCCCCCACCAGCATCCCCACCACGGCCCCGACCCATGGGACACCCCCCCGCCAACCCCCTCTACCCCCCATTCCCTCCGTCACCCACCACACGATGATCTCCGCCCCCGTCACGTCCGTGAGCCGCAGGTCCAGAGGCAGTCGCGGCAGCCCGCTGAACTCCCACTGCGCCCCCGCCGTGTTCTGCATCACTCGCCAGGAGGGGCCGCGCAGCGTGCCCACACAGCCGGGGACCAGCCCGCCGCCGCCGCCGCCACTGCCGGGGGTGGTGGCGCCGGTCTGCTGCTGCAGCTGGGGGTTGGCGGCTGCAACCAACATGCGGAGAGGGGAGGGAAGGTAAGGGGCACTGAGAGGAAGTCGGGAAGAGAGCCTCACCGGTGCCCGCCGCCGCCGCAGCAGCAGCGCGTCCCCTACCTTGCAGCTGGCACCGCTGCTGATGCTGCAACGGCCGGCAGCAGCAGCCGCAGCAGCAGCTCGGCATACCGGTACGTGTGGCATTGGGTACTTCTTAGCTCACAGGACAAGCACACGGTCACCCTAACAAGGAAGCACACCGGGTACGGACACCCCGCCCCGCCCCGCCCCGGCACCCACCCGCTCCGTTGCCCGCACCCGCACCGCCGCCGCCGTCACTGCTGCGGCTAGGGGTGCTGGGGTTGCTGCCGGGTCGGGGGCAGTGCGCGATTGCGGCCCCCGCCAGCCCCTCGCCCGCCACATCCCGCACGCTCAGTCGCAGCCAGCCGCCCGCGGTGGCTCGGAAGGCGTTGACGTACACACTCAGGTTGCGGTCTGGGGGGGGATGGGGGGGTGGGTGGGTGGGTGGGTGGGGGCAGTACCTCACGGTACGGAGGCCACACGAGGCAGCTCCACCGGAGCTCAGCTAGTGAGAGCTCTCCCCCGCACCCGCACCCACCTAGCGAGGGACACGAGACCTGGCGGTAGGTGACGTTGACGACACCGACCCGCGGGTCGGCCAGCTGCGCGAATGCATCCACGTGCAGGTTGAGGTCCAGCGGCCCGCAGGTGTCGCACTCGTCCGACACGGACAGCAGCAGGCGGCCGGGGCCGAGCAGCGGGGAGGTGGGGGAGGGGGAGGGGAGGGCGCTGGAGGGGGGGGTGAGGCCGGCGGCGGCGGTGGGGTGGAGGCAGCCGGGGCTGCCCTGGGGGGCGGGTGGGAGGAGAGGGAAGGGGTGGGGAGGGAGCGGAGGGGAGAGGGGTACAGGAGGGATGGTGTTGTTTCGTATGTCAGGAGGGGCGAGAGATGTGCGGATAGGGAAGTGCGCGGAAGCTGTACAGGCATGCGGTGGCCGTCAGGAAATCCCTTAACAGTACCGTAACACTCGTTCATGCTTGAAGGCTGCTCCCAGCCCTCATTCGTCCGTTACGTCGCGAGACCCCATCATCGGCCGGCGGAACCACTAACCCCTGTCCGCCCGCCAGCCCGCCCGCCACCTTACACTCCCCCCGCCCCTCTCCCCCCTCCCACCCACCCGCCACCCACCCGCGCGCACACCACCTCCAGGCAGCTGCCGCACGCCGCCAGCGGGCGCCGCTTTGCCAGCGGGGAGTCGGGTGACACGCCCACCACGTAGGGCGAGGTGAGGGGGCCGAAGCCGCAGTAGTTGTTGGCCAGGGTCACGTTCTGGGGTCAGGGGCGGGCGGGCAGGAAGGAAGGAGGGTAGGGCAGCGCAGTCGGGACCCGCTGCAATGGGGCTTGTATCCGAGGAGTTAATGATGCGTTGTAGAGCCTGTTGGGTACCCATCCAGAGCCTTTGCATGAGTACGAAGAAAATGTATTGTTTCAAGCACGGGCAAGAGATTAGATGCATGCGGAGCCAAGTGGAGCTCTGCATTCTTGCTTGTGTGACCCATGGGTCACGCCTCCCTGCCGGAAGGAGGCGGCGCAATTGGCCGCGCTCAGGCCATGAGCGGCGGCGGACTGTTTGCGGAAAGGAACATGCACACATGCTGCTCATTGCAGCCCGGCTACTCACACCACGCAACCGAGTGCAATGCAGCACAATGGCAATCGATCTGGATCAGTTGTGGATGATTCCGACAACGAGACCACACTGCTCTGGAAACCAGCTGCCTCATAGCCCTCCGCACCTGTCCCTTGGTGCCGAAATGAAATCCTTTTGCCGTAACAGGAACAGAAAAGTTGGAGCTCTCGGCCCAGGCTCCCAGAGCAGCGGTGCTGTTGGCGGTCTTATTAGCGGCTGCTGCTGCCGCTGTGTTAGCCGCCTGCGCAAGTCTGCGCAAGCTGCTGCCGCCTCGGGCCCCTTGAACTGCTGGGGTTGCAGCTACAAGAGATGCAGTTATGAGGAGCGGTATCAGGGCCGCCCGGAGCGCCTGACGGCTGTTGCAGCCGCCCCGAAGAGGAGGACTCATGTTGGGATCCCCTCAAGTTGAGTAACTGTTAATTAAATTTAAATCAGTAAGCTAATCGGAAAAGATGTTGATGCTTTAGTAGTTCTTCAAGTTGGGGTGCGGCTGTTGATGTCACGCCGCGTGGTCGTAGACACACCGGCAATCGGAATACGAAAGTTGCCTTCCCGCGCCCCGGCTGACTGGCCCGCAACAACACCGCTGCACCAGCTGCTGCTGACCGCTGAAGGGTGGGTAAATGAGGTTCACAGCCTCTCAGCAGGCGCCAGGTGCGTTTCCCCAGGCGCTTGGCACAGCAGCTGGAAGAGGGTCGAGCAGCACCCACAGCAACCAAAGCAGCACCCGTGTCTCGCTCTGCGCAGGCTTTGCCTTGACACGGGCTGAGCGCTGACGCGAATAACGCTGAGTAGCCAGGAGAGGTACTCGCAGAGCGCCCCGAAGGAGGCGATGAGCAGAGCAGCACTACCCGGATCAGCCATGGAGATCCCTTGCTAAAGAGTGCTGTGCACGTTTAGGCATGCAAGCTACTAGGACGCTGTTCTTGGCAAAGAGGTTAGGGTGAAGCGTTGTATGGGTGTTGCATTTCGTAAGCAGCAGGGGTTGCCCAACATACCGGTAGCAATTACAAGCTACGGTATCTGTCAGAGCCTTGGAGCAGAACTCACTCATTGCAAACCTTAATCGCATCCTGTGGTATATCATTGCCTTCAAACCGATACCTGGGTAAGAAGGCACTTTCGGTCTACACTTGCCCTTTGAAGCAGAGATTGTTGCCGCAGCAAGAACAGCGGCGTCCAACGGCCGTTCAACGATGAAGTCAGCGCACCGGCAGGGCGCCCATCACAACGGCTGCAAACGGAACAAGAACACCAGCTCATTACTGTGGTCAACCAGCTAGACCCCTCCCTCGAACAAGTTATAAATACTCGCAGTACGCGGCAAGCTGCAAACGCACCAACACCGTTACCACCACCACCACCACCACCAGCTCACAACCATGAACCCCCTCCGCATGAGCCCCCACGCTACCCCCTCACGCCCAGCCCGCCCCCAGGTTGCTCCGAGGGAAGCTGAACAGTCGCACCGAGTGGTCCTCGGACCCCGAAGCAAGCTGCAACACCCCTGCCGCACCCGCACCCTGCCCCGCACCCGCCTCCCCTGCCACCGCCGGGACCGCCCCGCTCCCCGGCGCCCCCCGCCACCGCAGCCTCCTCACCGCCCCCACGTGTCGCCACGCCTCCCCCGCACACCACACACGCACCGCAGTCAGGCTGACAGGTGGTTGACCCCGCAGTTGCCCCGTCAACTGCCACAACTGCAACGACCCGTCCTCCAAACCAACCGCCAACAGGTACCGACAGCAGCTCCCGCTGCCGCTGGCAGCAGGTGGGAGCGGTGCGAAGGCGACTGCGGTGGCGGAGCAGGGGAACTGCGGCAGCGTGACGGCCAGCTGCGGGGCAGCAGCAGCAGCAGCACCCCCGCTGCTGCCGCTGCCGTCCTCACCGCTGCTCCCCCCCACGTACCAAACCTTCACCGTCTCGTCTCTGGAGGCGGTGGCGAGCAGCCGCTCATCCAGCGACCAGGACACGCCCCAGATGACCCGTCCGTGCGCCGCCTTGGTCCGCCACACCAACTCAAACGTGGGGTCGCCCTGCTGCCCCCCTTGCTGCCCCTGCTGCCCCACTTGCTGCTGTCCTGCCTCTTCCCCTCCGCTGCCCCCCAGCTGCTGCCCCTGCCCTTGTCGCGGCCGCACGCATGCAAACACGCTGAAGGTGCGGTCCCTGCTTGCGGCCGCCAGGCGGCCCCCCGAGGGGCTCCACTCCAGCTGCGTGACTGTGAGGGTGTGTGCGCGCAGCTGGGCTAGCGGGCGCCAGGAGGCGGTGCACCACACCCAGATGGAGGCGGTGGAGGCGGTCTGGGGGGGGGCAGGGGGGGTTAAGAGGAAGGAACTAAGCAAAGTGACATGGTTCCACCCCTCGCGGACTCTACCGAGGCCAACACAGGTCAGGGCGAGGCAGACGTAGGGCCCTCGGGGGAGAGGGCATCTCTTTCCCTAACCCCCACCCCCCGGTTGAATCTCTGACCCTTCCGGTTCCTCCCCCCCCCACCTGCGCCTTGCATGCGGAGGCCAGCAGCCGGCCGTCCGGGCTGGCGGCGGCGCAGAAGACGTCGTTGCCGTGGCCGTACAGCTTGTGGGTTTCGGGCCACAGCGTGTTTTGCGCGAGGTGCTCCTCCAGGGGGGGTTCGCGGATGACCTGGAAGGCGGGGGGGAACGGGGGGAGGGGAGGGGTAGTGTGTATTGGGAGTTAAAACACGGTATGGAGACGAGAAGAGAGAGGAGGGCAGAGTTTACTAGGGAGAAGTGGGGCTGACGCAGGTAAGGAAGAGTCAAGGCGCAACCCCCCTCAGCACCACCGTCACCCGTCCTCACTACACCCCCATCAACAACACCCATGTCCCTCATCCACCCCCCAAACCCCACCCCTCCCTCATCCTACCTGCGGCGCCGCACAAGGCACGAAGTCCGGACCCTCCGAGTACTCCCCTCCTGCTCCGCCTCCCGCCGCCCCCTCCCCCTCGTACACCGCCTTGTTACTCAGCCCCAGTGCCGCAACTGCCGCCCCGAAACCGTGTCCCCGCCGGCGCTGCGCCGCCAGCGCCCGACCCGCGGGTCGCTCCTCGCCGCCTCGTAACGCCAGCAGCGAGTCTATGAAGGTCTGCGGCGCCTCCAGCACTCGCAGCACCTTCTCCTCGCTGCCCGCCACGTAGAGGAAGTCGGAGCCGGGCGGGGAGGCCACGGGGGCGACACAGCGGAAGTCGTGACCGTGGACCTGCGGGGGTGGGTCAAAGATCGAACCATGGGAAACCACATGTTGGGGCAGGTTGGGGGGTTGTGGGTCAGTGGGTGTGGGGAAGGCGGGAGAGAGGGCGGGGGAGAGGAGGGCGCGCAGTAAGCCGATAAGCAATGCGGATGTGCCGCAGCAGCGGATGTGGAGGCAGCGGGGACTAGTGGGCTAGTGGAGGACCTCAAGCTCCCCACCCCTCGCTCCCACCCTCCCCCCTGCTGCTCCCCCCTGCTGCTCCCCAGGGCCCACCTGCGACCGAGCGATCTCGCACCAGTGCTCTTCCTCCTCCTGCCCTGCCGCCTGGCCCCCCTGCTGCTGCTGCTGCCCCTCCTCCCCGCTCCCGGCTCCTCCTCCTCCTCCCCCTCCCCCCTCCCGCCGCCGCTGCCAGCTAATGCCCGCATGTACTCGCGCCGTCTGGTCCGCCCCCACACTGACCAGGCAGCCCCCGTCCAGCCCCCAACCCAGGTCCGCCACGGGGCCGAAGTGCCCCCCCAGCGCATGCAGCGGCAGCCAGGGACTTCCTCCGCCCCCGCCACCCCCGCTCCCAACAGCAGTAGCAGCGGATGCCTCGTGACCCCCACCTCGCCTCCACAGGTGCAGGGCGCCCGTGAAGCCGTGTGCCAGGATGGCGCCCCCGCCCGGCCCCCACACACCCCCAAAGTAACCCAGACAGGATGCGCCCGCATCGCCCAGCGCCGCCTCGTTCATCCAGAGACCGCTGGAGGCCTGTTGGGGGGGATTAAAAAAATATGTAATGAGACTGACGATGCAACTGACGAGCTGTATGACAAGGCTTCACCATGGGGTGCAAACATGGTTGCCTGTGGGGGGGAGAGGGGGGGTCAGAGACCTTATGAAACCATAGGAAGTTACAGGTGCGGGTTGGGGGGAAAAAAGGAGAACCATGCGTTTAAGTGGTAGAGGCAAACTAGGTGACAAGCTGGGCGGAAGGTGGGTGGCTACACAGCCATTGTGCGCGAGCCCCCACCTCGTATCTCCAGATGATCATGGTTCGGTCCATGGACGCAGTCAGCAGTGCCGCACTGCCCCGGCGGTGCACCCCGCCCGGCCCCCTCGCGGGGTGGGGCGCCCAGGCCAGGGAGTGGATCCAGTCCTCGTGGCCGATCAGGAGCGCTTCACTGCTGGCAACGTAGCTGGGGGAGAGGGAGAGGAGGGGGAGGGAGTGAGAGAGGGAGGGTGAGAGGACATGTCATGCGAGGAGAGCCGCTGTGCTGCTCCGGTGTGAAGCACCCCGCCACCCCTCTCGGGGGTACCCCTCTCCACCACCCCATCCCACCCCTTATCACATGGTCAGTTAGTTGTCTCCTCCACCCCCCACCCCCCACCAAAAAACAACAAATCCCAATCCCATATCCCGACTCATGCAGTCGGGATATGGGATTGGGATTTGTTGTTTCACTTTTATATAATTTTTTACCCCCCACCCCTGCCCCTCCCTCCCCACCGGGTGCGGTCCGTGCGGATGTGCGGCTTGGGCGCGTAGCGCTGAATCAGCGCTGCCTGCGGGTCCGTAGCAGTGGGGGGGGCGGGGGGGGCGGTGGGGGCTGCCACTGCCTCCACAGCTACCTCCGCTGCCGAGAGGTGTTCGGGCTGCAGCTTCCAGATGCGGCCGTACCTGCGGGGGGGGGGGGTAAGGGGGGAGCAGGTGAGGAGCAGGCGGCAGAGCCACCTACCGCCCCCCGGCCCCAACCGACTACCCACAGCCGCCCCGAGGGGAGGGCCCGGGTGCGCCCTTCCTAGCACCCAGCTTGCCTTGCCGCCTCACCCGCCTCCTCACCCCTCCCACCCCCTCTCCCCCGCCGCACCTGTCCTGTGACACACTCGCCAGCAGCAGCTGCGGCCCCTCCGGCCCCTCCCCCTGCCCCTCCTCGGGCTCCAGCTGGCAGAAGGCCAGCCCCCGCACCCAGTTCTCGTGCCCCTCCAGCACGCAGGCGGGGGTGAAGGTGGCGGAGGGGCCGGGCGGGCGGGTGTACAGGGTCACGCGGCGGTCCGTGCCGCCCGTGGCTAGCAGCGTCCTGGAGGGGGGGGGGTAGCGCGGGTGGGGAGCGGGTGGTGGGCGGAGCGAGGCGAAGGAGCGTGAGAGCGGACGGGCGAAGTGGGTTGACGGGTCCCGAACAGCACTACCCACTGTCACTCAGCCCCACTGCAGCTGTTGGCCCATTGCCCTCCTCTCCCTCTCTCCCTCTCACGCACATCACAAAGTTAGTTGTTTCCTCTTTACCCCTCCTCGCCCTCCCTCTCCCTCCCCCCCTTCCCCCCCACCAGTGCGGGTCCAGCGGCAGGTGGGTGAGTGCGGCGGCGCTCTGCATGCGACTGCCCACATGCAGCCGCTGAGACTCACACCACCGGGACTGGAGGTACGGCAGCGGTACGGCAGCTGCTTCCTGCTGCTGCTGCTGCTGTTGCTCCGGAACCGCCTCCCTTGCTGATGGTGGCTGCTGCTGCTGCTGCGAGGGAGGTGCTGCTGTTGCTGTTTCGGAGCCTGCACTGTCATCAGCAGGAGCAGCAGCAGGAGCAGCAGCAAGTGGGCCCTCCTGGCAGCTCCAGATGATGACGTCAGCATCCCCCGCCGTACTGACCACCAGCAGGCGGGAGGCGGGCGGGCGGGCGTCAGCGGGGGAGGAGGGGGCGGCGGGGTCCGTGACACGGTGTACGGCAAGGGAGGTGACGGGCGCCACGTGACCCCGGAGTACGGCAAGGCACTGCCAGGAGACTGCGGTTGCAGCTGAGGCGGGGGACGCAGGAGAGGTGTACGACACGAGCCAACAGCGGATGGTGTTGTCGGTTGAGCCGGAGAGGAGGAGGTGCTGCCCCGGCGCGAGCTCTGGTGTTGCTGCATAGGCATTCGGAGAGGCAGGGACGATGAGGCATGAAGGCCCTTACCGTTACGGTTAGACACGAAGGCAACATCGCGCGATAGTCGCTCTTCACTAGGAACAGCATGAGAATCAAGTATACTTATGATGTTATGGATTCTATGCTGTTGGAGGCCAGTGATCGATTAGCATGTTGTTACCAGGCTTAGTATTCAGTATCTTACCTTCATGCGGCACCCACAAGACGCAATTCACCATCCCAGTGTGGCCGCACAAGGTCGAGACTACCTTGGCCGACTGCGATGGACAGTTGCAACCATCGGTCCAACTTTCAGCACGCCGGAGATAAGCACAAATTAGTTACATAGAGCTTCCAAGTTGAAACGTGAATAGTAATTCCCTACCTCAACGTCATATAGCGCAACCATGTGGTGGGCGGCAAAAGCGACGCCGCCATGCGCACCCCACGCCAGCGCATTTACTACTCGGTTAACACCAACACTAATATAGTCTAACGAGGCCTCCATGATGGTCGGTTTATGGCACGCCTACTCCTGTTAGCCCTTCGCACTTTCAAAGCAACTGAAACATAAGGGGCAACACCTGTCCCACGCTTCCTCGCGAAAGGACGTAGAAGATTGCGGACAGGATTTAATATGAGGCAAGTCTCAAGGTTACAGAAAGGAAGATCTCTTGTAAGAAGCAACCAATGGGCCCATGGGCCGACCAGTACTGCACTGTCAGCACACCCATGCAAGAGGCAAGGCCAAATCCTAGATGCCACCAACCCACTAAGCCCCTCTGCAACGCCCTTGCAGCCCTCTTACCCTCCCTTGACCCCCAAGAATCCTGTTCACACACAATCAACACTGCCACTTTGCCACAACCGCCACGCGCATAAACCAGGCGGCCTGCTCCTCTCCACTCCCGCAAGCCCAGCCAAGCAAGTTGTCCCCTCTGTGACACCCATATCGTGCTATGTCGGGTACTGCGGCTCCAGTTGCCCGTGTTGCCCGTAGCCGTCCTGCCCCCCCTGCTGCTGCTGCTCCATGGGCGGTGGGGGCGGCGGCAGTACGAACTGCAGGTTGAGCCGGAGACGGGACAGCACCGCGGGTACGGCGGAGATGATGGGGCCGTACCGCGGCAGGTTGTCGTACAGCTCGAATACAGGTACGGCAACCAGCTTCATGTTCTTGGGCACCTGTACGGCAACCCAACACGGCACGTGGGTACGACGGGCCACACATGGCACCACCTGTGTCAGTACCGGTATCGCTTGGCATACTAATTCTGGTCAACCACGAAACGACGGCTTGGAATCACCGGGAGGTGCCTCACGAGCTTACATAAACCCTTGGGCCGGCACCCTGCACTTAGGCCGGTGCCCGGCTCGCAGCTCCATGCGCCGCTCCATGCGGCCCACACCCCCGCCGCCCCCGGGGACACCCTAGCTAGCCTCCCACCTGACCCGTTGGCCCGGGCTCCCACCCATCCCAACCCCGCAAACCGGTTTCCTCCTTACCCCGCCCCCACGCTCTCCCCCCCACCACTACCCCGCCTCCACCACCACCCCCTCACCGCGAACACGCATCGCTCCGGCAGCTGCACCACCAGCAGCTTGCGGCACTCCTTGGGCCGGCTGATGTGCGGCGGCACGTAGGGGTAGAAGGCGGTGTCGAAGTTGGGCCGGTAGAACACACTCAGAACCTGGGGGCGCATGGGAGCGCATGGGGGCGTGCGGGGAGCGAGGGGAGTGCAACGGCGGGCAGGCATGGGGGCCGGGGCGCGAGCAGCAGCAGCAGCATTGCAGCACAGAGCGAGAAGGTGGAAACAGGTCAGGGAGGAAGAGGAGGGGTGCGTGATGCCGCTGAGTGTATGGAAGGGATACAAGACAACAGCCGGTGGGGACAGCAGCCCGGCTCGACATGCGCCCTACCCCCGCCCCAGACTGCAGGGCGCGTCTAGCACGATGGTGGCACCACCGCCTCTTGCGGTGCCCTGGCGCAGGCGCTACCAATGGTGGATGGCGCCAGCTACCCTCCACCCCTGCATGCTGGCTGCTGCAGACCGCTCACCCGTGCCGCACTCAGCGGCTCCCCCCCTGTACCGCTCACCTCGCCCACGTCCCACACCACCTGCAGCGCCGTGCTGGGGGGCGCCAGGTTGTTAGACAGCTTGCGGCGCAGCCCCTCCACCTCTGCGTGCAACCCCGGGGCCCGGAGGGAGTTAGCGCGTTGGCAGCGCCGTATGAAGACTCGTGCTCATTGCAGGGTCTATTGGCCCCCCTGCAGCAACACATGTCGCGGCAGGGCATTGCAGCAGCCGACGCACCGTCTTCCCCCGGACGTAGCCGTCCGCCTGGTAACCGGAAGTAAGACTGTCCGAGTTGAAAAAGGAGCACATGAGGGTGGTTGTGCTCTTGGACTAGCAAGATAGCCTCCACGGATCGTCGCATGCCGTCTTTTTCATAACTGCAGCGCAGGGATTGGCGGCCAAATGACCCGAGTGACACAGAACACAGTACCGCGTGTTCGCCGCATCATTTTGTAAACTGTATTGACGTAAACACACTTACTTGCTTTTCAAGCGTGCCAAGCGCTCATTTACGTTCGCATCCTTTTCCAGCTTTGGGGCTTTGGTGCCAAAGCTGTAGTTGCCTACTGGATAAACATTAATAACTGGCTGTCCTCTTGTTGCCATCCTGAAAGATTAATGCAATAATCAATAGACGCCTATGTCGAACAGGCCATTGACGACGCGCGAGGGGCGCAGGGCGTTGACATCGTAACAAAAGCGATATCTCGATACCCAGAAACGCGGTTCAATGCTTATGGTGCAGTGAACATGTAATGCGCAATTGAACGTGCTAAGAGGCAAACCGCTACGCTGTACATTCGTAAGGCCGTACATGCACACCATTAACCGCTGCATGGCTGCGGTAAGTGGGCCGCCCAAAGCAAGCCTCTTCTGGTTGGATGGATGCATGTCCTCTCCCGACTATGCATTCCATGTTGTCCTGGGGTACATAGTCTGCGTACAGGCTGTTGGTGTCCGCCTGGTAGTGGGCAGCTGACCCGAGTGGTGTGATCACTGTGATGCCGGTTGGATGCTTCACCTCCGGAGCAGCATGGCACCTAAGCATGTGAACATATAAGTTGCGTTGGAAGCGTTTCCCAGAGCAACCGGGGACAGTTTAACTCAATTACCAGTAACGGGGTGAACTGCCCTGTGGGGCCAGCAGCCATGCTGGTCCTATGGTGCCACCCAAGGGGAATGCCGGGTTAGCCTGTTACACCAGCCCTCCCCACAAGCACGACCACTCCAATCCAGGTCCATGTGTGTTTGTTATGCGGCACGTGCGCGACCAGCGCTTGCTCAGCACTGGTAGGCAGGGTGGAGTCTCTGGCTGTATGAGGGTATGCTAGGGATGGTTCGTGCCTTCTACGTTCTTTCTGCGTGCTTGTGCACACACGTGGATGTAGCTTCCCCACCACCACCACCACCACTGCCAGCACCGTCGCAACCATTGATTCATCAGTCAGATAGGAAGAGCACGAGGCTCACAGAGAAGTCCAGCTTCTACCCATGAGCCTACCTAAGTTTGAAGAGAGAGGAAGACACGCGTCGGTGAGAATACCCTGGTAAAGCATTTGTCTTCGGCAATAGGTTGCCCAGCTCACTCACACCCCTCCGTTGTTTCAACCCTAACGTTGTCCTTAATGCGTTCTCGTTCGCATGTAAAGCCGCATGCGAGAGAATCCGTCAACATACACTTAATCACCGTCGTTAAGAGTATATACATGTCGCATCACGTCCAAGATACCGGTACGGTCACAAATAATCTCCGCAGTCCACAGCATAAAGCACGTATGCACACAATTTGGTCACCCCAACGCATGCCTCCCCCCTCAGTACTTGAGGCGGTCCCCAATCATCTTCCGCGCCGCCAGCAGCTCGCTCTTCAACCTGTCGTTGTCCTCCTGGATCTTGCGACGCAGCAGCTCCAGCTCAGCAGCACGCGCGCTCTCACCGCCGCCGCCGCCCGGTGAAGGCTGCGGCAGCTGTGTCGCCGGCGCCTTGCTGGCCGCCCGGGCCGTGGAGGCGCCGCTGCCGCCGCCGCTGACGTACCTGGGTCCGCGGGGGCTGATGGTGGCCAGGCTGATCTCGGGCGGCGGCGAGGGGCTGCCGACACGCAGGCGGTCGATGAGCGCCTCCACCTGCGCCGTGTCGCTGGCGCCGCTGGCGGGGCGGGCGGTGGCGGCGTCCTTCACGGCGGCCAGCAGCAGCTCCATCTCCTCCTGTGCGGGGTAGGGTGGGTGAGGCAGGCGGGCAGCGTGATGCAGCGAACGGCGCAGGACTGTAGGGAATGATGCCTCAGGGACGGGTAGTTGAAATCCCGGAGAGGCGTGTGGGCTAGCCTGCTATGTGAACATGTTGTTGTGCGAGATACCCACCCGCGACTTGAGCTCCGATCGCAGCCATTTCTCGCACGCCTTGCGCAGGGTCCGCTCCTCCCGCAGCCGCCGCTTCATCTCCGCAATCTCCCCCTCGCAGCGCCGCCGGTACTCGTCCAGATCCACCTCGACACGCCGCCGCGACTCCTCCACCTCCACCGTGCAGCGTCGCCGCGCCTCCGCCAGGTCCGCCTCGTAGCGCTCCTGCGGCGGGAGGCGGGGGGTTCAGAGGGGAAGGGAGGCGGGGGGTTCAGAGGGGAAGGTAGGCGGCGAGAAACACCACCTTGGCTAAGGAAGCCGTAAGGGTCAGGGAAAGGCAATAGGGAGAGGAAGCGGCGGGAAGCCTCCTTTCCTAGGAAGGGGCGTACACTGGTACACAGCATGCAATCTTCTCGCCACCAAGGCCGCCTCGCAAGTACGTGGAGGTCCAACCTGTGATGGGTGGCTCAGCCACCGAGCGTTACATGGGTATCAGCCCCCCCCATGCGGGCCCCCCCGCCCACCTTCATGACGGCCATGTCCTCCCTCTGCGCGCGCAACTCGTCGTTCAGCGACTGCACCTGCCGCCGCAGCTCCTCGCTCTGATGCCGCCAGTCCTCCTGCGGGTGGGCATGGGGCCGGGCTGGCTTCGCTGACCCTCTGCCACCAACAGGACTCGCCCTGGACACGGACTTTGAAGTAACGGCAGTAGATCGCAACACCCTTAACCCCGCTGCCTAACCGCTTACTGACCTTCTCCTTCTTCTCATACCGCAGCGCTACGAGCGCCTTGGCTGCCTCATCGCTCTTGGCGCGCATGTCGGCCCCCAGCTCCGCCTCCCGCTCACGTGCATCCGCCTCCAGCGCGCGGCGCCCCGCCTCGGCGCGCTCCAGCTGCATGCCCAGCGACTCCACCTCCAGGCGAGACACCCGCAGCTCCTCGCTGAGAGCCTTGATCTGAGGGCAGCGCAGCGGGAGTTGTGGCGTTTCGAAGTCGGTTGTATGGTTGCAAAGGTACAGCGCAGAACATACTGTAAGGAGCCTGCAACCTGTATTGAACCTGTTCACCCAGCTACCGCTACCGTGGCATGTGCAGCCATACCGACATGTGGCACCGTTCTGTCATAGCATCCTTGTTGTTACTAAAACCCGGCCTTACCTCAGCGTCCTTAAGAGCGAGGGCCGATTCCGCCTGCGATAACTTGCTCTCATACGTGCGCTTTGTTGTCCCGAGCGTATCACGGAGGCTGTCTACAGAGCGCTCCTTGGCCCCGATGACACGCTGCAGCTCTAGGATTTCCAACTCCTTCTGCTTAAGCTGGCTGCGATGCATCTCCGTTGTGCGCTTCATGGCTGCGTCCATTTCCTCCTCGGCTGCTTCAATAGCTCGCCCAAGGCGGTCCACGCTTTTCTGCGCATGCAGCTGACCACTTAGCAATGGCTATAGCACCGGCTACGGCGAACCCCGCGCACATTACACGTGAGAAGACAATTTCAAAAAGCTATGAAGACAAGAACGTGACATGCTCTTCTCACTAACCTCAGCACTATTCAAGGCCACATTTGAAGAATAGCTCTGCACCACTCCCAGTCCGGACCTAGGTGTAGTTAGATCCCTTAGTGTCTTTAAGGGGCTGAACGTTCTCCGGGGAGTATCCAGGAGCTGCCGCAACTCTTCTAACTCCTTAAGTTCCTTTAACACGTTCGAGGTCATGGCGGTAACTCTCTGCTACGTAGGAGTTCGACTACGTCTATGAACCAACTAGAAAGAAGCGTATCTATCCGGGAAGTGTTACGGCCGCGCCGGTCAAAGACCAGTCTCTCTATTGATTATGTTAACCAACGACTTAGTGGGCAACTTCTTGTCCTATGAACCATATGTCAAATGGAGTATACTTAGGTGCGCACGCAAACTCTGCAGTCTGCACAACGGGCATACGTCGCTAGATGTCGTACAACAGCCTACAAAGTAACTCCCGTCTGCACGTATCATCAAGCTAGCGACTAAAGAATAACCGTTAAAGTTGCATCGCTCACCGTCAGGTTGCTTGCCCTCTTCAGCTGACTTGCTAACCTATCTTGTAGGTCAACTCCAACAGCTGCCTTCGAAACGCATGCCCACCCGGAAATATGCGTGTAGAAGAAATTTTGTACATCGATAAAGGCTGCATGATAGTCTTCAGGGCGACCCGCAGGGAAGGTGGCAGGGGAACCTCCACCGTAGGCAACTTATGCGACGCGATCACAGACGAACCTTTCCCCCATATGCCTGACAGCAACAAGGGCCTTAGGCGGGTTATAATGGTCCCCATACAGACAGCATGCCCCCAACCTCTGCCCCAACGTTGCATCCCATTGAACATGCCATGACGACGGTCAGTGCCCAAAGCGCACTACCGGTGCCCAGTGGCGGCATCATAGCCAAACATGTTATATATGAGTACATGCAAACATTGCGGGTAACTACTGTTGTGACTTTTGCCTCAACATCCTTGCAAGTTCACCCCCCCGCACCCACTCCATACGCGTTGCGCACCGGTGCTCACAAACCTATGCGGTCATTTGTAAGCCTGAGGCCATACTCACTGCTGCTCAGATGCGCATGCGACCGGAGCCACCTGGACGCACACCCACCCAGGCTGTTGGAACCAGCCACTGCCGTGCTAGGCACCGGTAGCCAGCGACGGCATGCGGCAACCCACCGTACTGGGCTGTTACGACTTGTCTTGAAGCTCCTGCTCCCAAAGCGCCAAGGAGAGCTTCTCCCCCTCCGGAACGTTGTCTCGCGCCTCCGCGACCCACTGCAGTAGCTGCTTAATGGGCATCACCTGCACAATGCGTGAGGAAGATGAGCTACCGGTATGTGAAGACAATGAAGCGGGGGCACTGACGTTCCTGCGGCGGACTGCATATGGCAGGGTATCCTTCGGCGACGCAGCCGAGCATCCGGCACTTCCACGACGGTACCAAGCCACGTCCACCCCCTTCCCCACACGCACCTTGGAGCTGATGGTTGTGAGCAGGTCCACCGCCTGCGGGATGTCCATGACGGAGAAGCAGTCTAGGTGGCGCAACACCTTGACGATCTCGTCCACCCGCAATGCTGGCACGTGCAGCGAATGGTTGAACACCTTGTCCAGCCCCAAGGGTTCCATCATGTCGATCATGCTGGTCGTGCCTGCGGCATGCAGGTAAGGCGGGGCGTGTTTGCATGGAGTGGATAATGCAAGTGCTGCACACGCATGCAGAAGCACTGGTCTATCTGCCAGGGAATGCCAGTTCCGAGCCAGCGGTTGCTCTTACCGATCACGAACAGCTTGTGGCCGGGCGGCGGCTTCCGCTTGACGAGGACCAGGACAACCTGCGAGGGCGCACGTTAAGATTAGCATGGGAGAAAGCATCCAAGCCTTGGGAGGCTGGAAACAATGTCCGGCTAGCTTAGCACGAGCAGTATGATAAGCTTGATGCAAGGCAGGCAATACTGGTAGCTGGTATAAACAGTGCTATGCGTTTGCTGTCAGCATGCAAACGGCCTGTCAGCAAACGGCGCCCCTGCCTCCTACCTGCAGGATGGCGTTGTTGAAGCGCGGACCGATGGGCACGTACTCGATCAGGCGCTCAATCTCGTCCAGGATCACCACAGAGAGCGGCGACTTGTAAGCGTCCTCGAACACCTTGATGATTTGGTTTACCTTGGCCTGCAAGCAATAGGGCGGGGTTCCAAGGGGCAACACGTCAGCATGCGGAGGATAAGCCCCATGCATGGCGACCGTGCCAACATGCATGCAGCTGTGTAAAGCGTCATAACTCATAAGATGGGACATGTTGTTACAAGTTGCCCAACGGGCGTCGGCTTTCAGGGTGTTTGACTACCGGAACATGTCTTGAAACCCCTCCAGAAGACCCGGGAGGACAATGCCCCACAACAAAACCCTACCTCGCCGCGGCGGCGGAGGGTGTACAGGGAAACCCGTCACACCACCCGCCCCCTTGGGCCACGCCAGGGCTAGCCCAGCGTAATCTTACTACTATAACCATGTTGTGACACACCATGCCACTTCGATTGACCGGGCGTTACCATTCTTTGTGGTGCGCCCAGCGCACGTAACCCCACCTGCTCTGAGAAGCCGGCTATGCTGTCGCTGTTGACGATCTTGACGTAGGGGAAGTCCGACTCGATGGCTGCCGTCGCCGCCAGGGCGCTCTTGCCACTGCCCGCGGGGCCCTCCAGAACCACGGACAGCACGGGCGTCTTGTCGTTCTTGCGGACCTGCCATGACAGGGGAGGGTGCACCATAAAGGACCGAACATGCAAATCCGTGATGTTTCAGTCGCGTGATGGTGCCGTGCCGTGGGTAGCGCTTAACATGACTGACGGCATACCAAGCGTGCTAAGTTAGCACTGGACCCGGCCCCACATGGTGCGCCAACTTGGTTAGCGTGTGCCGCAGGCGGTCGAACGCCTCTCCACACGGGATGATGCCATGCGTGCGGTACGACCCCAGCGTATCGGTTGATGCTCCAAACGCCGGCTTTGTCTCCGCAAACGCCTTCTCAAAATCCTCCATGGTGACCTGCAGAACGCCCAGCACGAGCAAGAAAGACTTGACAAAGCGTTCATGTAACAGGCCCGGGCAAACCTTGCGGATCCACAGCATGCAAACATGCACCGCAGGCAAGGACAACCAAGTCCAGAAACTCCCGGCGTGGTAGCCACCACCGGCATCACCTTAATGTTATCATCGTCCAGCTGCACGTGCAAGTCGTCACTGTCGACATTGCGGTTGAGGGCGTGCGCAACGGCGTCTTTCACCAGCCCCTCAATCTCAGCGCCGCTGTAGTTCTTTGTCATCTCCGCCAGCCGCTCCAGGTCCACATTTGGCGCCAAGAAGGAGTTCTCCAACATCTGCATGGCCAGCACCGTCATGTGGGGGCCTTGCTTGGGTACATGCGGCTGTGCTTCCAGGTAGGCTTTGGAAGTGGCAGCATTGCAACACCCATTCCGCAGGCAGGAGCACCAACCTACGGCACATGCTGTCCCCCGCGCCGCACCTTGTTGGTGTGAATCTTGAGGATCTGCAGGCGGCCCTTCTCGTCCGGCAGCCCAATCTCAATCTGCACCTCCAGGCGTCCCGGCCGCAGCAGCGCCTCGTCCAGCATGTCCCGCCGGTTGGTCATGCCGATGATCAGGATGTTGTTTAGGGCGTCCACACCGTCCATCTGATCGGGGCCAGGATGGTGCGTGCCAGTGAGCAGGATGCGTCAAGGGAACCTACTTATATTCAGGCTCAGCCCCAAAACCGCAACAGCATGTTGTCCCTTGGTCCATTCCGCCAGCAGCCCACCTTTGTGAGCAGCTGGTTGACGACGGTGTCGTGCACCCCCGAGCCGTCCCGCACGGCGCCGCGCTGCTTGCATATGGCGTCGATCTCATCAAAGATGATGACGTGCAGCGCGGAGGCGTCGCCCTTGGCCTGAAGAAGTGACGGAAGAAGGGTGTTAACGTGGTTGGTTTGATGGACAGGTCACTCCCATGCAGCCGCCATGCAGTGCGGGTGCATGCTGCACCGCAACAGACCCAGGGCAGGAAGTAGGACGTACCTTGTACTCGGCTTCCGCACGCATCCACAAACAGGTTTCGGATGTTCTCCTCGCTCTGGCCCACAAACTTGTTGAGAACCTCCGGACCGTTGACAACCTTGGGCTCCTTGCCGTTGAGCATCTTGCCTATTTGACGCGCAATCAGCGTCTTGCCCGTGCCGGGCGGCCCTGGGCGCGTGAAGCAAGTAGGGTATGCACAGGTGGGGCGTTCAGCATCTAGCTTAGGCGTGTGGTGTGCGTCTGTGCACCCGAGCCAACTGGCTGGCTCGCTCACATGCATCGCATGTACGCTGATTGCAAGCCGAACTACGAATGCCCCCTGTTGATGCTACAAAGTCACCTGGTTGTACCATGCATGCGTGCAACACAACGCAGCACTGCTGCACCCGACAACAACTTACCGTACAACAGCACACCCTTCACGTGGTTAATGCCCAGGCGCTGTATAATGGACGGCGGAAAGATGCGGCTGCAAAAGGCGCGGCGGAAGATCACATCAAACTCGTTATCCAGACCGCCGATACCCAGCCTCTCCAGGACAATCCTTTTAACCTTGAAGACCTGGCTGGTGGCGTAGCCCTTTTGGCCGGCAATGGTGATGGGGCTGCCGCCCTCATTGGTGAAGATGAAGGTGGTGTTGTCGACCAGGAAGCCACGGTTCGTCTCAACGGACTTGCCGTCCACGTCGATAAGCAGCTGCTCTACCACTAGCTTGTAGTTGCCGGTGTCGAGCTGGAAGGCGAATTGCTGGTTCCTGGTGAAAACCTGCCGGGGTACAGTTACATTTGGCATTGCGCATGCGGCGTCATGGCGCGTGTTGGCAGCTGTAGCACCAAGTGTTGCCCCAGCCAGGCAACAAACACACAATGCCCTGCCGACTGTTGATACTGGTATTGCATGAAGCGCTGCCTCTAAGCAGCCAATGGGGAGCTCGAACTGCACAGCGTGCATAAGCAACTAACCTGGTTTTTAAATACATCTAGTATCCGCTGGATCACCTCCTCCGCCTGCAGCTCTGCTGGCCGAACCTTATCAGTAATACCCGCCACCTTGGCGTATACCAAGCCAAGCGGGGGCAGGTCCTTGGGTGGCCGATATGGCCGGAGGTCCAGGGGATCGCTGGTGGACACCCGCAATACCTGCCCAAGGGGAACCCCATCGAGTCAAGGGAGATGTTAGCCGGGGTTTTAATTGAGTACACCGCCGCATGACCTTGTCGGCCCGCCTCCCGGATGCCACTTTACGGTGCACACTGTTTAGCGCAACTCTCACTTTACGGTGCACGCTGTTTAGCGCAACTTGGCCATCGGGAACCAGGGAATGCGTTCGAAGGCAGAACACGCTGCGCAAAGGCCCGGGTTACGAAGTCAACAGTACGGATACAACAGCAACATCGGAAGATGCGGCACAGTACATACAATCCTGCAGCTTCCACGTATTCGCAGGCACCAAGTTCATCATGTTCTGAGATGTATAGGTAATTCGTCGTCGCTGACGTCTGCATGAAAAGGCAAACGGAAGCTGTTCGGCCCCACATTCGTGTAGGCGTAACCAACTTCAACGCTGACCTTGTCAGGGCAGTTGTAAACAATTCTTGTACCCATAGCAGTATAATGTCAGAACACTGCAAGCTTAAGATAGCGGTGAACACTGTAGGCTGTCGCGGACGGGAAAAAGTAATAATTATGTAATTGTAAGCTAAGGAAGCAATGCAGCTGCGAGTACTCCTTAAACACGCTATATTATATTTTATTAATTACAAATCAGTTACTTTTAGCACTGTTGCTAATTTACGGCTGATGTCGCTGGGCGTGCTGTCCAGCTGTTGACTTCGGCCTGCTTTGTGTCGTACTGGTGCATGGTTTACAATGATTAACGCCAATTACAGTAGCGAAGTGTTTGAAGAAATCCATATGATAGCATAGGAGCAGAGATCCGAGAATGCTGCGCTTGGATCTTGCTTGCCCACGGCGGTGGGTGCGCGTGCACCCAGGAGGAGCTGACAGCAACCCAGGGGGAGCTGGCGACTACCAAGAGTCAGCTTCCTGCCTTGCTGCCCATGTTCGGTCGCGGTCGCGGCATTTCGACTCTCACTGTACGCCCGACCAATGTGAACGCAAATTGAGTTTTTCCCACTCATTCACGCACCCTCACTCAAAAGTACCTCCTTCATATATGAATGGACCCTTACACGATTCAACGCCCAGGGGCACGCTGTCTACGGGTCTGTCCACGATAATAGCCGAGTCTTCGTGGACAATAGCCCACACGCAAAGCGCATTGAGCCCATTTACTACAAACGTGCGAAAGATTTGAGCGATTGTTTTAAGGAGAAAGAAGAGCGAGGGTGAAGGGACGCCTAGATGGCTGCAAACGTTTTCTATGGCGTTCCTGCCCTCCCACAGCCACGCACATCCAGCAGTCCACGGTCAGACCAGCAATCGACGTATTGGGCCTGCTTGCGGAAGTTCAGGGAGGGATGGTTCGGTGCATTCGTGCGGGACATCCTCGACGCGGCCGGTGCTGGTGACACCGAACAGGAGGCGTTGGACGACTTGAAGGTTAAGCTCAGCTGTGAGGTTGTGAGCATGTTGCAGGCAGGGACCTCCGTGCCAAACGCCAGCGACTACGAGGCCGCTGAAGAAGCAAGTCGGAAGATTGTCAGCGAGCAGGGAAAGGACTTCCCCATCACCTACTTCATTATGGTAAAGGTGTGCGTGGACCTCCGGCTGGCACAGCAGGCTGAGCTCAGCGCTGAGGACCTACAGCGGCTGTCCTCCGCCTACCTGCTGTGAAGGTGCGCACAGGTCATGACATTGGACGTTTGCATAGTAAGCTCGCAGTCTTATGAAACGCTGATCCTTCAGGTGCATCAAGGTTTGCTTCGTTGGCATGACAGCGCCAGATGCTGGGAGCACTTGTTCAAGTACAACGCAGCGTGTGGCAAGCTAAGCAGTGGGGACGTGTTGCGGTGTCTCCTCTTTAGGTTGCGTCAGGCGGTTCTAACAATAGGCACGAGTGCTTGCGTCCTATCGTGGGTTTGCGGCTAAAGGTTTTGGTTGGCGCTTTTGCGCGGGGCTGGGTTCGATCCGGCGCCTGCATGGGACGGGTCTTGCGTAGGCTTTCCCATGGGCCGGTTGGCGGTTTTTGGTAAGCGCGGCTTCAGTCTTAGCCGTTGGATAAAAGGGGCTAGCGTCCGTGGGGTAACGTTTGGTTCAGTGAGTTCTGTCGCGCTGAGCGTGTTTCTACGGTTTCAGCGGGGTAACAGCTTGAGGGTTGATTGCGGTCGCTGGGGAGCGGTTTTGGCTCACTGGGGCTGCGGATTGAGCCCCGGTGAGCCAAAACCGCTCCCCAGCGACCGCAATCAACCCTCAAGCTGTACCTTCAATCTTAAAGACTATACCTGAGTATCCGATTGATACCAACGGTCAGCCGTTAGGTCCTTAGCTAGTTCGTAACTGCCAGCAATGATCCGTACACCTGATAGCTGCTAAGTGTTGCCGGGTAGTCATTACCCAAGGTTGCCAGGTGTATGACCAAGCACCATGATATGCTCAAATACTTGGGACGGTTGCTGACAATTGCAAGGGATAAAGCTGAGCCGGGATATGGGTAAGGTAGCCGTTGTCCTCTGGGAGGCCCTCATCTGTAGTAGTGTATATACGGTAGGCGGGTAAGGGCAGAGCTGCGAGCCGGCAAGGTTTTGCGAAATGCATTTGAATGGACTGCAAGCGAAGTAGCATAGAGTTGGATGGATGGAAACGATGGCAAAGAAAAGTAACAAGATTGAGAGGAAAACAAGCATGTACTACAGGTTATACTATCCACGGGGCGCACCGCCGGCCAGCGCCAGCCACCCAGGCCACGCGCTTTGCCTTACACGTCAAAATAGAACGGCAATCTTTGAATGCGATATCAGGAGTGACCTTTGGCTGACATAGACGCCATACAGTATAGACACAAACGTCTACCTGGAGAGTTGTAGCCATGTCCCTCACCCGTTGCGTGCATATTCAACACGTTAACGGCGGTTCTGACCCTGACTTTTGGAGAAGCGCACATGGGCGTAGCAAAGAGGAACATGCCAACAACAACCTAAATCTTCAAACGTGTGTATGTGTCGAAACTCGAAAGGGATGACAGGGTTGCATGTTGGAAGCATGCATCTAAGGGGTTTAGGCGTACCGGTATGGGGAAAGGGGCACCAGTCCCTTCCCCCACCAAGGTGCATACGGTGCCAAAAGATAGAAGATTTTCACAGACGGCTGCGACACCACACACCACCGGTAGTTTTCGGGACTTGCATAGCTCGGGTGTCTCAAGTCGTAAGACCCCAATGCCGCAAGCATTGGGGTCCCGTGCCGAAGCCTCGTGTCCCAAGCAAGGGGCCGCCACGCGCCCGACACTCCCTCTTGATCTGCCAACCCGTGAAGTCAAGGAGTGAGCCAACGGTTCCGTGGAGCAACACAACGGCCCCAGGCACCAACATGCTGTAACAGGACAGAGAGGAGCTCTCCACATTGCCTATCTTCAGGTTTACACCCTGCAGTGGCACCTGGAGAGCTTACCTGCTTACATCTCTTCTGCATGCACTCATCATTATGCGGATGTGGCGTCATGAGATCTGCCGTTCATAAGAAACGCTCAACGTAAATTGGGTTTCAAGAGGTAACGCAGGAACCATGGCAGGGTACCTTATTACCAGCGTATCTCTCCTACCACCCTGTCTCAACTCAGCAGCTGTAGACCCCTTTCACAGGCGACCCCTTTCACCGTTAGCCAGCCGGCAAGTCTAAACAGTCTGTACACAAGCAGCAAGCCTCCACCCTCGCCTCCAGCATTGCATTCCAGCGCGCACCAGACGCTTGAAAACATGCCATGACGGCGGTCAGTGGTCCGTGTCCAAAGCGCACTACCCGGCAGCGGCACCACGGCAAGACATAGTACTTGATAAATCACACGCAAATGCAGTGGTTAAAACAGCGCTCATGCCTCCTACCTCTGCATCCTTGCATGTCAATCCTCCCACAGCCCTTTCAATCGTCCTACACAATGTTCCTGGTACTCACAAACACTCTGTGGTCACTGGTAAACTTGCGCTCCTAACCACTGCTGCTCAGATGCACATGCGACTGGAGACAGCTGCGCTTCAACGCACACCGTCGGAACCAGCGGCCCCCGTACTTGGTAGCAAGCGACTGCATGCAGCAACCCAGCTTACAAGGCTGTCTACAAACTAGGACTGGTCTCGCAGCACCTGCTCCCACTGCGCCATGGAAATCTTCTCCCCCTTCGGAGCGTCTTCTTGCGCTGCCTCGACCCACTGCAGCAGTTTCTTCATGGGCACCACCTGCGCAACGCGTGCAGGCGACGAACGAAGGATATGAATTCAGGGAGGCGGGGTCCACATGGCTGTTGTAGCGCCAAAGGATGACGGCGTATGCAAAGGGTGTCCTTTGGCAACACAGTGGAGCCCCCCTACCATCCCCACCTCCACACGCACCTTGGAGCTGATGGTTGTGAGCAGGTCTACCGCCTGCGGGATGTCCATGACGGAGAAGCAGTCCAGGTGGCGCAACACCTTGACGATCTCGTCCACCCGCAACGCCGGCACGTGCAGCGACACGTTGAACTCCTCGGTCAGTCCCACGGACTCCAACGCCTCGCTCTTGCTGGTCGTCCCTGCGTCATGCGATGATAGTGGTAGGATGTGTTTGGATGAAGTCGTAAGCAGACATACAGTGCATATGCTGGGCACGCACGCATAAGCGTTGTGTCAGGGACTGCCGCCAACAATGAAGTCGCGCAGCGGCTGATCTTACCGATCACAAACAGCTTGTGGCCGGGCGGCGGCATGGCGTTGACGCCCATCTTCACCACCTGCGGGACCGCATATTACAAGCAGCATGGGTTGACGGCGGCTACCATGGCATAGCTTCTAAGCGGCAGCAGCTCGGTACGTTTGCTGCACGGCAGACAATTGACGCCCACCTGGACGACTACCCTCAATCCATCAGTGACGCTACCTAGAGTCTACACATCGCCTCTCCTGGCATTAGTCACTTTCCGGTAAGTCCTTCTATCGTTTTGGCTAGATCACTTCGGGCTGGGCGGGATATGTCGCCAACCATGATGCGAACCATGATAGAGGCCTCGCCACATGGTTAGTTACCGGTAACGCCTTCCTCTCTATCCCACCTGGACGATGTTGTTGTTGAAGCGCGGCCCGATGGGCGCATACTCGATCAGGTCCTCCACCCTGTCCAGGATCACCACCGAGAGCGGCGACCTGTAGGCGTCCTCGAACACCTTCATGATTTGGTTGATCTTGGCCTGCACGCAACAGGTGGGAACCCCAGGGAGAAGCACGTCAGCATGCGGAGAAAGGGACCCATGGTGACTGTCCCAACTTGCAAGCAGCTACACAAGCCTCAAAGATGGGCTGACGGGCGTCAGCGTCAAGGTCGTTTGGCTCGGCCATGGGACGCAAACGGTCGTTTGCAATAAGCTGTGCAGATTGCAGGCATTACCATTCTTCATGGTGCGCCTAGCGCGCGTAGGCCCCACCTGCTCTGAGAAGCCGGCTATGCTCTTGATGTCGATGACCTTAACGTAGGGGAAGTCCGACTCGATAGCTGCCGTCGCCGCCAGGGCGCTCTTGCCGCTACCCTTGGGCCCCTCAAGAATCACGGACAGCACCGGCGTCTTGCTGCTATTGCGGACCTGTCACGAAAGGGAGAGAATGTATCGTTGGGTACAGGGCGCAGAAATCCGCGACCTTTACCATTGCAGTTTAGAGGTGTACCTATGCCATCGGCAGCGCTCAACGTGAAATGACAGCAGTCTAAGGAGTGTTAAGCTAGCACCCAACTCGGGCCCACCTGTCGCGCCATCTTGGTAAGTGCCTGCCGCAGGTGGTCAAACGTCTCCCCGCACGGGATGATGCCGTGCATGCGGTACGACTCCAGGGTATCGGTCGAGGCACCGAACGCCGGCTTCACCTCCTCCAACGCCTTCTCAAAATCCTCCATTGTGACCTGCAGAACGCCAGCAAAACGTGGACAAAAGTACCCGGGCAATCCTTGCGCTGATCCGTAGCACGCGAACATGTTAGGTTAGCCGACTCTGCTGCGCAGGTCAGGTACGGTAGACCAAATTCCTAATACCGCCGGCCGCACCTTGATGTTCTCCTCATCCAACGGCGCGTGCAAGTCGTCAAAATCAATGTTGCGGTTGAGGGCGTAGGCGGCGGCATCCTTCACCAACCCCTCAATCTCAGCGCCGCTAAAGTTCTTGGTTGCCTCCGCCAGCCGGTCCAGATCCACGCTTTGCGCCAAGAAGGAGTTCTCCGACATCTGCATGGCCGGCATGCAGGGTGGGCATGCTTTGGTGTGCTGGAAGCTCCTTTCACGACAAGCGTTAAAAGTGGCAGCATCACCACGGCAATTCCGCAGGCAGGAGCACCAACCTACGGCACATGCTGTCCCCCGCGCCGCACCTTGTTGGTGTGAATCTTGAGGATCTGCAGGCGGCCCTTCTCGTCCGGCAGCCCAATCTCAATTTGCACCTCCAGGCGTCCCGGCCGCAGCAGCGCCTCGTCCAGCATGTCCCGCCGGTTGGTCATGCCGATTATCAGGATGTTGTTTAGGGCGTCCACACCGTCCATCTGATCGGGGCCAGGATGGTGCGTGCCAGTGAGCAGGATGCGTCAAGGGAACCTACTTATATTCAGGCTCAGCCCCAAAACCGCAACAGCATGTTGTCCCTTGGTCCATTCCGCCAGCAGCCCACCTTTGTGAGCAGCTGGTTGACGACCGTGTCGTGCACCCCCGAGCCGTCCCGCACGGAGCCGCGCTGCTTGCATATGGCGTCGATCTCATCAAAGATGATGACGTGCAGCGCCGAGGCGTCGCCCTTGGCCTGAGGGAATGACGGAAAAGGCAGCGTGGAAAAGAGGTGGTGAACGTGGTTGGTTTGACGGACTGCGCAGCGACTTCGCGGGGAATGAGCAGCACCAGACAGCTGGCCGCTGGCGGTCCTTTGGCGTGCGACGTGAGAGGTAGCAGGCCCACACTGCCATGCGACCGTCATGCAGTTTGCAGCATGCGGGTCGGAGCATGCATGCTGCATGGACCAAACCAATAGTACGTACCTTGTACTCGGCTTCCGCCTCCGCGAACAGGTTTCGGATGTTCTCCTCGCTCTGGCCCACAAACTTGTTGAGAACCTCCGGACCGTTGACAACCTTGGGCTCCTTGCCGTTGAGCATCTTGCCTATTTGACGCGCAATCAGCGTCTTGCCCGTGCCGGGCGGCCCTGGGCGCGTGAAGAGAATGCGAACAGAGTACATGATGCGAGCTTCGTGTCCGGCAGCCACTTCTTGCACCACACCTCACTACCACCCGCCGGCAGCCACTTACCGTAGAGCAGCATACCCTTAACGTGCTTAATGCCCAGGCGCTGCGTGATGGACGCCGGGAACACACGGCTGGCGAAGGCGCGGCGGAAGATCGCCTCGAACTGCTTGTCCAAACCGCCGATGCCCAGGCTCTCAAAGTTGATTGTCTTGGACTTGAAGATCTGGCTGGTGGCGTAGCCCTTCTGGCCGGCGATGGTGATGGGGCTGCCGCCCTCATTGGTGAAGATGAAGGCGGTGTTGTCGACAAGGAAGCCACGGTTCGTCTCAACGGACTTGCCGTCCGCGTCGATAAGCAGCTGCTCTACCACTAGCTTGTAGTTGCCGGTGTCGAGCTGGAAGGCGAATTGCTGGTTCCTGGTGAAAACCTGAGGGGGTACAGTTGCATTGGCATCGCACATGAGGCGTCATGGAGGCATGCATGCATGGAGGCAGCATGCAGACTACACGGGGCGTGCGCCCTAAGCAGCCTCAAGCTACAGATCCACGACAGCAGCCGGGGCTGCTGGTCTTGGAATGCGTAGGCCACTGACCTGGTTCTTGAGCAAGTTCAGCAGCCGCTGGATCACCTCCTCCGCCTGCAGCTCTGATGGCCGAACCTTATCAGTAATACCCGCCACCTTGGCGTATACCAAGCCAAGCGGGGGCAGGTCCTTGGGTGGCCGATATGGCCGGAGGTCCAGGGGATCGCTGGTTGACACCCGCAGTATCTGCGTAAGAGCAAAAGATAAACCCCATCGGCGAGTCAAGGGAGATGTTAGCCCGGGGCTTTAACGAGCTGTCGGACCATACATCGTCTCAGGGCTCTCACCTTTCGCTGCACGCTGTTTAGAGCGACTTTTCCATCCGGAACCAAGGCGTGCGTTCGAAGGCAGAAAACGCTGCGTAAAGGCCCGGTTAAGACGTCAATACCACGGAGATACCGGCAACAGCTGGAAGATGTGGTACAGTACTCACAATCCTGCCGCTTCCACGTATTTGTATGCGCCAAGCTCATCGTTTTCCGATATGTATAAATAATTTGTTGTCGCTGACGCCTGCAGGTGTAAAGCATTGGAAGCTGTTCGGGGCCATTTTCATGTAGGCATAACTTCAACTTAAACGCTAACCTTGTCAGGGCAATTGTCGACAAGTCTTGAGCCCATGGTAGCAAGCGTGTTACAACAAAACTACGACTTTAGAACGGCCAGAAAGAAAATTGTTACTGGATCGCCAACCAAAGAATAGTCCTGGTCCTTGGTAATTACGATAGAAAAGGTAAACTTGTTAATAATCTGTCAACTGTGACTCCTCAAGCGCAAGTCAGCGTGCTGGCCGCTGTGGCTGTGTGGGTGAAGTAGTACACCGTACGAATACAACAAGCCACTGACGGTTGAGGGGATTCCTGAGGTCCTGAGCCCGTAGTCCTTAGGGTTGGCGTAATAGAAGGAGGCAGTCTTTGGTGTGACATATCTGTCTGGACGCACAGGGTCCTGTGACGCCATCCGGTGCCCGAGCGGTGGGCGCAAGGGTGCGGTAAGCCAACAACTAGCCGTCGGGTTTCTAGCCAAGGAGGGGCATGTCACCTGTTCGAAGAGGAACCTGGAGCAGGGCCTGCGGTTGGATTGAGACCAGGATCTATCCCTAGAATGCGAAAGTTACAAGGGGGACCGGAGACTGAACGCCACATGGTACGGTGCAGGGCCCTCTCACCCTACCGCACAACCTCGCAAATCCGTGAGGTCAAGAGAAATGATTTCATTGTATGGAGGAAAATCCCTTGACATCATGCATGTGAAGCGCTCTAGGCTCTAGCCGCTCTACCGCTGGGCTGGGAAACGCCGTACTGGTTCCGGCGCATAAGGTATGGTTTGCCGTGGACGACTTGGAAATCAACTTTTTAAGTTAAAACGATGTATGCCATACGTATTACTTGAAGGACGTCAAGTGACACTTGCACTCCTTCGCCTTACGTGAATGAGTATTATAGGCACCGCCAGGGGCTTGGCGTCCTTATCTTTGGACACTACGAATATGACTCTTGTTTGATTGTATACACACAAATAAAACACGTGTTTTTTGCTGCTTGGAAGGAGAATCGGAGCTCGTATTGTGGACAACCAGACGGAAAATGTCCGATTCTGAAGATGACAGGCTACCAGATGTTCCCACGGCCCCGAGGCAAAAGCGATTTCGCTTTAAGACGTTCGCGGAACGCGTATCTGAGGTGGGGTGCCGCCGCCGGACAATGGAAGTTTTAGCAGCGGATTGTGGAGCTCTTGCCCGGCATGAATGTACACTCACACAGCTTCATCAATAGGCGTGTTTCCGCTCCCGCTTTGTATTAAAGCTTTTGCGGCTCTGGGGTGCGCCGTCGAATTGCACATTAGCCGCCGCCGGAGCTTTACTGCGGTGCACCTTATACCCAGAAAGGTAGTAATAACAAACTCTTTGTATGGTCGCGCTCGCGTGCCGAACAGGTCGAGGTCGACGTCTATCGGCGCCTTGCCCCGGTCAAGTCTGAGCCCAGCGGGGGCTCCTGGCTCGCTGATGGCTTGACTCACTGGCGGGAGCTCAACAGCGCCTCACACTTCCTCGAGGTGAGCTCGCCGCCCGCGCCCAGCCCTCATCAGCCCCTCGTAATCCCTACTACTGCTCCTGCTCTTGGCGCCTTGCCTGTATGTGGGAGACTCCTTCACACCACCTCACCCCACCACGCACACATACACACACATGCCCCCCCGCCCCCCACCCCTCCCCCCACCCCCCTCCCCGCAGGTCGCTGCGGCGCTGCAGCCGCTGTGCCAGTCGCTGCCGCAGCTGCTGCACCATCGGGATGCAGTCGCGCGCATCCTGCTAGGCTCCCTGGAGCCGGCGGCGCGCCTCGGCCTGCCCGCGCTGCTGGACCTGCTGGCGGCCTTCGCGCGGGACCTGCAGCAGGAGTTCGTACAGCTGCTGCCGAAGACTGTACGGCGGATCGTACAGCTGCTGGATGGCGGAGCGGGACGGGAGCCGGAGGTGGGTTGCCTGTTTGGTGCTGCTGTAGGGCTTGGCTGTGTTAAAGTTACTAGTGGTTGCATGGGGTCCCATTCGGCCGATCTTTTATGAGCTACCACACTACTTCGTTCGCATGGTTCTGACGTGAAGATCCCCTCTCCTCCCCGCCCTCCTCCCCCCCTCCCTCCCCCCCAGTCCCTGGAGTCCATCTTCACGTGCGTCTCCCACATCTGCAAGCACCTGGTCCGCTACCTGGCAGCCGACCTCCCCGCCGCCCTGCGCGCCACCGCGCCCCTGCGCTACCACTCGGCGGACTACGTACGGCAGTTTGCGGCGCAGGCGGTGGGCTTCCTGCTCCGCTCCGCGCCCTCCGCCGGCGCGCTGCGAGCGGGCGTGCGGGCGGTGCTTGCGGAGCAGGCTGCGCGGCCCACCGAGGAGCGCACGGACGGTGCGGGGCTGGTGCTGGCGGAGGCGGTGCTGGGGGTGTCGCATGGGCTGCACAGCCGCGCGCCGCAGCTGCTTCAGCTGCTCCTGCAGGAGGACCTGCTGCAGCCGGGGGAGCTGCGGCCCGCGGCGGCGGCCAAGAAGGCGACGAAGGAGGAGGCAGCAGCGCAGGTGGCTCCGGCGGTTGTGAGTCGGGAGCAGCTGCGTGCGCGGGCGACCTGTGTGGCGCGTGTTGCGCTGGCTCGCCTGCTGGACCACCTGCGTCGCGGCAAGGGTGCAGAGCTCTGGAACGTGCTGTTAGCTGAGGCCACTGCGCGGCTGAAGGCGTACGAGTCCGCAGCGGCGGCGGGGACGCAGGGTTCCAGCGGTCGGCTGTCCGCTGCTGCCGCCGCCTCGGGTCGCAGCCTGGCTCGTGCGCTGCTGCTGGTGTCGCAGGCGGTGGGGTACTTCCGCGGCAGTCGCGTGGAGAGCTACTCGCCGCTGTTGGAGCTGGTGGGGCGGCTCATGCAGCCCGCGACCTGGCGGCCTACCACCACCACTCGGGAGGAGGCGGAGGCGGAGGGGGACGGCACCTCCCCTGGCAGCAGCCGCAGCCCCAGCCCCAGCCCCGGCGAGAGTCCACTTGACACAGCGGCGGATGTGGTTGATGAGGAGCTGTTGGATGTGTCGTTGTCGTACTCGGTTCTGGATCTGGTGCGGGGTGTGGTGTACGGCAACCTGAAGGCGGTGGGCGCCAGCGAGGGGCCGGGGGCGCTGGGGCGCTTCGCGGGTCCCTGGTCGCCGTGCTTCAGCCGGCCGCCCGCAGCGGAGGTGCTGCCGTTCGTCAAGTCGCTCATGGTGCCGCCGGCGGGGGCGGAGGTGGCGCGGCTGTTTGCGCCGCAGATGATGGGCTGCCTGGGCCGCGTGCTCATGCAGCAGGAGGAGGAGCAGCAGCAGGGAGATTATGCGGGGTCAGCGTTGCTGCTGCTGCGTGACCTGTGCGCGTTGTTACAGCCGCCGGGTACCTCGGGGACCGCGGGGCTGCCGCTGCTGCTGACTGCGCAGCCAGGGGGTGTACGGCTGGCGGCGCATGTACGGAGCCTGGCGACGGAGTGGCGGGCGGATGCCGCTGCGGGTGACCCACGGGTCTGCGCGACTGCCTGGGCTGCTGTGTCGCTGCTGCCTCACGCTTGCGAGAACCCCACGCAGGCAATTGCTGCGTGCGAGAGTGTCCTGCAGTCCGCCACTGCCGCCCTGCAGCGGCTGCAGCAGCAGCAGGGAGGGGCCGTGAGGAGCGACACTGCGCTGAGCGGGTTGCTGCTGCTGCGAGCCACTGCCACCGAACTACTAGCGGACCTCCTCCTCGTCCAGCAACAACAACAACAACAACAGCAATCCGGGATTTCCTCCTCCCTCGTGGCCGCAGCCGAGTCCTCCCTCCAATGGGTACTCAACCAACAACAACAGCCTCAACCGCAATCCAACCAACAACCACAACCGCAACCGCAACAGCCCGGACAGGAGGCCGCAGGAGGCGCAGAGCAGCCGACCGCCTCCGCAGCGGACTACGCCAGCATCCGCGCCGCCGGTGCGCTCCTCACAGCAGTCCGCACCTGCACCGCCGGCCCCGCCGCCGCCTCCCAACCCGCCCGGGCGCTGCTGTCGGAGGGGCGGCTGCGGGAGCTGCTGCCCCGGCTGGCTCCGCTGATGGCGCACGAGTCGCAGCCGCTGCGAGCCGCCGTGCTGCGCCTGCTGTGCTGCTTCGACCAGCCGTTCCTGGAGGCCCTGGGAGCCGACCCCAGGGACCCCACTGCGGCGGTGGTGCAGCAGCAGAAGGGGGGCAGCACGGGGCCCAAGTGTGATCTGTTGGAGGTGCTGTACGGCATTAACAGCCAGCCGTTCACCATTGAGAGCGGCCGCAAGTGGGCGGTTGCCATGGGCCGCTTGAAGACGTATCTGGAGTACGGCAGGTGAGGCGGGGGCAGGTGGGGTACTGCTCCAAAACAGGTACATGTGGTGTCTAGAACGGGCGCCGGGCTCTTTAGGGGTAGGCATAAAGAAGGCGGCAAGGCGACCGTTAGCGGCAAGGATGAAGATCTTATTTCCCTTTCTTGTGGAATCCTGACACACCTAAACATCCATTTTGCCACTGAGCTGCGGCGGTCTGCTTACCGGTGTGTCACGCTTGCATGGCGCCTTCCGGGCGGCATGCCCCGTCGTGCCCCGCATAGGGCTTGATTGCGCATGAGTTGCATCGGCAATGCCTGCTACACACGGTTCTTGGTATCCACCCATGCATGGTGAATGCGCTATGCGGCAAGGACGAAGCTATACTTCAATACTCGTGGATTCCTGACACATCCAATCCATTTTGCCACTGAGCCGCTTTGGTCTGATCCTGATACGCATGCATGTGCCCTTCGGGCTACAAGCCGCGCATGGCGCATGCCTTGCAACGACGTGTGATTTTGGTATCCATGTGCTGTAACGGTAAATGCCGTTTGGTGTGTTCAATTTGGCATGTACCTTTTCTGAACGGCTGGGCACCAAACGAAGCGGCAAGGACGAAGTTTTACTTCCTTATTTGTGGATTCCTGACACATCCAATCCATTTTGCCACTGAGCCGCGGCGGTGTGAATCTGATACGCATGCATGTGCTTTCTGAACCGCGCATGACCCATGGCTTGCAACGGCAGCGCCCCTACGTGCGAGTTTTAGCACCCATCTACTAGAACAGTAAACGCGACGTTTTGCGTGTACAATTTGGCACGCACCTTTCCTGAATGGCCGGGCATCAAACGAAGCGGCAAGGACGAAAACTATTTCCTTAATTTGTGGATTCCTGACACTTCCAATCCATTTTGCCACTGAGCCGCGACAGCTACTTGTTTTAAACTTTTGCATGGAACCGTGCGGGCTGTTTGCCCCGCTGTTACTCCGCACAGCGCTCAACCTGCATGGGCAGCGGTGCAAAGCCCCCCCCCCGCACCCAGTCAGTTGCTTCCTCTTTACCCCCGGGCACCCCGGGTGTGGATGGGCGCATGTGCACCTCTTGCATGGCCAGGGGCGGCAAGGATGAAGCTAAACTTCCTTATTTGTGGATTCCTGACACATCCAATCCATTTTGCCACTGAGCCGCCTCTCTGCCCATGCACGCCATTCTTGCATGCTATCTGGTACGCCCGTGTGCATGCACGCGCGCATGTTCCGAAGCCCTACAGCTTTCCGAGCACTCAGCTGTCTGGGCGCATCCGTCGCGATGTGCGGACATCGTGTGCCCGCATACACCCCACCATCATCACGCCCTGCTCCCCCGCCCTGCGCAGGATCCCCGAGTTCCTGGTCCCCGCCTTCTCGTACGGCCTGGTGGGGGTGCTGTACATCCGCTTCAGCCCGCTGTGGCAGCCCGCCAGTGAGGCGCTGGCGGCGGGCCTGCAGTTCCAACACAAGGTGGGGGGGGAAGATAAAGGGATGGGCTTTGGCTAGACGGTCGTCTCTGCCAAAATTAGCGCGAGGCTATGAACCTGGAGCTCTCCAGGGATCTTCCTCGTCGTCTATTTGATTCCATGTCAACCACCAACCACCAACGGCTGCTCCCCGCACATTCCCTCGCCCTCGCCCGCCCCCCTTGCAGGTGTCCTGGCCCATCGTCCTCTCCTTCCTGACCTCCTCCCAACGTCGGCTCCTCGCTGCGGACTTCCCCTCCGCACCTGCGGCATCAGCAGCCGGCAGCGGCCGCCGCCGCCGCAGCGCAGCCGCCATCACCGCCGCCATCACCGCCCAACCGCTCACTCACGAGATCCCGCCGTCGCAAAACGCGTCGTACATTGAGTCCCTGGACGAGCGTTACGTCGCCGCCGCCAGCGCCGGCACCCCGGCGGCCGCCGGCGGCGTCACTGACCCCCAGAACCGGCTGAGCCACACGCTGCGTGCCATGGCCGCCGCGCCGTACAGCATCATCGAGCAGCACTCGCGCGACTGGGTGCCTCTGTTTCTGGACTACACGGCAGCGCGCGGGAGCCACTTTGACGACGGGGAGGGAGACGTGGAGGCGGCGGTGGCGGCGGCTCGGAGCGGGGCGGCGGGAGAGGGGCAGCAGGCGGCGGCGGCTGCTGCCCGGCCGGCGAAGAAGGCGAGGTTGGGGAAGGCGGAGGCGAGCTCCGGGGGTGCTGAGGTTGCTGAGGTGGTGGGTGAGGATCGGGAGGAGGAGGAGGAGGGCATGCGGGAGCGGCGGGAGTCGCACGCCGCTGCCTCCTGCTCGGCAGATGTAGCCGCCGCCGCTGCCCCCACTGCGGCGACCCGCAAGCGCAAGGCAGCGGGCGGTAGGACGAAGCAGCAGGCGTTGCCTACCCACCCCGCTGCTACTGCTGCCGTGGAGGCGAGTGCTCCGGCTCAGCACCCACCCGCACAGCCCGCAGCGGAGGACGCCGATAACAACAACAACGACAGCAGCAGCAGCAGCAAGGCACCAGCGAATGCCGGCTCTCCGTCTTCCTCGGTCAGTGTCTTGTCCCGCATCGGCGGCAAGACCTGGCGCGCGGGTCTGCTGGACTGGCTGAAGCTGCTGGCGGGGCTGCGGGGCGTCCGCGGGCTGTACCGCTCCGAGGAGCTGCAACGCGCCGTGTCCTCGCACCTGCTGGAGGCTGACACGGGGGTGCAGGTGGCGGCCCTGCGCTGTCTGCGGCCCTACCGCTTCCGCTGGCTGCCGCCCGAGATGGCCGACCGGCTGGGGCGGCTGGCGGATGATGCCACACTGCGCGAGGAGCTCGCCATCTTCCCCGTGGCTCCCGGCGCGGACGGAGGCGTGGGTGAGGAGGCGCGTCCGGGTCTCATCCCGCTGCTGATCCGGGTGCTGTTCCCCAAGATGCGCAAGCGGAGCGGGCGGCTGGGCGGACGCGGCGCCTCGGGCAGTGCTCGAGCCGCCATCCTGAACTTCCTGGCGGGGTTGCGACCCGCGGAGCTGCGACCGCTGTTGGAGTTGCTGCTGGAGCCCATGGCGGCTGCGTTCGTGCAGCCGGCTGGGGAGGGGGTGGTGGAGGGTGAGGAGGAGGAGAAGCCGAGGCCGGGGGGTGCCGCTGCGGAGGCGGCGGCGGTGGACGGGTACCGGCTGCTTCCGCCGCCCTGGTGGAGTGGCGCCATGCTGGGTCGGGGGGTGGGGTGGTGGTTGGAGGCGGTGGAGCAGGGGGCGCTGGATGCGCTGCCGGCGAGGAGGAAAGTGGGCTTCCTGAACGCATGTGAGTGGGGTTTGGGGGGGGGGAGCGGATTGGCATGCGGTAGGCTTAGCGTGCTCAGCAAAGCTCCTTGCCTCATCGCAGACTTGGTTTTCAACTGCACTGCTTACCTTGCCTCTTCTGATGACCCCCCTCATTTCCGCTCCCCTCCCCTCCCCTCCCCTCCTGCTCCCCGCCGCTGCAGTCGAGGACCTGCTGTCGCACCTTGGTCACGCCGTGGAGCCCTTCCTGCCCACCCTGCTGGCCATCACACTGAGGCTGCTGGTCACGGCAACTGCGGCGGTGGGGGCGGCGCCGGCGGGAAGCGAGGCAGCGGCGGGAGCAGCGGAGGAGGAGAAGGAGAAGGAGCCTGCTGCCGACAAGGATGAAGACGAGGATGATGACGAGGAGGATGATGAGGAGGGTGCAGCTGCTGCCTCCCCCGCAGCAGCAGCGGTGGAGCGGCACCGGGAGGTGCGCACTGCCTCGCTGCGGCTGCTGGCGCAGGTGTGGCTGCGCTTCCCCGCCGCCCCCTCCGCCGACTACAACCGCGTGTGGCGGGTGTTCCTGCCGGCAGTGCAGCCGCTCATCCCGCGGCTGCAGCTGGAGGCGGCCAGCAGCAAGTGAGGCGCTGGGGGGGGGGGGTGAGGAGAGAGGGGGTGGGAGGAGGGTGGGTGGGAATGGCGTGTGAGGGATGAGAGGATGTAGCAGGCGGTTGGGAGGCGCAGGGTGGCGGTGTTGCCTGCCTGCCTAGCTGCCTGGCTGTCTTCCGTGCGGTGCGGTTGGCTGCTGCTGCGTTCTTGCGCTCTTGCGTTCTCTGTGCTGACGATTCCAGGCAACCTAGGCTTCCCACTAACCCCCCTCCCCCCCTCCCTCCCCCCCCAGGGAGCCCCCGCTGCTGGAGTGCGTGTTGTCTCTGTCGCTCAGTCCCGGACTGGCCCGAGTGCTGGGCGACCTGCCCTCGGTGCCGGATGCGCGGCTGTCACTCGCACGACCCGCCGGGTCAGCGGCGGCAGCGGCAGCCGCAGCAGCTGCTGCTCGGGCGGAGGGGGCAGGGGCGGGGCCGGCGCGCATGGAGGTGGCTGGGGAGGAGGAGGAGGACGGCATGTCGTCCGGGCAGCCGCGGGCTGAATGGCAGGCCCGGGGTCTAGGCAGCTCGCTTATGCGCGGGACGGTGGCGATGCTGCAATCGGGCAGGTGCACGGAGGTGGTCAGGTCCACTGTGCTCGACGTGCTGGACGGTGTGTTGGGTTGCGGCGAGGGGCTGCTGCGGCGGGTGCTGCTGCCGTGGCTGGGGGAGGTGCTGCGCGCGCTGCACGCGGTCATTGCGGAGGCGTGGCAGCAGGGAGGAGCCGGAGCGGGGAGGGGAGGAAGGGTAGGTGATGGGGAGGGGGGGGGGGGGGGGGGGGAGGGGGCCTGCAGGGGACCTCTCACCATGCCTCTCACCATGACGGAGGACGTGCCCTCGCACACCTGCCTGCCTACCTAGGCTCTCCCACCTGCACCTGGTGCGACCTAGCTGCACGGCACTCGACACCGCATGCTGCAGCGGAAGCAGGTTGCAGTGAACTCATGTCACGTATCCTCTCCCCCCCACTCAACCCCCCCTCAACCCCCTCCCCTGCACAGGGTTTCCGGCGCCGCGCCCCCTCCTCCACCGCCCACCGCGAGCTGGCCATCCTGGAGCGGCTGGGCGGGCAGGTGGGCGACGCGGCCCTCGCGGCGCAGCTGGCGGACTCGCTGGTGGCGCTGCTGGGGCAAGCAGGTGGGACCGGGGGGGAGGGAGGAGGGAGCCATGATGCCATGGTAGGAAGCGACCTCTGCATGCCTCCACTGTCCTGCCTCACCCTGCCTCACCCCGCCCCCAACACGTATCACCTGGTGTATACCGCTGTTCCCCAACCACCTGCCCTCCCTCCCCGCAGGTTCCCGGGCGGTGAAGCACCGCTCCTCTGGCGGCCGCTCCTCCTCCTCCGCGGGCCGGCTGGACGAGGGCGGCATTGCGCGGGCGCTGGGGGCGCTGGCGGCGCTGTGGGGCAGGCTGCAGCCCGGGGAGCTGGCGGAGCAGGCGGTGGAGCGACACTGCGAGGCCATGTCCATGTGGGCCATCCGCCTCACCGGCCGAGAGCCGCGCGCCCAGCTGGCCGCCGCCTACTCCTCCGTGGCGCGCCTGCTGCCCCGCATGGCCCCCACCGCCGCCCTGCTGGCCGACCTCACTGCCTGGTCCCCCGCGTCCCTCGACGAGCTGGACTACGACAAGCGCATGGCCGCGTACGGCAGCCTGACAGCGGCGGCATGGGGCGGCATGGACCGCCTGCAGGCGCTGCCGCTGCTGCTGACGGGGCTGTACGACCTGAGGAATGCGGCGGACTTGGCGTTACGGCAGGCGGCGGCGGCGGCGCTCGCGAACTTTGTTGACGCGCTGGCGGAGGCGGAGGCGCAGGCGGCAGCAGCAGATGGAGGCAGCAAGGAGGACCCGCCCAACAGTTTGTTGCGGCTGACGGGCAGGGTGTTGTACCCCCAGCTGAAGACGCAGCTGGGGTGTCCCGCGCTGGCGGTGCGCCAGGAGCACTTGACGCTGCTGCGGGCGCTGGCGGTGCGGCTGCCGGGGCGCTTCCCGGACCTGGCGGTGCTGCTGAGTGAGGAGGCGGAGACGGACTTCTTCAACAACATCGCGCACCTGCAGAGCCACAGGTGGGGGGAGGGGGGGAGGGAGAAGAGGGGATAGGGGGAAGTTGTGAGAGAGGAAGGGAGGGCAGGGGGGGGGCGCTCGGGGTTTAGTGGTGGGTGGTGGGTGTTGCAATGGGGGCGCTTTCCGGCAGTATGGTGGATGATGCAGAAGAAATACCGTGACCGGCGGGTCATGATCCGCTGCTGTACAATGAAAATCAAAATCTCTGACACCGCTGCGCTGCTTCGTTTGGGCTGGGTTGGGTGGCACACCGGCATAGGTTGCACGGTGGGGAGAGCATGGGAGCATACCGGTACTTGTGGTGCCTTGGCACGGGGTGGGAACCAGGAATCACCATGGCGATGGCAGTTGATGCAAAGATACTATATCTTGATGGTGGAGTATGATTTCCACTACACGTACAACAATAAAAATCAAAATCTCTGATGCCATTACCGGGAATACCGATATCCTTCAGGAGGGAGGTCCCCCTCCGCATTTGCATTTGGGGGGGATGAACGCATGCAGCCCCTGGGACCCCATACACACCACACCTGCACCACACGTCGCGCATCTTGAGCACGGTTATTGCGAAGGGGGCAGGTGATGCAAACACATACAACGTGATCGGCGGAGTATGATACTTACCGCTACAACGTACATAATGAAAATCAAAATCTCTGATGCCCACGTGCCTCTACCCCATAAAGCCAGCACAGTAGCCCTCTCATTCTATTGCCTCTTAACCTTTTTCTCTCTCACCGTCTTCCCTTTGATTCCCCACCGTCTTCCCAGCATATCTTGACCCTTCTTCCCTTGCCGCACCTCCCTCTCCCCATCCTCTTCCTCTTCCCGCAGGCGCACTCGCGCTCTCAACAAGCTCACAAAGCTCATCAAGTCGCAAGGGCAACAAGGGCAACAACAGCCCGCACAAGCCACCACCCCCACCACCACCACCCCCACCACCACCACCACCACCACCACCCCCACCACCACCACCACCACCACCACCACCACCCCCGCCTCCCCCCCTCTGGGCCGCTGCCTGATGGATGTCATCGTGCCGCTGCTGCAGCAGTTCATAGAGGAGGGCGCGGGGGGCGGGCGCGCGGATGTGGGTCGCGCGCACGAGAAGAAGCAGACCGACCTGGACCGCGAGGCCAACGTGACGGACGCCGCCATCACCACCCTGGGCGCGGTGGCGGGGGTGCTGCCCTGGCCGCAGTACGAGCAGCTGCTGAACCAGATGATGCGGCTGATGCGAGCCCGGCCCGCCAAACCGCACATCCGAGCGGTGTGTGCGGTGCTGGACAACTTCCACTTTGCGCTGCCGGAGACGGATGAGGAGGCGGCGGCGGCGGCGGGTGCTGCTGGTGCTGGTGGGGAGAAGGCGGGTAGTGCCGCTGCAGGAGGAGTGCAGCAGCAGCCGAGGAGCCAGGCAGTAGCAGCTGCATCAGCTACAGCGGCTGGTCAGGAGGGGGGAGACGACAAGTCCCAGAAGGCCACCGGTGAGGGTGAGGCGGGGGCGGATGGCGGCGGCAGTGAGGACGGAGAGGAAGGAGGTGGCGGTGAGGAGGAGGAGGCCGCCGCAGTCGCCCCCTACGATGCCGCAGCCGTACAGCGATCGCTACTTCGCCGCATCCTGCCCGCCCTGCACGAGCAGCTGGTGGAGCGGAAGCGCGGGGATGACGAGGAGGCGGCCTCCGTGCGCGCGCCGGTGGCCCTGGCGCTCGTGAAGCTCCTCAAGCTGCTGCCGCCGGCGGCGGAGCGGGCGGAGCTGCCGCGCGCGCTGCAGGGGGTTGCCAATTTGCTGCGGTCCCGGATCCAGCGTGTACGTGACGACTCGCGTGCCGTACTGGTGTCAATGATGGCGGAGCTGGGGCCTAGGTACCTGCCGTACGCGTGCCACGTGCTGCGTGCCTCGCTGCCGGACCGCGGCTTCACAGCGCATGTGATTGGGTTCACGCTGCATGCGGTGCTTGAGGCGGTGGTGAAGGTGGCGCACGGGGAGTCGGCGGCAGCGGCGGCGGCAGCGGCGGTGGCGGAACCGGCGGAGGGGGCGGCGGCGCCGTCAGGGTATGATATTGAGAAGGATGAGGACGAGGAGGGTGGTGGTGGAGGTGGCGAGCGGGTGCAGGAGGAGGAGGCGGAGGGGCCGGTGGGTGTGTTGGATGAGTCCCTGGAGCTCTGTCTCCCCCTGGTGGAGGCGGACTTGTTCGGGGAGGTGTCGGAGGCCAAGGAGGTGAGCGCCTTCGCCTCACAGCACAAGGAGGCCAAGCGCTGTCGGGCCAACGAGGCCTTCCAGCTGCTCGCCTCGGGCATCACCTTCTCCTCCCACATGCGGCCGCTGCTGACGGTGGTAACGGACCGACTGCACCTGGCTGGCCACCCCACCACACGAGCCAAGCTGACGCAGCTGCTGCAGTTTGCGGCTCGCGGCGTGCGCGCCAACCCCACCGCCGGACCCAAGCAGATCATGACCTTCGTGGTGGGGGTCATGGAGGGCTGCCTCACACGCGAGGAGGCGGCACGCGAGCGCGCCAAGGCAGCGGTGGGGCCCGCGGGCAGCACGGGGGCCGGGCTGGCGCCGGCTGCTGCAGCGGCGCAACGCGCTGCCACCGCCGCTGCCGGCAGTGAGGCCGCCGCCGCCGCTCTCCACGAGACCCTCGTCCTGGAGTTCTGCCTGACGCTGCTTCACAGCGGCGTGCGGCGCGGCGCGCTGGCTGGTCGCTCCCCCGAGCTGCTGGCGCACGTGGACCCCGCGGTGCCGCTGCTGGTGCGGGCGCTGCGCAGCCGCCACGCGGGCTGTGTCAGCCTGGCGCTGCGCACCCTCGCTCACGTGGTGCCGCTGCCGCTGCCCAACCTCGCCGCCGCGGCTCCCAAGGCGGGCAAGGCGCTCACGGCGCTACTGCAAAAGGTGCCGAATGTACGTCATCCCATCGCGCAGGACTGCTTCCGTCTGCTTGCCGCGCTGCTGCGAGACTGTCCCGCCTACCAGCCCACCACCGCCCAGCTGCGGTTCCTGCTGCGCTGGGCGTTCGAGGACCTGGGCGAGGCGGGCGCGCAGCCCACTGCGTTCGCGCTGCTGCGGGCGCTGCTGGGTCGGCGGGTGGTGGTGCCGGAGGTGTACGACGTGATGGACCGGGTGCAGCAGATCATGGTGGGGTGGATGGGGGGGGTGGGGGAGGGGGTGGGGAACATTCGGGGGATACGGGTCTGTTCTCTGTTTTCTCTGTTGTTCTAGTACAGTGGGTTTCTATGTCCCGACAGCATCGGGGATTCTGTTGCAATCTTGCTGCGAAAAGGCCTTCTCAGGGAGTAGCCAATGCTCACGGCAATGCCTTCTGAGTACCCTCTAACCTGCCCTGCCTCCCCCCCTCCCTCCCCCCCCCCTGCAGGTCCGCAGCCAGGCGGCCCCAGTGCGCACCTGCTGCGGAGTGGCGCTGCTGCAGTTCCTGCTGGACTTCCCGCTGGGGCCGCAGCGGCTGAAGCAGCACGTGGCCTTCCTGCTGGCCAACCTGGAGTACGAGTACGAGTCGGGGCGGCTGCAGGTGCTGGACATGCTGGCGCAGGTGGTGGGCAAGTTCCCGCTGGAGGTGCTGCAGGTGGGGGGGGGCGGGTGACTGAGCTGCGTGTAGAAGAAAACGTAGGACCAACATCACCGGAAAGCGGAAGGAGGGAGGAAGGAATGGCCGGATGGGTGGTGCTGCCAGCATATTGTGCGGTTGGGTTGGACGCGCATTTGCAGCCCCAGTGGTGTTCCCCCTCGACCACCGCCCCGCTGTGGATCCATTACACCCTGCTCCCTCCTCCCCTCCCTCGCCCCCTCTCCCCCCCCGCAGGCCCAGTCCGACGTGCTGCTGATGCCGCTGGTGGTGCGCCTCGTCAACGACTCATCCCCCAAGGCACGTGCGGCTGCAGGGGAGGTGCTCCGCGCGCTGCTGGGCCGGCTGGAGGCGCCGCAGCTCGACCGCGCGGTCAGCTACTGCCGCGCCTGGCTGGAGCGGGAGGGCGGTGGGGGCACGGGGGCGGCACTGAGGCGGGCAGCCGCGCAGACGCTGGGGTTCGTGGCGGAGGTGGAGGGGGCGCGGTTCGGGCGGCGGGTGGCGGAGGTGGCGCCGGGGGTGCTGCGGATACTGGAGCGCCAGGTGGGGGCTGGGAGGGGGGGGATGCAGGGGGGAGGGGGCTGCGAGGGGTGCATGCGGGGGGAGGGGAGACAGGGTTCCAGGTACCGGCAGCTGGGGTGGCTGCCCTTGTGCGGTACTTGTAGTGATGTCTTCCGAGAGCCTCAGGGTACCCTTGTTGCACGCCTCCCACACCTCCGTCCCCCCACCCAGCCTAATGCGGAATATGTATCCCTATTCACCCCCACCCCCCAGGCTGCCCTCACCGAGGGTGAGGAGGACGCTGCCGCCGCTCACGACGACGAGTCGGCCGCCGCGGACGCCGCCTGCCCCGGCTGGCAGGAGGCCTACTACAGCCTGCTGCTGCTGGAGAAGGTGGCGGCGCAGGCGGGGGCGGCGCTGGCCTGGCCCGCACCGGCAGCAGCAGCAGCGGGGGCCACCGCGGCAGCAGCCAAGCAGCAGGCCCCGCCGGCCCCGCAGTCCGCAGCGCTGTGGGAGGGATTTGTGCGGCTGCTGCTGCACCGTCACGTGTGGGTGCGCAAGGCGGCGGCCAGGCTGGTGGGGTACGGGCTGGCGGCCCCGCGGGTGTGCGGGGGCCTCATGGCGGGCCGGGCGGGGCGGGCGGGGCAGCTGGCGTTCGCGTTCTTCCTGCAGCTGGAGTGCGAGGAGGCGGACGAGGCGACGTGTCTGCAGGTGAGGGTTGGGGGCAAGGGTGGGGATTGGTGAAGGAGTGGGGAAGTTGGGGTTTGGGGTATCGCGTTGGTGAGCGGGTGTCTGGGGCGGTTGATGGGTGTACCCTGCACAAGCGCTTCTCTGTTTCCTTGCCCTTCTCCTCCCCTCTTCTCAACCTCCCACCCCCTCGCCCCCCTCGCCCCGCCCCCCAGGCTGTCAAGTGCCTGGTGAGCCTGTCCGTGCACCTGCACCGGGAGGCGCCCGAGGGGGCCGCCGCCACCAACGGCACCCAACACCAGAAGCAGCAGCAGCAGCAGGGGCTGGCTTCGCACAAGCGGCTTCGAACCGAGCCTGCAGCAGCAGCGGCAGATGGTGAGGAGGATGAGGCAGAGGCGGTGGACGAGCAGGAGGAGGAGGAGGAAGAGGGTGTCGATGGCGAGGACGCGGCCAACGGTGGGGGAGCTACCGCAGAGGAGGCTGAGGCTGAAGACGCGGCAGAGGAGGGAGAGGGTGCTGAGGGCGCCGCTGATGCCGCCGCAGAGGACGCGGAGGACGACGCGGGGGATGCGGTCAGCATGGCAGCTCAGGTGCGGCGCCGCGCCTTCACCCTCCGCGGCCTGGTGCGCCGCATGGCTCGACTGGCGGACGACGGCCGCTGGACCCGCAGTCGCCAGCGGGCGGCCGCGCTGCGCTGGACCGCCGCTGCAGCCAGCGCACTGGGGCCGGAGGCGGTGGCTCCGCACCTGCCGGTGCTGCTGCGGCCGCTGTTCCGCATCTCGGAGGCGGCGGCGGCGCCTGGGGGCACCTCCCGTGTGGCGGAGGATGTGCGGCTGCTGGCGGAGGAGGTGATGGCGCACCTGCGGGGACTGGTGGGCAGCGAGGTGCTGCTGGGGGCGTACAACGCGGCGAGGGAGCATGTGCGGGGGCTGCGGGCGGAGAGGAAGAGGCGGGCGGCGGTGCGGGGGATGCTGGACCCGGCTGCGGCGGCTGCGGCGAGGTTGCGGCACAATGCGCGGAAGGCGGAGGGGCGGAAGAGGAAGATGGAGTTAATGAAGCGGGAGCGGGGTGCGGGGAGGCGGCAGGGAGGGCGGGGGGGAGGCAAGGGGGCGAGGAGGGCGTGAGGGGGTAGGTGGCTGCGTGCGTGTGTTTTGCAGCGGAGGGGACAATGTAGAGCTGCATTGTAGTATATATATTCTTTGTTACAGGATAGCACGTCCGTGTACAGGACGGCTTCGGTGAATATGTGTAGTGGCATGGGCCCTAAGTGGCGTTTAGCGGCATCCCTCCGGATACGTGTGTTGGGTTGCAGCGCATCCGGGTGCCGTACGGAACACGAATGCACGGGAGCTCCGCCCGGAGAGCGCTGACCGGCAACGTGGCTTGTGGTACATCATTGTTGTGATACAACATGGCCTTAGTTACACCATTCTTACCCGACTTGCGCATGTGTGGGCCTCGGGCCGTGTAAATGGGTGTTGGAAGTGCAGTGCGGCGGCCTCCGGGCAGCACACATGTGGTGCGTACTGCGTCCGTATACAAATATGAACAGCTAGTATCCCTTCTTGCCCTTACAGCACTTGCGTTTTAGTGTTAGCATGCACTCATGGGTGAGGACCGCTCTAGCGTATCACGGCTGGTGCACATCCGTCCCTTCTGTGTTTCACCCCGGCAACCCATCCATAACCCAATCCTCGGCTGCCTTGCTGTCCGCTGTCTTCTGCCAGCTGTCACCAGCTGCTGGCCGGATCCTGCATTGCGGTATCGAAGAAGAGTTCATGTAGCCATCGCAGCACGCCAGGGAACATGCTAACGCCCGCTGGAAGCTGTACAGGTTGGGGTGAGTACCGTTTGTACGGCCAACGTGTACGGCATCTGCGCCGTGCTAGCCCGCTTGGCGGCAGGGGAGAGCAGCAGGGCGATGGTTGCATCCATGTGGGTATAGGGCCACTACCGACGTACCACAGCAGGTCACAGCGCAAAGGGTTAGGATTGCGGAGGACGGGCATCAGTGAGCTTGGTATCGGTCTTGAACCATGGACGAAGCAATGGGGGAAAGGGCAATGCAGCGGAATAGTGATGCCGTGTTGCGCTTGGCACAGGCAGGTGCGGCAGAACATCGGGGAGAGTGTCTGGCCGGGCCCAGGCCGGCGTGCATGCAGAAGGCTTCAGTACTTGATGCGGATTAGGACGATCCGTGCAACTAATGCTGCGTGACCCTGAAGTGCACCATGGTTCGCGCTCCGCTTGCCGGTGAATGTGAAAGCTTAGTCGCAGAAACGTGTATCAATAACTGATTTACAAGGGTTGGATTCATTGAATTATAAGGGACGAGGGATGGAAACGTGGTTCCGGCATCGGTGCATGAGCAGTATGCCGTACGGCTCCTAGAGAAAACTGTTCTCTGAGCCGCTGAAGGTCTGTTGGCCCCGGTAGCTTAGGGACCTAGCAAAAATGGCCGGTGTATACGAGAAAGAGAGCGATTATGGGTAGGAAAGCTAGCAGCTTGTTCATTTCGGCTGGCTTCTCGTTGACCCCAACTTTATGGCCACTGCAGCTACATCCGCAAGGTCTCCGGACCTGTGGTGGTCGCCGACCATATGGCCGGCGCTGCCATGTATGAGCTGGTTCGCGTTGGCACGGACAACCTGATTGGTGAAATTATTCGCTTGGAGGGTGACAGCGCCACGATCCAGGTGACTGGTGCACACGGAGAGTTCCAACAACACATTTGTTGTTAACATGCGGACTTGCATTGCAGGTTTATGAGGAGACGGCTGGCCTTTGCGTGGGCGACATCGTGTTGCGCACAAAGAAGGTATGTCATTTGTCTTGAGTTACTACTCTTAGGTTTGTATTCAAACTATTTTTTGCCCGCAGCCTCTGTGCGTGGAGCTGGGCCCTGGTGTCCTGGGCAACATCTTCGATGGCATTCAGCGCCCGCTCAAGGCGATTGCCCAGCAGAGCGGCGATGTGTTCATCCCCCGTGGTGTTGCTTGTCCCTCACTGGACATCGTTAAGCAGTGGGAGTTCCACCCTAAGGGATTCAAGGTACGTTGTGCTGGTTCAGATAGGCGGGATTGGGACGATCGGCAAACATGTTCGCCACGCCGTTCCCGCAGGTGGGCGACCGCATCACCGGAGGCGATATTTACGGTCTTGTGGCGGAGAACAGCCTTATCGAGCACCGCCTGATGCTCCCTCCCGGTGCCCGCGGTAGCGTCACCTACATTGCCCCGGCGGGTCACTACAACGTGGATGAGGAGATCATCGAGGTGGACTTCCAGGGCCAGAAGAAGGTACGTAAGCGGTCCACCCAACCCCAGCTGAGAGCTCCTCGTGTACTCACCCATGTGCCTCATCCCCATCCTATGCTTTTCCCCCCTTTAGCCTCGTCCCCCTCCTCATCCGCCCTCTCCTTCCTCCTCTTCTCCCCCCGCCTTTCCTTCACAGAAGTACAGCATGAAGCAGCTCTGGCCCGTGCGCTCCCCGCGCCCGGTGGCGCAGAAGCTGCTTGCGGACACCCCGCTGCTGACCGGCCAGCGTGTCCTGGACGCGCTGTTCCCCTCGGTGCTGGGCGGCACCTGCGCCATCCCCGGTGCCTTCGGCTGCGGTAAGACCGTCATCTCGCAGGCGCTGTCCAAATACTCCAACTCGGACGGCATCATCTACGTGGGCTGCGGCGAGCGCGGTAACGAGATGGCGGAGGTGCTGGCGGAGTTCCCCGCGCTCACCATGACGCTGCCGGACGGGCGCGAGGAGTCCATCATGAAGCGCACCTGCTTGGTGGGTTAAGGGGTGGGGTGGGAGGGGGATGGGCGCAGTAGGGGGGGTACATGGGCAGGGGGCGGCTGAAGCTTCAATGGTAGGGGCAGGGGGGCATGGGGAAAGGAGGAGCTCCGTGAATATGCAGCGCTGGATGGTGTCTTCTACTGGGGAAAATGAAATTGTTTAGCCTGTCAGGTTCAGCATTATGACTCACGCAAGTAGTTGCGCATGGATTGCGCAGCCATAGTAGCCAGCGGGGTCACCGTTTGATTAGGTGCCGAGGCGTCTGTGCCACCTGTGGCCGCGAGTCGCAACGCACTGTGATTGCGGGGGGGGGGGTGCAGTCCCCACACGCGTGCGTCCTGGGTACCCCTCCACACCTCTTGGCGCATCGGCACGCCTTAGTCTCCGCTGCCGAGCTTTACGCCGTGCAACGCAGCACAACACAATGGCAGTGGGGAAAACCTACTGCTTGTAGTGATACAGTAGCACATATGAAAGCAGTAAAGCGCGCCACATCTCGTAACCTATCCGCTTTTGCCAAGCTTTACCATGCAAGCACGCACTGGCCCAAGTCTTAAGCCCCACCTATGTATAAACAACTCCCCGCGGGCCCGCTCTGCCTCCTCCCCTCCCCTCCCCCCCAGGTTGCTAACACCTCCAACATGCCCGTGGCTGCCCGCGAGGCGTCCATCTACACGGGTATCACTCTGGCCGAGTACTTCCGCGACATGGGCTACCACTTCTCAATGATGGGCGACTCCACCTCGCGCTGGGCGGAGGCGCTGCGTGAGATCTCGGGCCGCCTCGCGGAGATGCCTGCGGACTCGGGTGGGTGGGGGGGTGGGGGTGGGGGCTGCAGGGGGCGAGAGACCTGCCCTTATGGCGATGGGGAGGCCTTATTACTTCGTCCCAAGGCATGCATAACGCCGTCGCTTGGCGGTATGCCTGTTGACTTCCCATGTTACAGATGGATTAAATACAAGTCTAAATATCTGGGTTACGTCACGAGAGCAAAAGACGGGGAAACGGGTAGCCAGTGCTGCAGGGGAGAGCACCCCTGTACAGCCAGCTCATGTCAGGCAGTCCCGAGCCGTGTCGCCCCGCCCCGCCCGCCCCCCCCCCCGCAGGCTACCCCGCCTACCTGGGTGCCCGCCTGGCCTCCTTCTACGAGCGCGCGGGTCGCGTGCAGTGCCTGGGTGGTCCCAAGCGCGAGGGCTCCGTCACCATTGTGGGCGCCGTGTCGCCCCCGGGAGGCGACTTCTCCGACCCCGTCACGGCCGCCACGCTGGCCATCGTGCAGGTGGGTGCGGGAGGCTGGGGGGCTGGGGTGGGTGGGCGCTCTGACAGTTGGCTAGGATGGGTGCAGGACTCTGCGGCGGCGGTGCTCTGCGGCGGTGCTCGGGGAAAGGATCATTAGTGCCCACGCCACATGGCTGCAGCCCGTGGCAGAACCGTTGGCTGGGTGTCAGGGGGTCCGCAGTGGTAGCTGTGCTGCCTGCGGCCCGCAGTAACGGAAGGCGCCTTGCTTGCTGTCTGACGAACTTAAGCGTAACTACAGCGACGCAGCTGCCGGCGGTGTTGCTTCTGGCATGTTTGCTAGCCCTATGATATGGGTTGGGGCCGGAATGGTCGTTGACAATGCTTTCAGTTGCCACGTACAATGTGTTCATGCACTGCTGGCTGCTAGGCGGATGTCGTTTAGTGCCAGAATACCAACCTGCTTCAGTATCACGTTGCATCTTGGTTTCAAGTCCCACCTTCCGCCGCACTTCTCACTCTTTGCTGCTCGCTCCTCCGCTCCCGCCGCCCTGCCCCTCACAGGTCTTCTGGGGTCTCGACAAGAAGCTGGCGCAGCGCAAGCACTTCCCCTCGGTCAACTGGCTCATCTCCTACTCCAAGTACACCAAGTCGCTGGAGCCCTTCTACGACAAGTTCGACCCCGAGTTCGTGCAGCTGCGCACCACCTTCCGCGAGGTGCTGCAGAAGGAGGACGAGCTGAACGAGATCGTGCAGCTGGTGGGCAAGGACGCGCTCGCGGAGACGGACAAGATCGTGCTGGAGACGGCCAGGTGGGGGGAGGGGTGGGTGGGATGGAAGGCGGTGGGGACGCCGTTGTGCGCAGTGCCCATTGGGCACAGGTGGGCTCTATTGTTGACGTACCCATATCGCCCATGCGCCCCGCCCCCCTCCCCGGCCCCCAGGTTCATCAAGGACGACTACCTGCAGCAGAACTCGTTCACCAAGTACGACAAGTACTGCCCCTTCTACAAGAGCGTGGAGATGATGCGCAACATCGCCACCTTCCACCGCCTCGCCACCGCCGCCATCGAGAAGACGGCGGGCGGCAACGCGGAGGGGCAGAAGATCACCCTCAACGTCATCAAGCAGCGCATGGGCGACACGCTCTACAAGCTCACCAGCCAAAAGTTCGAGGACCCAGGTGCGACCGGGTTATGGAAAGTGCCGTGGGTTGGCCAGGGCTCCGCTGGTGCTCCGCGTTGCCATGCATGCCTGTTCTTGTTAAGTCGCCGGGCTTGACGCGTCATTGCTTGTCGGCTAATTGTCTCGCATCTGCCTCCCCCCCCTATCCTCCTGCCTGCTCGCAGCTGAGGGCGAGGACGCGGTGCGGCGCAAGCTGCGGGCGGTGTACGAGGAGCTGACGGAGCGCTTCCGGGCGCTGGAGGAGGAGTTCCGGTGAGCGGCAGCGGCATGCGGAGGCAGCCCGCCTGCCTGCCTGAGGGGGACCCCGGCCGGCCTGCATGCATGCATGCGTGGAGGGTTCGTGCGGAAGTTGGAGAGTGGAGGGGCGGATCGGGTGGTGTTTCTCGGACGACGAAGGGTAGGGGGACACTGCGAGTGCCAGGGTAATAGCTGACAGGTGATAGGGGGTTTCCAAGAAGTGCGTACTGGGAGGGTTTAGAGGGTAGCTTTTTGCGGACGACGGAATATTGCACATGCCTGTCTAACGACGCATCCGGGTGGCAAGCGAGCGCAGGGCCGCACTTACGGGCCGAAGGCTCCTTGTCGTGCTTTGATAGGGGACCAATTACAGTACGCCTCCAGTTGGTATGAAGGATTCGGAGAAATTGCAGACATTGTAGCACTTCGGTGTATGTCAGTTCCCTAGTGAAGCCCGTGTATGTATCTCTTTGCGTGATCGAGTGGATTCCCTGTAAAGGAACATGCGTGTGTTACATGGTGTGGGCATGAGAACGTTCCGAGCCTCCCTGGGTTTAAGTTGCCCTTCTCCGCGGGCCGGAGATAAGAGCTTTGCCAGGTTCCGCAGCGGTGTCCGACGTCTTGGGGCATCAGTGCACAACAACTTTACACTGCTTCGGTTCAACTGTTTGGCCAGCTATGCATATTCATGGCTAAGGCGGCCAGGGCATTCGAATACCCTGGGGCCGACTAGCAAATTTCCTGGCTGCTTGTACGACAACAACAACACGTACTGTACCAACACGAAGCAGGACAACATAGGACTAGGCACAACGTTTGCACACAACGTCTTGCTGTATGCCGAAGATCGAGAGAACTTAAAATCCGCAACTTTGTACAGCCGCCTTCCAACCAAGCGCCATTAGAATAACGTACGGCACCTTTCAGTGCCTTTAGCTATACCCTAAGCCAGACCTACTCCTCAACACTGCTTCAGGGCAGCCAGAATCCCGCTGCCTCTACTCGAGATCCCCATGCGCCTCTTTGTTTCACAACATAGCAACACAAGTGCGGGTCAACTTTGAAGTTGTAACTGAGAGGTCAAAGCGATACCACACAGAATTCCGCTGACGCTATCGCGCCCCCTGCCTTCCCAGCCAGCCCTTCAACGCGTATCTGTACGGCGAATGCTGTATCGGTGACTAAAGCAGCCCCCCTACATTTTAGTCATCCTGGTCGTACAGCTGTTTTGCGTTGAGGTCGATGTCCGCCTCCACGCGCTCCATCACCTCCTGCAGCCGCCGCTCGCCCTCCACCCGTCGCACCCAGCGCTGCAGCGCCGAGATCTGGCGGTCCGTGCGGTCGTAGTAGCTGAAGTGCACAGCCTGCAGTGGGGGGGAGGGATGGGGGGGGTGGGCATGCAGGCAATCCTAGCAGAGGCCGCCACACTGCGCTCTAGACAACTCCTGGCCTCCCATGCCTCCGATTGTAAGCAAAGAGCATCAGAGTTTAGGCCACACCGCTCCTGCCTCCACCGTCACGGTCTCTCACACAGTCTCTCACACGTTACCCTGCGCATGCCATCCCTCCTTCCCCCCACCGCCCACCCCCAACCCCGCACCTGGAGGTTGCGCGCGCAGAACAGCCAGTAGTTCTCTCCGTAGTCCAGCGTCAGTTCCTCGTCCTTGCGGATCCTCCTCGTGGCGTACAGCATCAAGTACGGCCTGCCGCGCTGCTTGCTCCACACCACCCTCGCCACCACGTTAGCCCTGGTGCGTGGCAAGGAGCGGTAGGTGCAATAGTGTGAGCAAGCCTTCTGTTAACAACTTTACAAGGGGACAATACCGTGTTCACAACCTGACGCGAAATGACACGGTGGTTCCGTACGAGCACTGTTGTGAAGCTGCAGGTTGTGCGGGCCCCGCAGCAGCAGCAGCCGCAGCCCGACCCCCGCGGCACTCACTCGCTGTCCTCCTCCTGGCCCCAGATGTCGTTCATGAAGCGCGCGTCGTTGCCTCGCTGCAGCGCATCCACCACCAGCCCCTTGCCGGGCCAGCTGATTTGGGGGCGGCTGGCCTTGAGCTCATGCTTCTTCATGGCGAAGACGTAGCACTGCGGGGCGGCCGATCGTAAGGTTGAGCTTTGAGGGCGCGTGAAGGCAGCGCAACAGGCAACGAATACCGGTGTACTGCATTGTCAAGCGAGACACGCCAAGAGGCGCGGGCATGCATGAGGTACAGGCTGCCTGCTATTAGGGAGGGGTTTAACAGGGTTGAAGCCCTACCCAATGGTCGTAATGTTTATTTCAGTACACCATAGCCCAACTCCGCCACCTCCCACCTCCTTCTCCGGCGCGTTGGCCAGGTCCATTGCGTGTGCGGTGCCCACGCTGCCCCCGTAGATGCCGATGGGCTCGTCCTCCCGGATCTCCCTCCGGGCCAGGACGGCGTGGGCCACCTGGTCGGGCGGTGTGGCCCAGCGCACGGAGTGGTGCAGCGCCCGCACCTGGGGCAGGGTGGGTGGGGCGGGGCGGGGCGGGGGGAGGCGGGGCGGGGCGAATACTAGCAGGCTGGCAACATGCCGTACGCGGGTAAAGAGCAAACCTTCACCGAAATGCCATAATCGTTTGCCTTCAGCAGGAGCTGGCAACCTAGCCCTTGGCTAGCTACTCCTGGAGCAGCCGGCTGGGGCATGCGCATGACAGCTGGCTGTAGGAGAAGGTGCATGCGGTCAAAGGTCGCCCTGGGACGGGCCCATATATTGTGAATTAAACACTGAAGCAGTAGTAAGGAAGAAAACACAGGAGTGGAAAGGGAGGGTTTTTAAGGGAGAGGGATCCCTCTCCCTTCACGTCAGTGACGTTCCGCTGAAATGCCAGTTCAGTTAACGGCCATCTTAGGACGGACCCGCGGTTCGCAAATGACAGGTTCTGTTACACGCGCTCTCCCGCCCTGCCCCTAGCAACTTCGCACGTGGTGATTTTCCCGCATCTCCTGGAGCCGCAGCGCACTGTGCCCGCGTAAGCCCACTGCATATACGCTCTGCCGTACATGCAACGTGTGCACAGTAGCTGGCGAACCAACCAAGGGTTGCCACACACGCACCGCTAAGCAGCGGAAGGCCACCATTGTAAACCGCATCACACCGCATCACATCACCTGCCCCAGCTGCTGTCAACTCCCTACCTCCACCACATCACAGCTCGGCAGCTCCCCACTCGCGATGAGCGCCTCCTCCTTCTCCGTAGCAACACCCGACCGAAAGCTGCGGCCACGGAGCTTGTTCATCTCTCTTATCAGCGCCGGGGGCAGGGTTGTGAAGTCGCACTCCGCCGACCAGCCAGGGAAGGACGCGAGCACCTGCGGGTGGCTCAGACGCCGGAAGGCAACACTCGGCTTGGGCACTTGCCCGCGTGCCGCAGCGGCGGGGGTGGGTCGGGCTTGAGGCCTCGCCACTGCACTGCTGCCGCCTGCCGCCGCTGCGGCAGCAGCCGGAGCAGCTGCCGAGGCGGCCGCAGCAGCAGCAGCCGCTGCAGCAGCAGCCGGAGCTGCAGCCGAGGCGGTTGCAGCAGCCGGCGCGTGCTGGGGCGTGTCTCGGTAGTGACCCTCCTTGAGGTCGAACGCCACGGCGGTACCTTGCAGCTGCTGCTGGCCGGACGACGGCTGCTGCTGCTGCAACGGCGGTTGAGATGGAGGCTCGGCGGCGGCCGGCGCATTGCTAGGACCTGCCCCGTTAGAGGGTCCCGCTCCGCCCCCAGCCTCCTCGCCCTCCTCCTCCTCCAGCGGCACCTCCCCGCCCCGCCCGCTGGCCTTCACCTCCTCCACGTGGTGCAGCAGCCCCTGCCGGGTGTAGTGCGCGCGCCAGGACTCCGCCGCCTGCGCCATCACCTCGTGGCGGCTGATCGCCTGCCAGCACTCGTCGCCCCAGTACAGCAGCAGCTCGGTGCCCGCCTTCATGGCGCGGTCGGCGCAGAACAGGATGTACGGCAGCACCTGGGTGGGTACGGCAGGCAGGCGGATGTGGGATGAGGGGCTGTGAACGAGATGGGAAGCGTGTACCTTTCAGGGAAGGGGTATGTCCGGGAGTAGGAAAGGAAGTTGGGGGAATGAGGTGAGGAGACAGGCGAAGTGCTGCAGCCCTTGTCGTCAGCTTGTGCATGATGCAGGCCGGTACCGGGTACCTGGATATTGGGCAAGGGTATTTGTTGGGGTGTGTTTCGGCATTTCAAACCGTGAACAGTAAACCCGTACGACCGCGCTATCCGTGCGGCCCGGCACCCACCAGGTCCGGGTGCGAGGGCGCAGTCGTCCAGACCAGTTCCGTGTAGATGTTGGGTTTGGGCGGCCAGCATGCCTCGTGCCAGGTGGGGTCGTGCAGGTAGCGCGCCTCGTTGCCGGCCCGGTCCGCCGCCAGCACCAGGTCCACCCGCTGCTCACTCGGGTAGCCACACTCCTTCAACGTGTCGTACGGCAGGTCGAACGCCATCAGGTGGACCTGACATTGGGGAGCCCGCAAAAGGGAGAACCAGAACCTGAACTTGGTCGGACTTGCGAGACACAGAAGCGGTGGTGGTGACACATGCAGAATACGGAAAGGGTGTGGAGACGGCTCAAGTCCCTGACTTGCAACGGCTGGACTGTTGGGTTTGTCATAGGTTCATGACGGCAGTGCGGCCGCATGCTGGTGGGCAGTTAGTGGTCACTCCCAGCAGCTCAGGGGCACACCCAGCTGCTGCCCACCTCTCAGACAGGGGTCAGCGGGACTCGGTCAGCGGGTTGCCGTATTACCTGTTGCCTAACTAGCGCTGCCTCACCTTTTGGCGGCCTGAAGGGTTGGCGGCGCGTGAGACCCCCCCTTTCGTTTCATTTGTTCCTTATCCGGGGTGGTAGGTTCGCCACACGGCTTTAAGATTAAAGATCTCGATGAGAGCATCCCAAATCCGCTTTCAGAATCATACGTGCAGTTGTACGGGAATAGTTATTGGCCTTCAAAGTTGGTCGTACGGCAGGGGTGGGTAGGTGGGTCGGAGACCCAACTATGTTTTGTTTGACCTTCGAAACATTTTTCCCGAGGTATCGTTTCCCGAGGTATCGTTTCGACAAACGGAAAACAGTACTCTTGCTGTAATACCGGAAAGTGCAATTTGCGCTAATACTGGAGCCTTGGGGTGGAGTTTGCGGGCGGCAATGTCCCCATGGAACACCCAGCTGGCCCAACATACCACAGTATTTCTTCTCCGGACTCCTCTATCCACAAGATAAGATGTATATGTATTATCAATACCGGGGCTCACGTCAGAGGCAGCAGGGGGCAACAGCCAATACGCAAGAGGGACAAGGGGCAAAGCAAGCAGCAGGGACAAGGACCAAGGTGGAAGGGGCCCGAAAAGAAACCAAACGAAAGAAATTGCAAAGATAGGGCAAGGTTGAGAGGGGAGGGCACGGGAGGAAACACCTGTGGCTGAGGGAGGAGGAGGGGCAGGGGGTAAATGCGTGTTTCTGCATCTGGTGCTGAGGGCGGTGGGGTGCAAGCCAACCTGCTACCCGGGGGAGGGGGCGCAGTCGTACCGATGGCGGGGTGATGCGAGGGACACAGTACCAGGTGGGCTGGAGGCCACTAACCAACGCTACCGTGCACTTAGACATTACAGCAATGCGAATGAAGTTCCAAAGCGAAATGCGTCGGCTGTTGACAAGAGATAATAAACATGGCAGCCTGCCTGGGGCCTTCCCCCGTGTGGCGGGCAATGGACATCACGCCAAACTTACAGCGTTGTTGTACAGCAAAAACGGTACGACAGGGTGGGTGGGTGGATCCGGCACCCCTTCCTTGGCTTTTTTAACATGGGGTTTGGGTAAGACTTTATTATCCCCCTGCCTTTCCCTATTTTCGCGTCTTTCCCTATTTCGTGCAGTTATCCCGACCCTCGAGGCAGCCTTATAGCTTCCCAAATTTTAGCTTCCCGGATCAAAGCCTCACTCTCTTCGCGGTGCAACATGTACAACTCTGCCGTCATCGAATGACTTTAACCTCCACGCCGGCCTCGTTCTATGTTACTCAAATTATGGTTGTTCATCCGCTCGCACGCAAGCCTTCCGGTTCATCGTTTTCTTGTTGGTTTCTTGCCTTTATTATTGAGATCGTTCAGGTGGTCGGGTTGCGTATGGACCGTCGGTGCGGCCGGCTAGCGTGACTATCCGACGTCTCATCCATGACGCAACCTAGCTAGGGTCTCCTTGTCGCTGCATCCTTTCGGCATCAACATTGACGTTACACTTAGTAAATCCTGCTATCGTTTTAGCTGAAGTGATTCCGGCTTGGCGGGAATTGTCGGCAACCATGTCACAAGGTTAGTTAGTTTTTTTCCTCTTTATCCTCCCAGCCGCACCCACCCTCTCCGTGTTGTCCGGGTGCGCCGCCTCCCAGTCGCGCAGGGTGAGCACGCTGCCCGCGTAAGCCAGCAGCGGCTCGTCCCGGCGAACCGCACTCGTGAGGAACACCGAGTAGGTTGGCGTGCCGAAGTTCTCCAGACGGAACAGCCTGCAGGCCGGATACCTGCCCTGTATGGCGTCGCGCTTCTCAGCCGGCAGGCAGCTCCAGTGGTGCGAGTAGGACCACTTGCTGATGTGAAGCGCGTCGCGGATGTCGGCGTCAAGGCGCTCGGCGCTCACGCTACGAGAGTAGCCGATCCCGAACTGCTGGAGAAGCGCTGTGATGTCGGACACCGGGGTGCGTCCCTCAGTGCCGGCAGCAGCAACGCCGGGGTTGCCATAGCTGCTGACACGCCGTCGCTGGGGAGGCCGGTAGTGGGTGCAACTGAGGCCTCCTCCGCCGCAAGCCTTACGTGCCATATGTCTTGAGGAGAGGCAAGGGTCGCCTGCTAGGGCTTGACGGGCTGTGTGCTGGTATAAGCGAAGTTAGGTCAAACCTACACAAAACCGCAGTGCGAGTTGTCCCTACAAGAGATGCAGCGCTTCAAATGGAAAGTAGTACAAACGCACGCGAATGGGGGAAGGTGCATGTTGAGTCATCCGCTGCGGAATCTATGGTAGCCCCGAACCATGGGTCACACCTTGGTCACAACACAAGGGGCCACCTGACCACCTAACCTTGGCCTGCAGAGACAACGCGTTCAGGTCCCGGGGCGAATGCCTCTCGTCCTCGTTCTGCTGGGCCATCCAGTGTTCTTCAATTGCTTGCGCGGCATAGGCAGAGGCAGCAGGATGCCCTCATGCCACTTTGGTTTTACAAATTTTCTTATGGAAACATAACAAGGTAGATTGACTCATTGTTAAGGACTCGAACAAAACCCCAGTTATTAGTTGAGTCAGCGGCTAACGTTGCGTCAAACAAGCACAAATGCGACATACTGCTCCTGAGTGCCAAGCGCCGACCATACGCGACAGGTGGCCAGACTAGGTTCCTGGCAAGCCCCCACTCCGGGGGACGTCGCGTCTTGCATTGAACGCAGGCCCCTGCAATCCCCTCCGCTCCCCGCCCCCTCAACTCCCGCCCCCTCATGTCCCGCCCCTTCCTCTCCTGCCCCCTCATCTCCCCCCCGCCGCCCGCTGCCCCGCCAGTCGGTAGATGCTGTTGTTGTCCAGCACCACCACCTCGCGAGAGATGAGCACCTGCAGGAAGGCCTGGGGGAGGGGGTGGGGGCGGGACAAGGAGAAGGGAGGGAGGTGGAGACGCGGCGAGCGAGGAAAGCAGCCAACCCACACACCAGCACCTCAGCCCTAGCACCTCATCAGACAGCATACCACGCAATAGTGTACTGCCTCCCTCCAACCGCTCCTACCCTCCCTCCCTGCAGCAGAGGACTCCCAACACAGCACCCCCCCCCCCTCCCCCCCCATCCCCCCCTCCCCCACCTGCAGCTGCTCGGGTGTCTTGTCGTACTTGGGTGTGCTGACCACGAAGAGGCGCAGCATGTGGTTGAGGCGGTCCAGGGGCAGGCCGCCGTAGTTCTGCAGGATGCCTGGGGGGGGGGGGGGGAGGGAGGGGGGGGGAGGGAGGGCGGGAAGTGAAATGAGGAGTGAAGCACTGGAGTCACGTGTACCGTATTGCCCAAAATTTAATTGACAACAATAAAATGTTTTGGGTTTTGTCAAATGGGGCAAAAATGTTTTTTTGCCATGTCAAATGGGGCTGGAAATTCGCTGGCAAAGTGTCAAATGAGGGCAAAATAGTCCGCCTGGGGTGACTGCAGGGTAACTAAGATGGGAACGGAGAGGTAGGGGGCAAATGACTTGCCAATGCGCTGGATCCTCACCGCGCCATGCCCAGTCGGGGTTTCCCAATGGTGTTCCACTTATCCTCCTAGGGCTGCACAGCGGCATACAGCTGAACAGCTCCTTTCCTTACCATGTTACATCCAACACGTACGGCGGCTTTTGGGGCGTTTTGGCGCATGTCAAATGGGGCTAGAAATACGCCATCAGGAAGTCAAATGGGGCATAAATTATTCCCGCTTTGTCAAATGGGGCTGGAAAATAGGCCTCCAAACGCATGTCAATTAAATTTTGGGCAATACGGTACCGACTCAAGCAGGGGGCAGGGGGGAGGGGCAGTAGGGGGAGGTAGGGGGAGATAGGGGCGTGTAGGGAAGATGATAGGGGCATGTAAGGGCGTAGTGGTTGGGGGAAGGCCTTCGCGTTGTGTCGCCTATACCTCCTCCAAAGCAGCGGTGTGCTGCGACATCCCGCATGCCCCCGAGCAGCGCCGCCCGCTGACGGGGCAGCGCTCGCAAGGGTGCACCCGCAGATGTCAGGAACGCGGCTGCTCAGACGCCCCCATCCTCCCCCCCATCCCCACCCCCCCCTTCCTCACCCTTGATGTAGTTCTCGAAGGGCCCCACCTCCTCCACCGCCCGGTCCGCCGCGCTGGGCAGCTGAGCGGGCGCCTCGTCCTCCGCGCCATAGTCGGTCAGGGTGGCGCCTGGGGGTGGGGGTGGGGGCGGGGGTGGTGAGGGGGTGAGGGGAGGTAGGCCAAGCCATAGGTGAGGGGGGAGAGAGGAGCTGTCCGAACACGCAAGCCACGGGTGCAGCACCAGCCAGTCAGTGTTCACCATTGGGCCTGAACACTGGGCTGACTGGCTAGCCGGGTTGCAGCAGGTAGGGTAGGGACCATCACCTGCCCTGTGCCACTACAGCAGCACCCGCCCCCTCCACACAAACCCCCACCCCCCCCCACCCACCCTCCAGCTCCGCCGGCAGCGCCTCCGCCCGCCGGTACACCAGCTGCTCCCCGCCTCCACCTCCTCCACCTCCACCTCCTCCACCCGCTGAGGGGGCGCGACTGCTGCTGTTGGCCCCTCCACCCCCCCCACCCCCCCCTCCACTGCCGCCCCGCCCCTCCGCGATCACTCCGTGGTTCACCCAGAACAGCATCTTGCGCCGCACCACAGCCACCGGCAGACCCACCTGGCCCGGGGGGGGGGAAAGGCAAGAACCATACCATGCCTCAGGAAGCCACAGGTTAGGGCAAAGCAACTGGAAGACCTGGAAGACCAGGTGTAAGGCGCTGGCTCAACCCCCTCCCCGCCCCCCCCCTACCTCCGCCGCCAGCTCCCCCGCACTCAGCACCTCCCGCTCCCGGAAGGCTAGCAGCAGAGTGGCCATCAGGGGCGACACGCGGAAGCTGGCGGTGGCGCCGCCTGCAGGGGGGGTGGGGTTGGGAGGGGGGGGCAGCAGTGAGAAGGGAAGTACGACAGAGGGGCCACATGGAACACCCCCCTCCCTCCCTCCCCACCACCTGCCGCCAGCTCCAGATCCACCGCCCCCAGCTGCGGCCGCCACCTCAGGCTGCGCGGCGTCTTGAGGTGCCGGTAGCGCCCCTCGAACACCCGCATGGCGGCCCGCACCTCGGGCGGCAGCAGCAGGCCGCAGGAGGGGTCGTCGGGGGCGCCCTGGGGGGGGGGGGGAGGGGGGTAAGACGTCACGTCTGCCCCCAGTCGGGCCCGCCCCAACCCTCCCCATGTGTTGCCAACAGCGGCCCTCTCATCGGCCAGTAACCCCTTGCCCCTGCCTAGCCCACCTTGTCCCTGTCCTCCTGCCCCGGCCAGAAGAGGTACGACAGAATGGTGGCGGAGAGCAGCTCGAACTCCGGACCGGGGGCCAGCTCGGGGGCGGCAGCAGCGGGGGGAGGAGGGGGAGGGGGAGCGGAGGAGGCAGCCGCGGCCGAGGAGGCGGCGGAGGCGGTTGCTGCGGGGGCGGCTGCCGCAGGTGTCACCGCCGCCTGCTGCTGCTGGGCTGCTGCCGCCGCTGCAGACCGCGTCTGAACCTGCGGCGTGTTGACCCCTCCGCTCCCTCCCCCACCACCCCCTGCCCCTCCCGCCGGGCGCTGCTGCTGCTGCTGCTGCGACTGCCCCCGAGCTGCCGTCCGGGCGCCAATGGGAGTTGAGCGAGGAGGCAGCTGGGCGGCAGCGGCAGCAGTGGCAGCAGCGGCGGCAGCGGCGGCAGCAGCAGCACTTGTGGGTGACATGGGTTTGTCCGCCCCCGCCGCCCCCGCTGCGGACATGGAGTGCACCCGGTGGTTGATGCGCTTGCTGTCTGCCACGTCCTTCAGCATCACCTGGGGGGGGAGGGGGGGGAGGGGGTTCGTGTCATGCACCTCCGCTGCGCAGCTCAGCACACCGCCCCTCCCTGTGCACTCCACCCGCCCAAGCCCCCCCCACCCCCACCCCACACTTGCTCGCCCCCAGCAGAGGGCGTCACCAAGACCCCCCCTCCCCCCCTCCCCCCCGCACCTCGCACGCATGCATGGCCCCCTCCCCGAACCGCATCTTGAGCAGCTCCAGCGTGCGAACCTCCCGGGCCTGGGGGGGGAGGGGAGGGGTTGGAGGAGGGGGAAGGGAGGGTGGGGTAATGGGGCAGATTGGACACATAGCACAGCACGAGGCAGAACCGCTTCGCGAGCTTTGGACAGCACCGAACAGGCGCAGCCCCCCCCCCTTTCCCTACCGTGTCGTAATCGCAGCGGTACAGCAGCTGCCCCGCCAGCAGCCGCCGGTACTCCGCCAGGAAGAGCTCGGGGGAGCCGAACACACCCGTCAGCATGCTCACCACGTCACCCGGGGGGCAGGCGGAGGGGGAGGGCCCCCCTGCTGCCCCCCCTGCAGCTGCCGGGGGCTGTGCGGGCACCCCCGGGAAGCCCGCCGCGGCGGTGGCGGTGGCGACCCGCAGCACCCGCTCGTCCGCGTCCTCCCCCGCCGCATCCACCTCCATGCGCCCCCCTCCTCCTCCCGCCCCCCCCGCCGCCCCCGCCTGCAGCTCCTCCAGCAGCGACTCCCCGCCCGCCCCCCCGCCGTCCTGCGTGACCAGCCCCACCAGGCAGCGGATGGTGTCGGAGCGGCGGCGCAGGTAGGCGCGCAGGGGGGCGGCCACCGCGTGCAGCAGACAGCCTGGGGGGGGGGACAGGGGGGAGGGGGGCGGGGGAGGTATTCAGGTGATCATGACACCGCAGCAAGTGAGAGCCCAGACCCGAGACCACCTGCCTAGGCTCTGGCTCGCCTGTCGTGTCCCCTCCCCGGCACCGCCCCCGGGCCTAGCTCGCACCTCTCATCTCCCTCCCCCACTCCCCCACTCCTACCCGACGGGTCGATCTCCCTCATGGTTCGTATGGTTGCCACGTACTGGTGGATGATGCCGGTGGCGGAGGCGCCCGCGTGGAGCAGCCGCTGCTGCAGCGAGCGGCGGAAGGAGGACACGAACAGGGACTGGGGGGGGGGGGAGAGGGGAGGGGAGGGGGGAGGATGTCAGCTGCATGGGATATGCATGTTGGGCTGAGGGATTGAAGGGTCGAGGTAGTGTGCATGAAGCAGGGAGGTAGCAGCAAAGACATGCCTTGGGGGAGGCATCAACCTTACCCCCCCTCCCCCTACCCCCACCTGCAGGTTTGTGTGTCTGAGGCAGGCCGCCAGGTCCCGTATGGCGGGCAGGCTGTCCGGGTAGTCAACCACGATGTCGAACATCTGCCCCAGCCGCAGCCGACCCAGGGTTTCGAACACCAGGTACGACAGACGCAGACGCCACTCCGCCAGCGTGCGACCCTCACTGCCCGGCTCGGCCAGGCCGCCGGAGAAGCAGGTGGGGGCAACGGTGGCGGGGGTGGGGGTGGTGCTACCAGCTCCTCCTCCTCCTCCTCCTGATTCCGAAGCGGGTGTGGCAGCCCCCTCCCCCGCCCCCTCCCCCGCCACCACCAGCCGCAGGAACTCCAGCGGGATGCGGCCGGCAGCGCGACTGGCGGCGGGGAGGACCTGGGGGTAGGGGGGGCACATGGGAGGGGTGATGGCAAAACCTACCCCACGCGGAGGCGGCGCCCCCCACCCCCGGGGCTCCCACACAGCTCGCCTAGCATGATGGCTGTAGGTACATGCCCAATAGGTACGGTCCCAGCATGTCCCCTCCCCCCCCCCCACCTCCCCCCCCCCCCCCCCCCCCCCCACCTCCCGGTCAAACACCCCCAGCGCCAGCCTCCTCAGCAGCCGCTCCACGTGCTGCGACACCGCCGCCACCACCGCCTCCTCCCCCGCCGGCCCCAGCGCCAGTCGCGACAGGCAGCCGCACACCTCCCCCAGCCGCCGCACCCACCCCGGGCCCATGGCGGCAGCCACCGCGGAGGGGCGCAGCGCACCCGCCCGCCGCCGCAGCGAGGGGGGAGGCGTGTTCTCGTCCTCCTCTCCAGCGCCACCGGTGCTGCCGCCTAGGAAACCTGCGTGGGGCGGGGAGGGAAGGATAGCGGAGGGGTGGCGGAGGGGTGGTAGGCGGGGAGGGAAGGGAGGTGGGCGGAGGCGGGGAGGAGGTCGCGGGAGCGGGCGGAGGCAGCAGGCGGCAGTTGCACAGCAGCCCGACAGTCCCAATGACATGCCCCGCCTCTCTTCCCCTCACCCCCTGCTCCTCACCTGCCGCTGAGCCCATCAGCATGGCCACTCCCTCCACCGCGGCCGACCCCAGGCCGCCCTCACTGACCCGCGGGTCACCTCCGCCTCCGCCTCCCCCCACCTCCACCCCCAGCAGCCCCCCGGCCCCCGCCCCGCTACCCATAGTCGCCAGCAGCACCGCACTGGCACCGCCCCCCGCCAGCCCCCCTGCCCCTGCCTCCCCTCCCTCTCCTCCCTCCCCCCCCGCCGCCCCCTCCTGCGCCTCCAGCAGCTGCTCCAGGGGCGCTAGCGTCTGCGCAAGCTGAGTCAGCTTGGAACTGAAGTACAGCAGCAGCAGCTCTGGAGGGGGGAGGGAAGGGGGGGTGTACGGCAGTGGGGGCGGGGGGCATGGTGGGGCGGGCAAGAGGGGGGCGGTGGGGAGAGGCACAGGCGGGCGGGCAGTTGCAGCCGGGGGCCCCATGATGGGGCCCCGCACCGGGATCGGCTCCACGAGTGCGGCCCCTTCCGCTACACCCGGCAGCAGCAGCAGCCATGCAGAGCGGCAGGGGAGGGGAGCGAAGGAAACCTCCGCCCCCTTACTTCCCCCCAACCCGCTCTCACCTGCCACGCTGACCTCCGCGGTGGCCATCAGCAGCGCACTCACGGCTGTGCGGTACTGCTGGTGCAGGCGGGAGAGGGAGGGCGCGAGGGAGAGGGAGGAGTGGTCGCCGGGGGGGAGCGGGGAGGGGGCGGGGGAGGGAGCCTGCGGGGGAGGCGGGCAGGGGGCAGGGGGGGAAGGGAGGGAAGGGAGGGAACATCAGCGTAGGGCAGGCGGCTACCCAGCAGCCGCCCGCGGGGATGTGGAGCGGAGCGCCTCTGCACCTACCCCTCCCTCTCAACAGCTGCCCGCCCACCCGCCTTCCAAGTCCCCTTCCCACACCCTGTTCCTCCTCCCTCCCACCAGCCCCCACCTGCCCCACCGCCCCCGCCACCAGCCCCGCCAGCCGCTGCAGGCAGTCGCAGTGCGCCTCCACCAGACCACACAGGCCCTGACACAAGGGGGGGGAGAGGGAGGAAGAGGGAGGAAGGGGGAGGAAGAGGGAGGAAGGGGGAGGAAGAGGGAGGAAGGGGGAGGAAGGGGGAGGAAGAGGGAGGAAGGGGGAGGAAGAGGGAGGAAGGGGGAGGAAGAGGGAGGAAGGGGGAGGAAGGGGGAGGAAGAGGGAGGAAGGGGGAGGAAGGGGGAGGAAGGGGGAGGAAGGGGGTAAGGGAGGCCGTGAAGAAGGGTGCCCCTCCCGGCCCAGCCAATCACCCAGTGGGCAGCTCCAGACCTGCACGTCCACATAAAGTAATCCCGAGCCCTCTCCCCCCCTCCCCCCCCTTCTCCCCCCCCCACCTTCAGCCCCGCCAGCAGGTGCCCCTCCAGCGCCTCCTCGTCCCCCGCGGCGGCAGCGGTACGGCACAGCGCCATGCGCCGCCAGAAGCCGGGTACCGCGTGGGACTCTAGGGCAGCCTGGGGGGGGAGGGAGGAGCGGAGGAGAAGAGGGTGGCGGAGATGGGTCCAGGAAACGAGGTGGTGGTGGACCTTCCACCGCCCCACCCCGCACAGCTCCCCTCCCCTCCAGGGGACCCCCTCCGTACCTGCAGCTGCTGCCGTACCGTGGTGACCAGTGCGGGTCCCAGCCCGCAGGACACCAGGCAGGACACCTCGGAGGGGGTGGGCAGCGGCACCGCTGCTGGGGGGGCCGGGGAGGGGGAGGGGGAGGAGGGGTCCCCTGCGGCCGGGGGCTGGGAGGCTGGCGGGCCCTGCGAGCGGAGGGGGGAGGAGGGCAGCTGAGATGTGGGAGCGGACTTCAGGTGGGGAGCAACGTGAGGGCGGTTATGAAGGTGGTGGCGGTGATGAGGCGGGCAGGGTGATGGGGACAGCGGGACAACATGGAGGCGGGGCGGTGTCTCCCAGGGCGGCCGCACCTGGGCCGCTGCCGCCAGCCGGGAGAGGTAGCCCATCCAGGTGGCCGCCGCGGCGACCAGCACCTCGCTGCGACCGGGGGGCGGGTGCGGGGCGGGTTAGATGATGGTCGGGTCCATGACACCGGAGACAGGCCGGAATAACGGACCTGGTTGAGGCCATCAGGGCAGGAGAAAGCGTCTGCATTGTGACTGTGATTCCTTGAGGAAGAGTATTATGCCAGGGCGGAGACTACCGGTATTGGAAACAAGCCTGGCAGCATGAGCTGTTAGTCCTGTTGCAAATTAGCCGAACTGTTAAATTCCTAGTCCATGTTACTTTGTCCAGTAAAGTCGTGCTGGATGGCAGCAGAGATGTATATGACTACTTTCTCTTGCAGTCCTAAAGAATGGTAGATGCGCCGAGCGCAGGCGCCTCTTTGCTAGCCTAATTGCGGAGCAGTATTCGTTTATGCAAGTATCTACGGTAACTCTACTTATCCTCCCTTAGTATTTGCGCAAATGTATAGCTTATAGAACGACAGTTCTTTTTGGCGGTCTTCTCGTTCGTGAGGACTGCACGTCGAACACACCCACAAACCAGCTCATGTCGTTATATAAGAAGGAAAAACGCTAAAAGGGAGTCGACAATTTAGGGCTGCTAGTTCATGAGCGCACGAAGGATGTTGCACTGACTTTGTACGAGGGACAACTAGCCTCCCGAGGTTTACAAGCTACAAGTGACCCTAACCTAGATTGACGCCTCGTAATTCTTACTGCGCCCAGCTGCGATATTGTCAGCGGCCATAGCCAAGCCGCTTCAATAGGCATCCGAACATGTGAAACCAGTTAAGCAGCCGCAGTAGTCTACATTTCGCTAATTCCTGCTGGCAAACCCCTCAAAGTTGCGACAACTAATGGATAACTAATGGAATGCACACTGTGACTCGCTTACCAACTCCCTTTCCCGAGCTCGCACATCCCCGCTGCGCCGCTCCCACCCCCACTCCACAAGCCAACCTTGCCAGCCAACCCCAACCTTGTCCTCCTGCCCTCCTGCCCACCAGTCTCCCCTAAACCCTCCCACGTCTTCCCTGCCGCACAGAGCCCCCGCGGCCCCACACCTGCCGCACCCTGGTACCCTCAACCAACCCCAACCAACGGGCGCTCCTCGCCTGGACGCCCCTCGCCCCTCCAACACACCTGCGCACAACCACCATCACGCGACCCCCCGCCTCCAACATAAGACCCCTCACCCCACAGCACGCCGGGCACGCAGGTCGCCCAGGAGGACCCGCGCAGGGCAGGGCAGGTGACGCCCTTCCAGGAATCCCCACCAGCGGTGAAGATGCACATCCCGTTCACAATACAAGATACAAGGCCAGCCGGCCAACCTAGCTACCGCCGCCGTACCACCCGCCACACCCCTCCGCCCCCTATCCACTCCCCTCCGCGGCCAGCCAGGTACCCCCCCCCCGGTACCTCCCTGCCTGCCTCCTTGCTTCCCTCCCGCGCCGCGCGCCTCTCCAACGAACCTCGCGGCCCCCCCCCTCCGAGGGCACTCCCCCCCGGGGTGTGTGCGGCCTCACAGCGGGTAGCCGCCCCCCTCCGCCGCCCCCCCGCCCCCGCCCCTGCACACCCCCCCTCCCCGCCCCCCCACTCCCCCCAGGTCCACATCCCGCAGACCCCCCTGACCCCCCTGACCCCCCGGGGAGCCGGGCCGGGGACCAGGCGGACCACCACTGCCAGCACCGCCAGCAGCACTGCCAGCGGGCGGGCGGGAGGAGGCGGCGGCGGCGGTGGAGGCAGGGAGGTCCGCACCGCGGGGTGCGCTGCTGCTGCCGTTGCCCGCTGCCGCCTCCCCCTGCTGGTGCTGGTGCTGCTGGTGTGGGGCGGGTGGGTGTCCCGTGAGACACGCCTTGGCGGCCTGCAGCTGCTCGGGGGTCGCCTGCAGCTCGGAGGCAGCCTGGGGGAGGGGGGTAAGGCCGTAAGTGTAAGGAAGGAGGGGGAACAGTAGGAGGTGCGAGTAGGTGGAGGGGCTCAGCAAGGACGGATGGGCAGCCCCTACTCCCCCTCCTGTGGACGCATACCGGCAGGCGACCCGCCGCAACCCATGTCACGCATACCCAGCACGCTACCAGCCCCTCCAACAGCCCCTCCATGCCCCCCCGCCCCCGCCCCCCGCCCCGCCCCCTCCCCCCTCCCGCTCCCCTCCCCCCTCACCGCCAGCCATATCTCCGTGTCCCGCTGGCAGCACGCCGCCATCACCCCCGCGAAGCCCCGCAGCATGCCCCCCAGCTCCGCCCGCATCTCCCCCCGCAGCCGGGACAGCTCGGACTGGTTGGTGGCCTTGACGCGCTCGTAGGTGGCGGTGGCGGCGGAGAGCGACTGCTGCAGCACAGCCACGTCGCCGGACAGCTCGGCGATCTGGGGGGGTTGGGGGGGGGGAGGCATGTCCGCATGTGGTAAAATAACGGGCTGCATAAATAGAATATGACCCCCCACACCTCCCCCCCTTACCTTTTTTGCCTTGGCCGCATCCCCCCCCAGCACCCTGGCCCCCGCCGCCTCCAGCTCCGCTATGGCCCGCCTCCGCGCCCCCAGGTCCGCCTGCAGCGTGTCGGCGGTCAGCAGCGCCTTGTCGCGCGCGCGGAGGCCCTTCAGGGCGGCCTGCATGGAGGGGGGGGAGGGGGAAGAGGGGTTAGAGAGGAGAGCTAACCATGCGACACGGCTCCGCCCGGGGTGCCCGCCATGTGTAACCGCCCTGAGCCCATGCCCCCCGCCCCCCCTATCCGGTCCCCCCTACCCCCCCCCCCCGTCCCCCCCCACCGGCATGAGCCCCAGGTAGTCGTGCAGGCAGCCCAGCTCGATGGCGCAGCGACCCGTGACCTGCAGGGGGGGGGGGAGGAAGGGGGAGGGGGGAAAAAAGAAATTCCAAAGTGTGGTGGGATAATGATATAAGTTGGAGGGGGAGGGGGAGGGGGGAGGGGGGTAGGGGCGGTAAACTAGGGGCAAAGGGTGGTGAGAGGACGCAGTTGGTGCGGCAAGCGCCTACTCGTCCCTCCCTCCCTTGCAACCCGGCGCACTCCCCCCGCCACCCCTGCAACCAGCAGCTCTCCTACCCCCCTCCCCACCCCCCCCTCCCGCCCCCCCCGCACCCACCCTGCGGCCAATGCGCGAGGCCCGCACCAGTGCCGTACCCAGCCGCTCCAGGTCGTGCATGAGGGAGCCGCTCTGCTTGAGCTGGGGGAGGGGTGGGAGGGGGGGAGGGAAGGGGGTTGGGGAGGGGGGTTGGGGGCGAGGCGGGTCAGCGAGAGCCCCCGCCCTTTCAGCAACTCCCTTCACAGAGCACCGCCCCTCCCACCTACAAGTACGCCCCCCTGCTCCTCCCCCTCACCGTGCAGGTATGCTGCGCCAGCGCCCCCCCCTCCGCCTGCTCCGCCTTCCCCGCCCGCAGCAGCGCCAGCCCCAGCTCCCCCTGCACCCCCGACCAGCGCTCCAACCGGGACACCAGCCGCTCGGCCTGGGGGAGGGGGTGGGAAGAGGGGGGGTGAAGGAGGGGAAACGGGGAGTGGGTGGTAGGAGCAGTGCGGTGGAGGAGGCCCTAGCTCACCCGCGCGATTACCCTCTCCCCCCAAACCCCTTCCCCCCTCACCGCCCTGCTAGCGACCGTGAGCCCCCCCTGCAGCGCCTCCACCTCCTCCCGCGCCCGCTGCAGCGCCAGCTCGTCGGGGGGCAGGGAGGCGGTGGGGACCTGGGGGTGGGGGGGAGGAGGGAGAGGGGAAAAAAGAAATTCCAAAGTGTGGTGTGATAATGATATAAGTTGCTGACAATCCAGAGGAGGGAGAGGGGAGGGGCGGTCGTCAGACAAGGGAAAAGGGGACGGCGCCCGCAGCAGTAACCCCCGGCAGGCTCCTCACACAAGTCCTAAACACCCCCTCCCCCCCCACCTGCATGCTCCGCGCCGTCTCCCGGATGGCCCGCATGATGTCACCTGACTTCTTGGTGGGCTGGGCGGCCTGGGGGGGTAGGGAGGCAGTTGACAGGGAGAGGACTTGGAACCACGTGCGGAGTCACTGCACCGCCCTCAACTCCTGCCACCCCTCCAGCTGTCGCTCGTCCCCCTCCCCCCTTCCTCCCCCCCACCTGCTCCGGGTCCGTGACCCCCCTGTCCAGCCCCAGCAGCTGCTTGGACAGCCGCGCAGTGCCCTCCAGCACGGCGCCGCCCTGACCCGCGGGTCGCAGCGCCGCCCAGGCGGGACAGTCGCCCAGCTCGCCCTCCGTCTCCAGGAACAGACGCAGCTCCTGGGGGGGTTGTGTCGGGGGGGTGAGGGGGGCGGGGGAGGTATGTGACAGAGAGGCGAGGCATGTAAGGTAAGGGTGGGTAAGGGGGTGGGTCAGGGACGTGTCCAGGCGAGCCGGCAGAGCGGCTCCACAGACCCCAGTACCCCCCCCCTATCCCCCCTCCCCCCCCACCTCGCTGGCACATATGACCGGGTGGCGGGCCAGCTTGTTGAGGTAGCGCTCCAGGGCGAGTCTGGGGGGGAGGGGGGGGAGGAGGATGACGAAGAAGGGGTAACGGTACTGGCAAGCCGCTCCTCTGAAAGCCCCCCTAATCCCCCCTCCTCTGCCAGCACAATTGAACTAACCCCCTCCCCCCCACCTCCTTTCCTCTCCCCCTCCCTCCCCTCCCCTACCTCCTCTCCTCCACGAACGCGTCCGTCATGCGCTGCCCCTCCACCGCGTTCTTCTCGGGCCGGGGCGGCACGAAGAAACCGCGGTAGCGCTCCTGCGGGTGGGGGGGTGGAGGGGTGGACGGGGGTGAGGGAGAGGAGGTGGGGGGGAGAGAAGCAGAGACCCCATCCGGGGAGGGGGGTTGCATGCGGAGCCGGGGGGGCGGGAGGTGGGAAAGCGCAACGTGGCAGAGCAAGAGGGCGTCGAGCCTTGGGTCCAACCCCCTCTCTCCTCTGCTCTCCTCTGCTTTGCCCTAAGCCGTGGACCCTTGTCGGTTCACCTCCCAACTCCCCCCCTCCTCCCCCCCACCTTGAGTATCTCCGCCAGCGTCACGAACTCCCGGAACCTCCGCCGCACCCGCACCTCGGGCCGCACCTGCCCCCCCACCTGCCCCCCCACCTGCCGGGGGCGGCTGCGGACCAGGTAGGTCACATAGCCGCCTGGGGGGGTGGGGAGGGGGGAGGTCAGAGGCCATACCACACCGCACGGGTCTGGTGCACAGCGCACCGTCACAGTCACTTGGCCGCGTCATGCCCTCCTAGCCCCTCCCCACCTGAGCCGCCCCCCCCCCCGGCCCCTCCTGCCCCTCCCCGCACCTTTAATCCCGAACAGTCCGCCCCCCTCCCGCTTGACCGGCTCACTGACGCTGATGAGCGGCTGGTGGTGGCAGGGAGGCAGGGCGGGGGGGGCACCCCGGGCCGGGTGGGCGCGGTGGGGGGACAGCAGCTGCGGGGGGGGGGAGGAGGGGGGGCGTGGGGTCGACCAGGGTGGCCGCATGCAGGTCCCCTGCCGGCGGTGCAAGGGGGGTGGGGCTTCCCTTCCTTGTGCTGCACCGCCTCCACCCCGTGTGAAACCCCAAGCAGGGCCGGTGCTCCGCGCCACGCATGCATGCACCCCCCCCCTCCCCCCCCCACCTGCACGTCCTCCTCTCGCAGCTCCCCCGAGCCCCGCCCGCCCAGCGCGTCACAGCCGGCAGCGGACAGCCCTCCGGCCCCGCCCGCCCTGGGGCCTGCACTGCTCATGACACCCGCCCCCGCCCCCGGCCCCGCCTGCTGGTGCTGCTGCTGCTGGTGTGGCAGTGGCAGCAGCGCCCCCAGTGGCGCCCCCAGTGGTGCCCCCAGCGGCCCCACGTGCCGCTCGTACGCAGCAGCGCCGTTGGGCCCGCCAGCCGCATCTGCCAGTGGGCCCGCAGCCTGGTGCTGCTGGTGCTGGTGGTGCTGCTGCAGGTGGTGGTGGTGCTCGTCCCCACCCGCCCCTGACAGCGGGTCCCCACCCCCACCCATACCACCCCCAGCCGCAGCAGTCAGCCCCAGCGGTGCCTGTTCGTACATCACGGAGTCCTCGTACGAGGGCGGCTGGGCGGCTGCCAGCTCGCCGTAGGTGGGGTAGGGGGTGGTGGTGATGATGAGGGAGGAGGAGGCGGCGGCGGGGTGGGGGTGTGGGTGGGGGTCACCCAGCCCCCCCAGCCCCGGGTAGGAGGCGAAGAGGTCGTCATGCGGGTCGTCACCCGCCAGGGCACGGAAGCGGTCCAGATTGCCCTGAGGGGGAGGGAGGAAAGGGACGGACTTGTAGTTAATTCGGCGAGACGGAGAGGCGCGGAGTGCCCCCCCCCCGGGTGGGAGCGGAGGCGCCACGCAGGTGCCCGCTGGAGCCGCACCGCGACCCCA